CTTTATTTAAAGAAGATAAGTATATGCATCGCTTGTTATTGGGCTACTATAACAGGAAAAATGGCTCTCTAGATAAATTAAAAATAGAAGGCTTTTCTCTAACAGATAAGGATTCTGGGGTTTTTTCCTTCAGTGAATTGCTACGCAATATAAAGAATCTCTGTCTTGAAAATACAGTGGTTTCTATCGATGCACTAAGAGCTATTTCTGAGATGAAGAATCTCCAAGTTTTAGAGCTTGGAAAACAAACTAAAATACTAGAAGACAGTACGCCTGAACTAAATTTGTCAAATATTCAGAAAATAGACATGCATGATATAGACAGCACGAGTGCACAGAAAATTCTTCAATCATTGGGCCCAAGAGATAAATATTTAGAGCTTTATATAAGAAGCATTAATTTTATTCCAAGCTCTGTTATTAATAACATAAAGTGTCTAGACAAGATTAAAATATTTGACCTTAGTAATACTGCCTTTGAAAAGGAGCCGGATTTCGGATTCTTAGAAAAAATGAAGAGCCTACATACTCTTAAACTATACAAAATCAGGTACTCATCTACAGAAGAACTAAATGAAGAAAACATAAACGAAATACAAGAAAAAGTAGACCTTTTAAATCCTACTTTGCAACAACTAGATGAGAAAAATGATTTGCCAAATAATGGAGTATCACTCTTGGTAGAAAACAACATGAAAATAGGAGCACAACTAACTGCATTGGATATTCATATTGATGGAAAGTTATACAATGACTTAGGAATAAGCAAACTAAATGTTAAAGAGGAGGCTACTATAAATGTCATGTTTTGTAGTATTTTACAAGAAGATACTTCTTCAGCATATAGTATAAATTTCAGCATTGATAAGAAGACTAAAATAGTGGAGATAAAACCATGTTTAGACGTAGAACCTTGCGAGGCAATTACTAATGCACTTCAGGGCATATCTTATCCATTCACAGAGTGTTCAGATGTAGAAACTATATATATGCATATGGAAGGGGGACAAGGCGCCCAATTTAATTTTGCATATATGTTTTTAAGTAAAATATTTGAGTACTCTGGGGATACAAACACTGTGAAGAATATATGTATTGAATCAAATAAGTTATACGAAATGAGTACAGATTCTTTTGAAATGTTTAGTGAGAAGTTTAAAGAAGTTTTGAGATTAGAATTAAAGAACATATCTCTAACTGTATCAGAGAAGTTCAAAGAAAATACTGAAACTGGCTTAGATAAACAAACAGGCACATCTTATGAAAAAGTCAATGATTCTACCAAAGACTATTTATTTGAAAGAAAATCTAAGACTGACAAGTTTGAAATGGTAAACCCGAAATAGAAGACTATTTTCTTTGATCTGCGTGCGTATTATTGTAGGTTCTTCTGGCATATGCTAATATACATGTCCTTGCAAAATCATAATGGTTTCTGGTTTTCTCCTCCTTGAGGGGATGAAACCTCCTTCTGGCTCAGCAGCGTAGAGAGTATGGATTATACTTTGTATCTTTCTGAGTTACTTCCCTCCGCGTTTGCAATGATTATTTTTTTCGTATGGGCATAGTGCTGGTTGTAGTTCCGAACTATTATTATAAATGGAGGCGAGAAATAAATCATCTTTAATTTAGTATGACTAAGCTTAATGCTTATTTAGGAAGGCTCAGTTATGGTGATATTTTTGTGCACGAGAAACATTTATTGAGCTCTTGAGGATGTCTTTGCTGTAGTTATTAGTATGCCTATCTACGCCATTTTGTTCTATGTGTCCTTTTTGAACGCATATATTGTTTATATCTATCTTACAATTGCTTGTTGCGAATGGTTCTGTTGCAATCATTTTATTTTAAACACTCTCTACTCTTAGATCTCTTTAAAGGAAACTAGTAATTTTTCTGCATACTCTTTATTTTAAAACTATACAGTACATGCCTATAATAATTGAATGATTTTATGTTATGTTACAGAGTATAATATATAATATTAAAACTATCTCACTCTGTATCGTTGTGCGAATGCTTGACAAGCATGTAAATGTCAGCTACTCTCTCCATGTGTGCTTACACTGTGTACATGTGTTAAATATGGTCATTGGCTCATCTGCACTTCTTGTTTGCATCTGGTAGTAATTGGCAGTTTCACATGAGCACTCTGGGCAGAGAGTATTCCTTTCTGGAAGTTCGTTTGGCTTGGCCTGCTCTACCAACTCAATCTTTGGAGAGAGCTTGGTTCGGGTTCTAAATATGCCTGGTACTTCCTTTCTATAGTTGCACTCTTCACAGTGGAATATGCTTCTAGAATTTATTATCTCAACGGACAAGCGATTCATGCATTTATTGCAGAACGACATTCTTCTCTTTTTTTAAAATATTTTGTATAAGTGTATAAAATACTCTGTCTACATTAACATGTTTCTTTGCTGAGGTGTAAACTATTTCTATTTCTTTAATTTCTATACTGCTATTGTTTTTTGGGGCCTTTCTGTTTTCTGCCTCTGCCATAAAGTCAAAACTCGGAGCCTGCTCGCCCTTTATCTCACTTTTAACTATCTGTATGTACTTAGTGCCCTGTGCCTCTGCTACACTTAAGTCATCACATTTGTTTGATGCGCACAAAAACTCTGTGTCTTGCAAAGTTGGATGGCTTACAGTGCTTTCAATAATACTTTTATACTCCTCTGTTCCATATGTATCATACACGAAAAGCACACCATCTACACCAGAGTAGTATGTGTCCCAATATGCACGTATTGACTTTTGTCCTCCTATATCTAATATTTCCAGATGATACTTGGTTTCTTCTATTTCTCTCTCTGTCTTTATTATCTGGTATCCATACGTAGGCTCAATGTCAGCTATATTCTGGTTTAGATATGCCTGTAGAAGAGATGTTTTTCCTGCATTGTCTGGGCCTAGTATAACTATCTTTAGTCTTTTGTCTTTCGCGAGAACTTTCTTTATTACAGAAGCAAATCGCATATAGCACAAAAATAGAAATATTTTGGACATTTATAGAATGTAAAAAGATGCTTACCGCTTTATGCACAATGGAAAAAAGATGTTTAGTTGGCACAGATGAGCATTGCTATTTTAGTGCACATGCAGCACAGTAAATAATCAGAAGCTAGCATATAAAGCTGTTCCAATACTAAGCGGACTTCTGCATGTTGGCTAAGCTAATGAAAGTGTGTATACATATACTTAGTATTACTATGCATTTAAATGCTGTATCTGGCTAATATGTATAGCTAGACAATGCTTTGCGTAGATGCTACTCTTAGCTATGCAAAAAATGGCTATTTACTTAATATTCTACGTGGGACTTGGCATATTCAAGTATAGACCAGCTATACAGGTGTTTGAACTGCACAGCCTCAAAATTGCCACTTCTATGCATTGCTAACACTTAAACTTTAGCTAGTATATGCACGCTGCCACATGCTTGACTCTTCTACTAACTATGTTACATGCATGCATCTGCATAGGTATATATGCTCATAGCTTATTATTTTTTCTATTTGCATTCCTAAAGTATATAAATCTTATGATGCGGTAGGGATAAACTAACTTTATAGCTATCAATTCTATTCATATATAAAATATATTTCTAGTAAGTGCAGAAAGTTATCCTCATTAAATGTATTTCTTTAGACAAGAGGGTAGGGTATTGTTATTTATTTGTGCTGGTATGCTCAAAGAAAAAGTTGCATGCAAAGGAAAACACTTATAATACGCTTTTCTATAGAAAAGCTAGCATGTTGATATTATTTTAATTTTTATGCAAAGCGCTGAGGATGAAGACTTTAAATATTGAATGTGCATTTCTATACCTTAAGCTGGCCTCTTTGCTAAGAAAAACAAAGACATCCTTTATAACAGGCGCAGGTATTTCTACATCTGCAGGCATTCCAGACTTTAGATCAGAGAACGGCCTGTTTAAAGAGATTAAAAAGAAGTATGGATATTCAGGGGAAGACATATTTACATACTCAATAGTGCATGGCAATGAGCAGGCTATGGAGATATACATAGACTTAATTTCAAGGCTAAAAACAGCACTTGCCACTGTTCTCCCCACCCCTACACATAAAATGCTTACGCATGTACAGAGAATGCACAAATCAACCATATACACACAGAACATTGATGGATTGGAGCAGAAGGCTGGGATATCAGAAAACATACATTATCTTCATGGAAGCTTAGAAAATCTGCTTTGCACACACTGCCACCACTGCACTCCATATATTCTTGAATATGATCTGGCTAAGAGAATTAAATGCACAGTATGCGTAAAAAGAAATGCCAAGCGGATAGAGGAAGGGAAAAGACGCTGTCCCATCGGGACTCTTCTTCCAGACATTGTGCTGTATGGAGGGCCGCATGATACTTTTAAAACAGCGGAGGCAGTCACTAAAGAAAAAGATACATCGCTGCTTATTGTCATGGGCACTAGCTTGAAGGTATATGGAGTGAAAAATCTGCTCAAAACACTAAGTAAGACAGTTAAGACCAATCAAGGGATTAGAGTGTATGTGGGGATTGAGCCACCTGCTAAGCCTATGCAGATTTACTTTGACTACTGGATAGAAGGAAAATGCGATGTCTTTTCAGATTTGCTAATGGATGCAATTCACGGACCAATGCTTCTTAAGCAGATGCATAAAGTCAACAAAATGGATGGAGTTATTGAGTCTTTACGAAGGCTATCCATTGACCCAAAGTTTGACCCAACACTCTCGTATAGGCCTATATGCACATCCAAAAACATAAAAAGTTAATAGGTTCAGTGTGCACAGAGCATATTCGTTTGCTTTAGAGCATTTGCCAAAATTCTTATGCACATAAAAGGCGCATAGCATTATGTGAGTGTCATATTAGTGCTTTATAATTATGTAGATTTTGATAGCTCTAAATAAATGGACTATTAAAGGGCATATAATAATCCTGGACTGTCTAATAATAAAGTTTGTATGTGATTTATTTTCTGCCTGCGATTGGCTTTTGTTTATTTCTTAGTCTATAAAGTCTACCCTGGCTTAGTATTTTCAGATTAATTTCTGTCTTTTGTAAATATTTTATGAACTTGCGGTTTAGCATTGATGCTTTACAAATGCTCATTGCGTTTAAAGCCTCGAAGGATATCTTCCCAAGCAAAACTCTGATGAATCTTTTCAGTGATTTGCTACCTATACATGAGAACACCTGCTTGCTGTCATTCTTGACGGAGAGCGCGTATGAATATTTTTATAGCTGCAGACATGAAAGCATCCCAACTAAAGAGGAGTTCATGGAGTGGACAAAAAAGTGGATAGAAACCACCCATGCAAGGGTCCTCAAAACTGAGCTATCTAGATACAAGCCAAGCGATCAGCAGGTAGGAATAGCGAATGCATCACAGTCTGTGCTCCAAAAGCATTTTGTTGTTATAGATAACAATGAAATCAGCAAAAGCAGCGTATCATATAAAGCCAGAAGAAAGCTAATTGATACTCTGAAAAGCGACCAGAAAGAGAATAACCCTGCTATCAAAAGAGCGCGAGTATCCTTGTCAGAGGACATACTGAAGTGCCCCAAGAAGAAGCCACTAAATGGGTCAACGCAGCCTCCAACTAAGGTGCCCCCATCTGAAGAGCACAAAACAGCAAAAACCAATCTTCTTTCGTTCATGACAAAGAGAAGTGGCGAAAAGGCCGGGCTGCTCACAAACGGCCTGTCTATAAAATACCCAGGTAGATTCTATGGAAAAGTGACTACAATACGGCTCTGCAAAGAGATAAGCAAGCCTGTGCGAATGGTGTTTTATCAGATACATGGACAAATTCGGCCATCCTTCTATGCAGTCAAGCCAAGCACATATGCCCCAAATATTTTACACACAAGAAACACAATACGAAAAATACTTCAGCCAGAGGAGTATTTATACGATTCAGAAGAAGAGTGGATTGAAGAGGATGGAGAAAGTATAGATAAAGAGTCAGAGGAAAGCGATGACGATGAGTCTGGAAATGCAGAATGGGTAGAAGAAGATACAAACACGCCCTTTTTTAGCAAAGGACAGCTTCCAGAAATTGACTATCCACTGCTCACTGTTCTAACTGTGGATGAGTCAACGTTAGAGTAGCGAACTGACTGCTAAAGCATCATAAATAAGTAAATTATCAAAATTGTTAGTATTCAGATGCTTATATACTTCTGTATATCAAATTTGAAAGAGGTATTCTCTTCAACTCTACTTGTTTTAAGCTTTTATGCACAAAAGAGCTTTTTATTACATTCTTATTTATAGCAGAGAAGATTTCTATAAATATAGCTCTAAATTGTGCAGTAAATAGAAAGCACCAGTGATTTATGAAAACTGCAGCTAGCTATTAAATAGCTATACATGTCATTACTTTGTCACTATGTCTCTTGCATACAAGATTTAAGTCTCTATGCATATCTGTATTTTCATGCAGTATCCTTTGATATGTAGTTTGAAGGCGCAGCAGAATTCTCTTACAAATATATACTAAATGAACAAGCACACGCTTGCATCCATAATAATGTTTAGCACAAAGTGCATAAAAATCTTTTGTACTTAAACTCTCTTTGAAAGCTCTTTCAATAGAGGAAGAGTTAATTGGATGCGCCCATGAAGATTAAAATGATAGACTCTTGTAATAGAGGTTTAGACACTAAACGCTTTGTGTGCTGATGTACTGTGGCATGGAGCATATATAATGCAGCGCGCTTTCTTCATGCTTCTGCTTTTGCTCTAGCTCTTTTAATACGTATATAAACTTGCTAATTCTGGTTAAGAAAAAATATATAGTTCCGAAAGTACTAATGGCTGGGCCGCCCAAGACATATTTTAGCTGTTCTTGGTATGAAAATATAGCCCATGTGATCTGAATAAACATTTATTAAGTTTTCTTATAAGTATCTCACTACAAAGCCTTACTAATAACCTTATGTTATGAAAGACGCATGTAGATAAAAGAATAAGCAGCTCTAACAAATGGCATCCAGTGCACTCCAGTTAATTAATAATAGTTTGAGTTTCTTGTCTGTCCCTCGCGAAGGCGCTTTATTCCCTCTATGCCATCCATATCCTCAATAACCCAACTTCTTAGATCTTTCCACTTCTGTGGCTTTACTGTTAGCCGCACCCACCACTGGCTGATTTCTCCTTTTGCCTCCTGTGCAAAGATATCAATCCTTTCTGAGTCTATCTCAGTTCTTGCTTCAATCTTAGATAGGAATGCAATGATATGTGGCTTTCTGTCATATTGTCCAGAGTATGGAGCTGCACTCACCCAAGTCTCTTCTAGCTCTGTTATCTTTGCCTCCTCGTCTGAAATATCATCATTTTTGGGGGCCTCTGTAGCTTTTAGAGCCTTTTTTCCTACTGTGAACTTCTTAATAGCAGTCTTTATTTTTTTCCGCATACTATGTGTGCTTTTCTTTGTTTCAGTCATATCTTATTTTTAATTTCTTATTTTTAATCTCTAAGAAAATCCATATCAAACTTTACTGCGCTCTATGTTTATATGTAATTAAAGGAAAATTTCTCGAAAATTAAATAATAATAATTTTAATGATTTCATTGTGTGATGTTTCTATGTATGCATAGTACTTCATCTACATAGCTTTCTTCTTAAATCAATCACAATTACACATTCAACTGCAGCATATGAAGTATATGTGTTTTTCTGTGCTTCCACAGATTTTTAAGTTTTATAAATAGGGTATTTTCCCGTGTTCTTCATGTGTTGCATATGCTGATACAATTCTCACTATTCTATTCTCTATTTTTTAATTTTCTATTCTTACTACTTTATTATTGTAGTAAAAATATAAAGCAGTGAATAAAATGCATGCATACGCCTACATAAAAAATATCTAAGTGAGCATATATTTGAGTTGCAATATTTATTTGCATTATAGAATGTAATTTATTTTGGGTGTGGTATTTCTGTCATTTGCGAAGATACAAAATACAAGAACACTCAAGAATGCATACAGCATATATAGCAGTAAATAATACTTTGAAGAGATCAGTTCTTCGCACACCAAAATGGTGTTCCTATTAGGCCACTATATTCTGGCTAAGGGCCTTCTATTTCCTAGCACGTTATACATAAGTATCTGCTAACTATTATTAAGAATTCATATGTTGCTTGAAATCATTGCTAAATTCTCCATATCTATTTTTTCTTATTGGAGTGCGATAAGGGAGAAAGCGTCATAGCCTAGAAGTAATAACCCAATAAGGATAACATCTTGTTTAAAGAAGAAATTTTATTCATATCTTGCGTCTATCGCTGGGATTGTTGTTTCTGACTTTGCAGAATCGTATATTTCTTTATAGTCAGAGTCTGATTTCGAGATGGTGAAGATTTTGCCATCGCTATCTTTTTGCTTTAGGACCCCCTGTTGATATAACCAAAATTTCCGAAGGAATGGTAATTTTGACACACTTATCTACTTCAATAATCAAGATTTTTTACTTGATGAGAATCCTTCCCTTTATTAAAACACCTAGACCAAGAAATTTCTTTTTCCTGCATAAAACTTTCTGTTTTTTTCCATAATTTGGCACTGTGTATTAACTTTTTGGTTTTACTTCAAATATGTGTTTATATTTATTAAAATATTTGAACTTTTCAACTCTCTTCATGCATTATAAGTAGTTCTACAAAATGGCCCTGTATGTTTAGTATATGCAGCATACTGGTAAGTAAAATTTGCAGCCCATAGCAATACTAGTGAAATGACATACTAAGTCTTATGATTATGTATAGAAATTCGATAATTGACAAGCCCTAGTGCTGTAATGTCTTTCGTATATATTTTTTCATACACATATCCCTGAAATCTATTCCATCTGGTCGCCTAGCCTCTATTATTTTCTTTTTATTTATAAACTCTTCTATTTCTATACGCCTATTTTTTTAAAAAATAAAGTATATAGAGCTTTTATACTACAACAATTATCGAATAGACATGTTTTAGCAATAAAAAGACGATAGCACAGGAAAATCAAAAAAGTAGCACAAACCAGAGAACCATGAATAAGGAAGCACAATAAGAGAGAGAATTATTAGATAGTCTTAAAACCATGGAGAGATTTAATAAAGAACGAAATGAGTGGATGTAGGCAAGCAAATATGCATAGGCCAACATACAGATTATGTCTATTCAGACTTTATGATATTCAGAGACAAAGAGATATTTTTATTATAAGCAGCATACTAATTACAAAGTGCTTTATACTATTTTCAGTGTATATATATGAATACGCAAATACATCAAATTTGGATTGCAAGCGCATGCACGTATTGCTTCAACAGACCATAGTATATAGTTGCAAAATGTTTTATCTCTGAAATAGAAGTCTAATGGGGATAAAATATCGAGAGTAGTATCATTTTATGATATTTCTAACTATTAGTACTATTTCTGTGAGTTTTTCTAGACTAGAAAAAAAATTGCATGTGGTGTGGGATCCTGAATGATCCAAATGAAAAAACGGTTTATTAAAATTAAATTCTTTTTATACTTTAAAAGCCCTGCTTTTAATGAAATACAAAACAGTTACGAGTTTATTAGCAAGTTTACAGTGTATTTTTGCACGAATGGACATAGAAGACGTAAGTAACATCAAAAATATTCAGCTAGGAGATGAGCAGGATGTATTTATTAATCCAGAAGGACCATTAAATCTGATGCACGGATATGTGAACGCCCGAAATGGATATATGTATAACAAGCGTTTTTATTCATCTGAAATAGAAACAGACTACAGCATGAGGAAGAATAAGGAAGCTTTCAGTAGCCCCGAAGGGTGGGTCTTCGAAAGAACACCGGTTAAAGACAAGGTATATAAAGACTTGTGTAAGAAGACCCCAGCAGGTAAATATCTTATCAGATATCACGCACAGCTCATAAAGATGTTTCCTTCTGTGGATGGAAGTCTTTCCATTGAGGCAGGCAGGCCAAATGCACTTACAAACTTTCTGAGAGCAGAGCATGTCAAAAAAGATGCAAAGTACATTCTTGCTGCGCTGCTGCTTCTCTCAGAAGGAGTTGACATTGAAATAGATGTAGATAAAATGGGAGAAAAAAAGAGCCTTGTCATAAAAAGTAAGAAGTGCAAGGGAAGAGTATTTGTGAATGTAGACATGCACTCTGCTTGGATTGATCCAGTTACTCAAAAGAAAAGTGATAGAATCTACCAGAGCGAAACAGAAAAAATAGTCGGCTTCTATAAGCACTATAGAGACAGCAGACTGTTAAAAAAAGGAGGTGAATTTGCAATGCCTACCAGCAAGAGGGAATTTAACAAAGGAAATTTTCTGAATAATGCAGGCTTCCTTATACAGACATACATATATGAATTTATTGACAATTTCAAGAACTATAGGAGCTTTGTAGAGGCAGTGTATGAACTGTTTATTGACCAAATGACTGACCATGCTTGCCAAGATTCCTTTAAGGAGAAAAAGGATGTGTTTGATAGGCTTTTCCTAGTAAAAGATGCCCTTCATGCACAGATGGAGTACATTTCGTCTTTCTGTGATCTTGCAAGGACCACGCATGAAGATGCATCATTTCCCTTCTATAACCCTAGCCAGTTGCCGCAGTACACTAGAGTACCACAGTATAAACTAGACAAGTCGGGCTTTGAGAAGGACCAATTCTTATACTACAGTAACTGTGTAGAGTCTGCCCTTCTTGGAATTTTCTGCTGTCTGGCATATAATCCAGAGACAGGAAGGTATGAGACAGACCACATGGGAACGGAAGTAAGTGATGAGTTGAGAGACTTCTTCAAAAAGTATCCCAAGCCAACAGAAACAACAGACTTTGAAATGCACAAGGAGTGGTGTAAGGTTGTTGCTTGCTTAAAGAATGAAAGCATCAGCTACAAGCACCCAAAAAATGAGATTCTCTCTGGGCTTTCAAATGTCTTTCGGGTTATTGCAGAAATAACAGGCCAGAAGACAGACGCGCTGGAGCTAGTTAAGTATATAGAAGATGCATGCAAAATAAGAAGCCTTAAAAAAGACGATAAAGACTATATTGAGTCTAAAATAGAATCAATTTTTATATCACTTTCACAGAATAAGTCTATCATGGTGAAGTGCCGGTATATGGTGCTTGGGCGCAGGTCAGATGGAGAACAGGACATTTTTGCTGACATTGACGCTATGTACATGTATGATAATCGAGAGAATGGAATTACTTTGGGCTTAAAGCCCAAACATGCTACTCTTGATGTTCTTCTATCCTCTCCAGTGTCTGTGCGTATTGAAGAAAAATATGAAGATGTAAAGGAGCTATATAGAAGCATAGACAGCTATATGGGATATATCACCAGCCAGTACATTAGTAGAGAAATGAAAAATCTAAGGAAAGACAGCTTTGAGATGACAGAATCTCTTATGAAGAGTATAGATGTAATTCTAAACAGCGGATACAATAATGTATTTAAAATATTCCTACTCGAAAAGCTTGTTGGTGTTAAGTGCATGTCTTTTATTGCAATGCGGTGTGTAATCTACTCGATTGATAAAGACCTGCCTCCAAATGACCCTATAGTGCGCTTTACTGCAAATGTTATAGGCAGTATTCCACTAAACGATCCTGCAACATGGCGAGAGATCATGAAATATTTTTTATATCATTCAGAAAGACAGGCAAACTATCCAAAGCTTGAATATGAGGCGAGGCAGGAGCTGGAGGAGATAAAAATCACTGGTTCAGAACTAGTTAAGATTCATTTATATATTCTAAATCAGGACTCAGACTCCCTCGCAGTTAAGTGCATAAATAACTATGTAAAGCTAGGTACGGATAATGCAAACATGTATTATTTATTATCAGTAGAGCCAATGTCTAGGAAATTATTTAATCTTATGGCAAGGGCGGGCACACCAAGAAGATTTGAACAGCTTCGATCTACACTTGAGAAAACCAAAAACCAAAAGTATACAGACGATCTTGATTTTGTATATATCGTTTGGTTTATATATGCATGTGACGACTCAGAGAGTACACCAGAGATTATTAAGATGGCTTATAACTTTATAAACTTTAGCTATTTATCTCAAGATGTTAGCTCCAAACTAAAGTCTTACCGTATATATTCAAGTACAGTTATGTCTGTTTTAAAAAAAGAAAAAACCAACTTGTGCACAGAGAACGACAGTGATAGCATGAAAAACTATCAGGAATTGGAAAAATATTTCAAATTACATCTGATATAAGCGAGTTCTTACGCATAAAATGATTCCCAATTTTTATGTGCACATCCATCTTTAATAAGAATAAAGCTAGCAATCAGCTTACATGCACTATTATCTCTATTAGAACTTTAAAAGACCTTGCTTTTCACAGTTTACATATAAAGACTGCATATATTCTTCTATAGTATGTAATATATGGCCATAAATGAGTGGCTCTTAGTATATTTTACCACAATAAATTACATGTTAAAACATAGTGCTATGAAGCTATCCAAATAGAATGTAGCAGCTTTTTTATGTAAAATACAGAAAGTTCAACTAAAAACAATGAAAAAAACAGCAGCAAGTAAACAGATCATTATTCTAATAATAGAACTTAGTATGCGAGCACATGATACTATATATAAATGGAATTGTACTATATAGTATATAGTAAATAGATAATAAACCCACAGTTATTAGAAACATAGTTAAAGACGGTTATTCTAGTAGACTAACTATAACAGCAATGGCTTCAGAGTTGGATACAGTATCAAAGGCTATATGGACAGAGTAGCTGATATATGCTCAAAATAAGAAAAGACAGCATTATAATGCACTAGTAGCATTTTATAAGAAAATACAGTTTATGTATATTGTTAGTTTTTCTTGCCTCAAGAGCATTGAAACCTTTCTCTCCGGATCAACAATGTAGTTAGATGTTGGGTCATTGCCTCTCAGGCTTTTGATTGGAAGATAACACGCTACAAGGGGCTCTGCTTGTTTATACGTCAAATAATAGTAACCTATGTTTGTGTGATACTTGATGGCGCACTACAATCTGTTGTGGTGACACCGTTTGTTGTGTAAACAAACATTAATCAATTTCCACTTTACAAGCTATATATAGACGATGAGAAATAAATTATATCCAAGCTTAGTATGACCAAGTCTAATATTTCGAAGAGGAAAACTCAGCTTTGATAAGTAAGCAATCTTTAATAAAGTTATTTAAAAAATGTGTTTTAATACTTTTTGCGTGTGTGCCTGTATAAATGGGCTTTTTTTAATTATCTCCTAAGATGATACTAAAGAGCAGTAATCCAAATTATATTATAGCTAGTTTTGCCATCACGACTATATTGTCAATTCTTTAGTGAGCTATATACATACCAGGAGTATTAAAATAAAAATACAAGTGATTTTCAACTATAACATATTAGTGCGAATAGTATGTATAAGCAGAAATGAGCAAAGAGAAAAGGCAGAGAGTAAAGTACCTGCTTCTAGCTGTCACAGGTATAATCAAGCTTTATCTGAGAGCATCAGATGTATCTAAATTGAGTGCAAATCAGTCTATCATATTAGAGTGTGCTGAGTGCACCATGGCGAATAGCATGGATACTTCTGTAGCAAAAAATCTAAAAGCTAGAGACAAGAATATGCTCTGTGACGTTGCTGTGCCGCGTCCAGTGGACAGCGAATGCAGTGGCCATGCATATCAAAGGGTAAGTGTGTGCGCAGCATCAGATGGCTTTGCACTGGAAATGCATAGATCCAAGAGAAATGTGGCCTGTGTCTGTGTGGCAGAAAAAAGAACAGAACTTAAAAATAAAGCACCGCATATAGAACTAGATAAGCAAGCTCTAGAAAAAGCAAAAGAGAACTATAGAAAAGGGCTGGCGCAGCTGCAGATAGCAAAGAGCAAAAAAGACTCTGCTGCTCAGCTATATCACGACCGCAAGAGAGAATCAAGGGATATGGCGTGGGTACTGAATGGCTACATAAAAACATGCCCTGGGAGGTGGAAAGAGGTAGACTCTGCGCTAAACACAACAGACGAGTACTATACGCGAATTCTTACCCGATCAAACTCAGAGTATGAGATGCTGATGAAACCAGCTGAGCCGCTTCTCTTAGCGCTAGATGTGTTGGAAAGCGCGATGAAAGAGGGGCGCAGAGCATACAAAGAGCAGAAAAGCAGACTGAAAGAGGCTTGCAAAGCGAGAAAGTGCTATGCAGAATACCTTGCACTTCGAGTAGAGACGCAGAAGAAATATAGAGCTGTGATCGAAAAAGAAATAGCTTTTTTCAAGTCTCTGCACGCAAAGGAAAAGCTGCTGCACTCGCTGAGACAAGCCGAGCCAGATGATTTTGAGGAGCTGGGCACAGTAGTAAGAGCGCATTCTAAAACTGTAGAATATATAGACAAGGTGATCCGTATGAAAAACAAAGTGTGGGCTCTCCAGGGACGGCGTGTGCTTAAGACAGCAGAGATAAGAGATGCATACCTAGCTCACTGCGCAGCAGAAGAAGATTATAGAGAACAGTGGGCAGCTGCGTCCATGGCGCAGCACGCCTTGCACAGAGAAATAGAGGCGGCAGAGACACACGACAGAAGTACGCATGCTATGCAGCTAGAGTGGCTGGATGCCAGGCCATCTGAGTCGTTTGTGTAGGCCCAGCCGTCTACACCGCAAACAGACAGCAGCCCGGAAACATTACTGCTGCAAGCCTACTATACACACTAATGTGATGGGTGCCCAGTATATGCAGTACACTGTCCATAAGATACTATTGGTGTGCACATAGAAAGAGCAATGATATGTACAATACAGCTGTATACAGGGTCCGGGAGAAACAATACTGGTGTGTATTAAGGACCCAAAGCTGCTAGTGCGCAGAGACAGGTCTAGGTTTTGCATACGCAGGATGGGTCCTGTGTTCTGCGCAGAGCGTGCTAGGATCGTATAGCCCACTTTGTTGCTGTTTTCCTGTGTGAGATGCAGGGGCATCTGTATTCTTCTGTACTGAGACCATAGACCAATATATCCACAGTACACTGCGAGTAGAAGAGAGTGTCTTCTTAGATGACAATAAATGTTCGCTTCGTTCTCTATTTGTCTGTAATGTGCTATTCTCTCTGTTTTCCTCTCATTTCTCTCTTTATGTCTGGCCAGTGGTGGTTCTCTGAAATGTGCTACTTTTCTTCTTTTCCTTGCCTCTGATCCTTTATTTCTCTTTTTATATCTATGTAAAATAAATTGCTCCACTATAGGGAATATACACTTTATTTCCCCAATATTTAGAAGAGAATAAAAATACATGGAGGCATTAGGAAGAGAGAAAGAGGACAAAGTATACAGATGCACAGAAATGAAAGAATAGACAGATAAATAGAGAGTATGGATGTATTAATAGGTATATGCACTGATAGACCAATAGAAGGTCTATTAAGTGAATATAGAGACATAGTACAGTGTATAGCAAATATACTAGCCAGAAAGTGCAGTTAGACCATAAAGGAGCATCTGTCTGTGACTGAATGGTCTGTTGTATGTGAGTGCATCTACTGGCATTTGACCAGCAAGCATGTTCAGCTGGCAGAGCACAGGGAGAACACAGCCAGCCACAAACAGCCCAGAAAGAGCAGGCCACTCAGACACAAACAGGCAGAGGCTTTAGTGGCACATTGCTGGCTTGGAAAAGGGATTTGTGTCCTCAAGGCAGGAATAACAACAAGCAAACCCGTGAATATATACGTGTGTAAGACTAGTTAAATTTTATTGTACTTTGTTGCAGAAATGCGCTCAAGGTAGCTCGAATTCTCTTCTGTGGGATTTACTAAACAGATTACTGCAAAAATATTTGAAGGTTGCAGTGTTAAAATATGAACATGAAAGACAAAATACATGTGTTGGTTTTCCTTGCCTTGCGTACATGAAACTCTTTACCTGGGTTAGCAATGTAGAAAGTATAGGCTGGTTATTGCCTTCTGGGCTTTAGTTAAAGGCCAATACTATATAAGAACCTCTGCTTGTTTTATTTGGCTGCAATCAAGTGATTGAGTAGGTAATATATATTGCCACTTGCCATACGTATCTAATAAGATTCTACTTTCATGGCGTCACTTTGATAGACTTCTCTTTGAGGCCTATAAATAGACGAAGAGAAATAAAATATATCCACATTTGTATGACCAAGTCTAATATTTCGAAAAGGAAATTTTAGCTTATATCTGTGATTTTGTTCTCGAAACACCATTTGTTTATGTACTTTTTTTTACTTGGATGTATCACGCCTTCTATATTCTGCAACTGTTTTCATTTTTTTTATTATAATGGAACAAAATGCAAAGCATCTTGCTTATCCGCATATTGACTCGTATAATAGATTTGTTAACAGCACTTTGCCAAAACTAGCACAATCATTCGAGCCCGTATCCGTGACAGATAAGTTTAATAACGCAATTACCATTTCAGTAGAAGAAATTCGCGTAGAATCCCCTGCTGTGAAGGAAGGAACTGGAAAAAAAGCACTAAAAAGAAATGTTCTTCCATCAGAGTGCAGACTGACATCACAAAGTTATCAATCTGAGGTATTTGCCAGCTTGCAGACGGTAGTGAATGGCGCAGTTAGCACACAAGAAGTCTCCCTTGGCATAATTCCTGTCATGGTTAGAAGTGAGCTATGTTATCTCAGCGAAATGAAGGATGCGCAGATGATCAAAGCGAAGGAGGAACCAAACGACTTTGGAGGATACTTTATCTACAAAGGAACAGAGAAAATATGCAGGCTTATTCAAATACAGAAGAAGTACGTGCCATTTGGGATATACAGGCCAGGCATGTCCAAAAAGAGTAAAAACATGTCAGAGCACGCTGTCTCGTACAAGTCAGCACGGCCAAGCGGACAGACATCTATGTTCGTGCTGCACTACTTTACAGATCACTCAATTAAAATTCGGGTTAAGATGGGAAAAAAGGAGTACTACATACCATTGCACTTGGTTTTAAGAGGTCTTTCTGGGAAGACTGATCAGGAGATAAGGGAGTCCTTTAAGGGAGTGCTGAAAGACGATGATTTGATGGAGTATGTAGACCTGCTTTTGCAGAGTTTTTCTTTCCATGCGGAGTATACACAGAAGGAGGCGCTCACATACTTGGGCAGCAAGTTTAGGCTGTATTACCACGTATCCCCAGTGGAGCTAGCCTCAGTCGGGTCAAGACTAAAGAAGCAAAAAAAGGCCTCTATGTTTGCTTCAGCTACAGCTGAAGAGCCAATAGAGGAGTTGGAGAAATCGATATATGAATATACCACAATGCTATCCGATATGGAGTGCGGAATGAACTTTATTAATAACACAGTTGCTGTTCATACTGCCTCAGCAACAGAGAAGTACGATCTTCTTGTTCTTTGTATAGCAAAGCTGTTTCAGCAGGTATCTGGAAAAATTCCTGCAGACAATGGAGATGCACTGTCGTTCCACGAAGCCATTACTGTTGGAGATACACTGACAGAAATAGCAGTTGATAAAATGCAGATGATACGAAAGACTTTCATAAACGAGCTAGTTGCATCCATACACTATCTCTCCATCTCTGTAACAGACATAACAGCTCTCTCTAGAGTTATTAAGAAAGCGGTTTCCCCGTTTACTTCGAGCATGCACAGGCTGCTTGCATCTGGCGTGCTGTCGTTTAACAACCTTGGGTCATATGCAATGATGCAGCAGGCTGGATTCACAATTACTGCAGAGAGACTGAACTTCCTGCGGTTCTTTAGTCACTTGAGAAGTCTGCACAGAGGGGCATTCTTTGAGGCCATGCGAACAAGTACGGTGCGTAAGCTTCTTCCCGAATCATGGGGGTTTCTATGCCCGGTGCACACGCCAGACGGTTCTCCGTGTGGGCTTCTGACGCATTTATCGCATGCATGTGCCATCTCTCATCAGACATATGGTCTTTCCACCGCTGAGCTAATTAGATCGGGAATGAATCATCTGATGAGCAATCTAAGCGGAATACCTATTATTCAAAACGGAAGGGTTATGGGCACAATCTCAGAAAAAAGCATTGAATCCTTCATTGAGTCACTTAGAAGAAAGAAAATATTGGGAGGAAAGTTCAAATATGCAGAAATCATATATAACACCCAGACGCTCAACATTATTAACACGCCAAACCGATTTGTGCGGCCGCTTATGAACATAAAGGAGAATGCAGTTGAGTATATCGGGTCAAGTGAGCAGCTGCACATTCAAATAGAAGGTCTAAGCAGTGGAAAGAAGGAAACTGCAGAGAAAATACAGAAGATTGCAGAGATGTGTAGAAACCAGGATGTAGTGCGAGTAGAGCCAACACACAGAGAAATAGCAGCAACAAACATACTCAGTGTAGTTGCAGGAAGCACGCCCTTGGGGAACTTTAATCCAAGTCCTCGTAACATGTACCAGTGCCAAATGGCAAAACAGTCAATGGGAACAGCGCCACACACTCAGAAGCACCGAACAGACCAGAAAATATACTGCCTGGACTACGTGCAGACACCCACAATGCACACGAATCTATATGCGAAGTACGGGCTTGGGGATTACCCAAATGGAAAAAACATCACAATTGCAATTTTATCATACACAGGATATGACCTTGAGGATGCGGTTATTCTGAACAAAGCCAGTGTGGACCGAGGATTTATGCGGGGAGCAGTTATAAAAACTGAAGCTATCAACTTTTCAGACATGCCAGATATGGAGATAGGCACACTTAACGACAAAGAAGGCCTTCCAGATGTAGGTAAGCTAATCAAGGACAAAGAGACAATATATACCACCGTAAACACAAAGTTCTTGGAGGAAAAGGCCCATAAGAGTCATGCGCTAGAGAACATGCGGGTGCAGAATGTGTCGATCTACCAAAGCTCAAATGGAAAGAGAGCTGCCAATATAACGATGAGAATACCAAGAGTGCCCACCATTGGGGACAAGTTCAGTAGTAGGCACGGGCAGAAGGGAGTCTGCTCTATTCTGTACGAAGACGAGGATATGCCATTCAATGAGTCTGGAATCACTCCAGATCTAATCATTAACCCGCACGCCTTTCCAAGTCGTATGTCAATTGGTATGTTTATTGAGAACATTGCTGCAAAGACCGGTGCAATGCTTGGAACCCCCATGGACGGAACTATGTTCAAATATGGGGAGGAGGGCCGGCCAGATAGCAAAAGCAGCATTGGCAGTGTGCCTGGGCCTGAGTCGGATGGCATTAGTGCAAGCGAGTACTTTGGAAACATGCTGGAGTCTGTGGGGTTTAAGCGGGGCGGAGGAGAAGTTCTCTACTCAGGCATAACAGGCAAGCCTTTGGCAGTTGATGTGTTCTTTGGGATTGTATACTACCAGAGGCTTCGACACATGGTGAGCGACAAGTATCAGGTGCGTTCAGTGGGAGCAGTTGACCCCCTGACCAAGCAGCCGGTAGGAGGTAGGCGTAAGGGAGGAGGAGTCCGTTTGGGAGAAATGGAGAGAGATGTGCTAATATCCCACGGAGCAGCTTCTCTGCTAAACGATAGAATGCTTATGTGCAGTGACTACACAATTTTAAACGTCTGCAAACAGTGCAACAGTCTGTCCTTCTTCCAGGCATGGATGTGCACAGAGTGCAAGAATGCAAGAAACCTTGTGCGCGCTGAATTTCCGCATGTCTTTAAGTATCTAGTGGCCGAACTTGCATCTGTTAATATCCAGTGCAAAGTTAAAATGGAAAGGATTGATGCCTGCTAATATTTAAATAAATAGAAGTGATTACACTGCGCCAAGCTTTATTCAATGCATGCAACAGGACTTAAAATAAACAGGCCTGATTTCTACTATGTATAGTCTGTTTACACTGAGACCTTCAACTGGTGTTTTTATGGGATATTATTTGGTACTGTGCATATATTACAGCGCAAGAGTGCTACTCTTTGATAAATTTTTATGCGTTATTAGTAATTTGCTCTTGCAGAAATTTTACATGAACTCACAAGTTATTGCACAGTTTATTTCGCACGATGACACTCCGCTAGGAAGTGTTCTTCAACTGCCTGTGAGCATAACACTTGAATCGCTTAGACTGCTTCTTCCCCCAAATACAGAGGAAAAAGAGAGAATGCGTATGTTTATATATGGGTCAGAAATTATAACTACGCTTGAGGAGGCACACAAAAAGGAGAAGGTAGAGAACGAGGAAATCTTAAAGATATACTGCTACCCGGATGACCCTCCAAAGAAGACAAGAGCCCCAGGATATCTTGCTTCATCTTGCTCTGGGCACACAGCTGCAGTTCTGAGTGTGAAGCACAGCCCATGCAAACAGTACGTGTGCAGTGCATCCGGAGATGGAACTGTGCGTTTCTGGAGTGCGTCCACAAAGACCCCAATTAAATCTATAAAGATATTCCAGCACTGGATCCAGTGCATTGAGTTTTCTCCTGACTCTAAGTGGTTGGCTGCTGGATCAATGAACGGCGGAGTCTCTCTAATTAAAATGGAAGATATGTCTGTTGTCTACTCTAAAAAAGTCCATAAGGACGGGGCCACTGCCATTTCATGGCGTGCAGATAGCGAAGTGTTTGCCACCGCGTCAAGGGATTGCAGTGCTGGTGTGTGGGATGCAAATGGCCACGTGCGAAGTATTTTCCACGAGAAGCCTGTGATATCCGTCGGATACTTTGGAGACTATCTTCTTTCCGCAGGAAGAGACACAAATATAAAAGTGACATACGAGACGGGCGCAGTTGTGCAGGTACTTAGAGGGCACATTCTGTGGGTTACTGGCCTGGCAGTGCACAATGGAAAAGATCTGGGGAGATACCTTAAGAAGTCAGACGGCATAGAAACAGGCGCAGGAAAGAGTTTCTTTGTGAGCATGAGCGACGATAAGACAGCCGTCATGTGGAGGCCATCGTGGACTGAGAGCGGCGAGTGGGAATTCTTGCCCTCTCGCAAGCTGACAGGACATAAAGATATACTGACAAGCGTAAGTATCTCATCCAATGGCGCGTATATATCAACTTCCTCTTTTGATAAAACAGTAAAGCTATGGACGTCTGTCAATGGATACCTAGCACATACCTTCAAGTCACACACACTCCTAGCATACCAGACAGCCTTTTCTTCTACAGGAAACCTTCTTGTCTCTTGCTCTGCGGATAAAACCGTCAAGGTGTACTCGGTTGAAAAGAAAACCCTTCTGTCTGACTTTGTGTGCAAGGACCAGGTATTTGCAATAGACATAAAAGATGGAATGATTGTAGCTGGAGGAAAGGACAAGCTAGTATACTTCTTTGTATGAGAATAGCATAGACAAAGAAAGAAGTAAAAATACACCCGTATGCTGCACAGTTAATTATTATGAGGCAAAATAAATCATTTTATTCTCTTTGGTACAGCTGGGCATGGCTTATTATCACATAGGCTTTTATATACCTAAATTCAGAACGAGTTTTACCAGAGTGGAAAAACAGGCCCTTTATTCTGGTACTTCCTCTGTTTATAGTTTTCTTTAGAGCAAGCTAGTTCTAATTATTTGCACACCCAATGATTAAAGACATGCAAAGCAGCTATACACAAGCATGCACCTATATGCCAAAAAGGAAATAAAATGCAACTTACTCTTTTATTTAGAATTTATTAAGACATTGCACTATAAGTCTACTACCTCTTTGCTAGGAGTGATTTTTAGATTCATTTTCATTATGAGTTTTTTAAGATACTTTGTATTCTGCATATCTGTTTCTTTCGTGTGCTCTAAAACAAGGCTTTCCACCCTTTCCTGCACGTCAGGCACAGACTCCAAAACATGCTCGCAGCTCTCTAGAACAGATATGCATCCAGGCATGTCCTTCACCAGAACAGACGAAATCATTTGCGAAAATGCATCCTTTAGCCCTGCATCGTGAGAAGCAGAGAGAATATCAAGGCACAGAAGAATTCGGTTTATGTTTTTGTAGTAGGCCTGCGTGTTGCGGATGATTTCTTCCTTGCTTTTTGTTGTGAGAACATCCTTCATCTTAATAAAGATTTCAAACCCGTCAAATCCTGCTGCATCCAAGCGCAGCGAAATCTCCTCAACAGTGTTCCATATAGAAACAACAACCTCTGTGTTTCGGAGCTTGAATGCCTCAGAGCCTATAAGAGACCCCATCCAATTCTTAACCCCGTTCATCTCAACAATCGATAGCGACTTGCTTGACAAAACAGTTATAATGTGCTGAAGTAGCGCAATAACAGATGTTGTGATGTGCTTGGATGGCTTATACTGGAACCCCATCAGCACCTGCAGCAAGTTGCTAAAGGGCGCTGCTTGGCAGAGCATAAGCATCTCCTGTGTTGATATGCCGCCCGTGCTGATAAGAATTTCAAACAGCGGTCCTACTATACATATTCTGTTTGTGCTATTCTTAATCATTGTATATGCAAGTCTGTGAAGTGTCTTTGTATTGTTTTCCTGGATCTTCTTCTGCAACACACTAGCCATTTCTAGCAGTTCACTGTCTGTTATGTTCTGTATTTCTTCCATTATTTCAGATACAATTAGGTCTGGGAACTGGTCCTTTTTGTCTTTCTTTACCTCCTTTCCAAATGTAAATATATTTCGGAAAAATCTTGGGGTGGCTGCTGCGTCGTCTCTTTGCAGGGCGATCTTTTCAATTGAGGAGATGAAAACGCTCCAAAGAGGAGAAATTAGCTCCTTTGAGTCTGCAAGCATTTTAATTAGGAGATACGGATCGGATATCATTTGCATTGTGTCAACAACTGCGTCCTTTGCTCCTATTCTTGTGCATGCCTTTATGTATCCCTTTATTTCAGAAGGCACACCTGCAGAAGTGATCACCTCTGTGACTTTGTACTCCTTTATTAGATGTCTGTACACAGCACGAGTGCAGTTTCCACAGTATTTGTATCTTTGCCCTGGGGGAATTATAGGATGCAAGCTTGCATCTGCATCGCACTGCTGCACCATAAACTCCGCCACCTCTGAAGATGTATAGTTGCTGAGAGGGACTTCAAGCTTTCTCTGCTTTATCTGAGTATAGAGTGTCTCTATATACTCTGCATCAACATCCTTGCATGTTTTTAGGATTATTCGAGAAAACTCCTCGAGTGGTATCTTCTTAACGGTATTTACATTATGAAGACTCGTGTTAATATAAATAACAGCCATGGCAATAGAAATGATAGTCTCACTGTCCTGTTTCCTGTCCTCAGAGTACTTCTTGGAGAATGCCGAAATAATTCTATTTATCTTCTGTCCTTCTCCTGGAAGGGTAAAGCTCAAAAGGAATATTCGCAGTGCAGTCAGCAGGTCGTGCTCTGTAAAGTCAAATGATGAGCAGAATGCTTCCAAAAAGTCCTCTGCATTCTCCTTTCCAAGGCATTTTCCAAGCATGTGCAGATTGGTTTCTGAGTGTGCGCGCAGAAACATGCAGACTGCCTGAGCTGGATTTTCATATCCCTGCTTTTGCATTGTTGCTACCAGATCTTCTGCGTTTCCTGTTTTGTTAAACTCTTCCAGATCTAGCTCCAACTGCCTCTGTACTCTCTCTATCTCACCTAGTCTGTTAGATGTCTTGCAGTACATGCACTCTGTTGTTGTGTCTGGCTCTTTTAGCATGCGGATAAAGTGGATCGCTCCCTCCTCCCACAGTTTATCAAGAACAATTTGCAGAGTGTTTTTGCTTGTAATTCTAGTGCACACGTCAAGAAATAAGTACTCCAGGAAGAATGGCTTGCAGAACACGGAGAATATTTCTGTCAAGGGAGCAGTCTCTCGCTCCATGTACATTTGAAAGTAGAATGGCTCATAAAACCCCTTTCCGTGCATCATCAGCACAAGCTGGTTGGTGTGCCTTTTTATAAAGTCAAAGAGAATCAGCCCAGAAAGAGTTTTTGTCATCTTCTGCGAGGACACTAAAGCCACCTCAAGAAGAGCAGGGCAGATAATAAGCTTATCCGAATTATCTAGCAGGCTCTCTATAAACACCGGATACCGTGCAAGGAACTGCCTGAATAGACGCGGTATCAGATAGCCGCACTTGGTGCTTGTAATGAATGATTTTGACATAAACAACGTGCAAAATACCTTAAAAATAGTCATCCTGTGCTCTGGCGTGCCAGCCACCTCCAGAATAAGCATCATCACTTTTAAATAAACAACCACTGCCCTTTCAACGTTCTTCTCGTTCTTCAAAAACTTCATTTTCCCAAGGGACGCAGGAATTTCCTGCAAGTCAATGTGCTCCTGCTTCTGCTGGAGATCCTGAACAAGATCATAGAACACATCAAGAACTATGTACTTCTCGTTTGAATAGAGTGTTTCGCACAGGAAAAGCGCATTAATCGTGCATAGAATGTGCTCTAGACTGATTTCCATCTCCTGCAGTATGTACCTATTAAGCTGTTCTACTATTTCTCTGGCCTCCTTGCTTCCCTGCTCAGAGACTTTTCTTAGCCGCAGGGCAGTTCTAGTTAGTGTATCTTCTGCTTCTGACAACATTATTTATATTATTTTTTTTGGTTTTTTAATTAATACAATGCGTACTAATATATCCAAAATACAGCTCTATATGCACTCCACAGCATAAAAATGCACAAAAAATAAAATGCACAGAATTTACTCAAAATACACATATTTATGTAACAGATTATATATGCATAGTAATAGATTCCAACTAAACTATTAGCATATTCTTTATGTTTATCAGAGGCTGCCATATTTATTCACTATTCTAACGTATACAGAAAATATACTCCCCTTATATATTTCCAAAAAAGTATACTCTCAAGTGCACAGCACGCAAGCTGAATAATCTATGAATTTCTTTGGCAAAGCAACACAGCGACCCACATGGACCCAGCAGGTAACTAATACTCGTGCGGCCATATGCCTGCGTACACACCAGAACCCGTTTGATCTCTGAAGTTAAGCGCGTGACAGCTTTGATAGTACTGCGATGGGAGACCGCGTGGGAACACAGAGTGCTGCACTTTTTGTCCTTTTCCACAATACACCCGCAGGTATAAAACCACTTGCAAATACACTTGCACTTTTCATCTACTGCATAAATTCCACTAAGACTTCATAAAAGCTAATTGTCCCACTATACATAAAATACAGTCTGCTCATACAACTAAAAATAACGTGAAGATATTTCTGCAGTATAGAATGAAATTATTCAAGATTTGCTTTTATTTTTGCCGTCAAGATATAGTCGCATGAAGGCCTAGACTTGCCGTTAATGCAAGCCCGCATACACCTTACCAATCTATTACGCCTGTCCCATATCTTTCATGATATTCTGTAATGAATTTGTGCATTATTAAGCACTTTCATTTTCTGCTTCATTCTTCTGCATATGCATGTGCATAAAAGACCTCTTATTTCTTCTGCGCAAATGATTCTTCTGTGTATGCCGGTGTGTGTCTGCATATCTATATTAGCACACTAATTGTCTATTCTATATTAAAGAGTGAGTAGTATGACTGCAACAGTATACAATATCCCACTATAATGCATATAATAATGACTATAATTCCTAATATTCTTCCTAGCTGCATGTGTTCGGGTTATATCTTCCAGAAGGTAAACAAAACATTAAAAAGGACTTTCAAACCAATCAATCCAAAACTTCAAACTGTTTGTTGCTATTTCGCACAGTACCAATTCCAAACAAAATCTCTCTTTAGTCTTCTATCGGGCAGTACTATTTAATGCACGAAAAATCGAAGAAAGAATATATAAGATGTACTGTAGCCCAGATGTTACAGCTGCAATATCTTTCATAGCTAATCCCGTATATCACTTTCTACAGTGCATTTTTTTAGTGAAAGGTATATTTGTTGATTAAGACCCTTTTAGAGAGAATAATTATAAAACTCTACTGACCACGGAGAACAAAACAAGATCCATATTCTTCCTTACGAGGGCCATAATACATCAGTGTTTTTGGCTGCTGATATTTTGCTTATATACTCGAATACTTCTAGTCAAGTAGGCATATCTAGTAAATATATACAGGAAAATATATTTTATATTCTGCTATAATTCACTGTATATTATAAGTAGTACGCACATAGCATAATTATGCTTAACAGTAAACCCATAAGAAAGATAATAAATATTGTCTACTACCAAATCATATAATCAATATCTAAATGCACATTAATCTTCTATGCACTAATTCCTTATTAATTATACTGTATTCGGGTTATATGAATTTGAATATTTTTGCGCACTAAAATAAATATATGATACATCTGTATCTTTCTTACAGGGGATAAGGCTTATATTGAAAAAAATTTAATGATGCCAAAATGTATTTGGTCAACAGCGCGCTAAAGTACATAGGAGTTATAACGAGTGATGACTCAGACAATGAAGAATACCAAAAAGTACTCACACTTCCTAAAAATCCAAAGGAGAATGTTGATAGAATAGGTCTTCTGCATGAATTAGTTCTAAATGCAAAAGAGAGTGCAGTTAACATATCATCCATGGCCCATGAAGATAACTTAAATATTGAAAAACCATTACAAGAGACTGCTTCTACTGAAAACAATGAATCAGTAGAGGATATGAATGAAGAGGCATTCTATAATGTGATTGGTGAGATAGTAGATGGCTTGGTTAACCAAGTAACAAATGATATAGAAGGCTGTGATACTAAAAAGACTGACGCTGCGACTAAAACTGAGACTGAGACTGAAGGAATTACTTTTTATATGCGCCGATTAAGACTTGAAGATGTAATAAGGCCTCTCAGAAAATCATATAATAGTCTGAAGAGTGCTGACGACAGATACACTGCTTTATTTATGTGTATACAGCTAATTATACGTAACAGCTTAGATATTCGCCTGTGGAATCAGACCTTCCCAATAGATCACAAGAGAATTATTTCCAGAATATCATACATGCTACTTGAGCAGCTCCTTCAGAAAAAAGCATCAATAATAAACCCGGCGATATACAAAGCATCAGAGACACGGGAGCAAATCACTGATGAGGAGTTGTCTATGGTGGTGATTGATGCAGTCACTGCTATAGGCAAGTCCGGTCTACTCGATGAGTTTGGAGCTATAATTAACAAATGGTATAAGGAATTCATTTCTCTTGAAACAATTAACCAGTCTGCATATCTTCTGCATATGCTACGATCACACCATGCAATGCTCTTAAACAACAAGGTCTTGAAAAAAAGAATACACATTGATCTAGAAATGCTTTCTTCTAAAATAGCTGAGACTAGAACTAAAAGAGGCCAGCAAGATTCAATTCAAAAAGCAATGGAGATGGATCTTTTTAAACCAGATGAAAAAAACGAGTATCCTATTAACAAGGCCTTGAAGGTGCTAATTTCGAATAGAAGTAAGTGCTTGGACGTGCTTAACAGTTCCAATATTAGTAGTAGTAGGCTATTTACCATTCACGAAGAAAATTTGCTTTTGGCTCTGCACAGTCAGTGGACAGTTGCAACAAAAAAGTACACAATGGTCTATAAGCAAATTGACCAGATAGTCTCTGAAATGGAAGACTTAGTGCTCACTCGGTCAGACTACAACTATATGAACAAGAAGGATATAAGCAATACATATGAAAAACGACTCAACAGATACAATGAATTCCTTGCATTAAAGCATGATGCACTTATTTCTAATCCTGAATACTATTCAGTAAAAGAGTACTTAAGCAGCACGATACTGGATCTTAAAAAGTTAGCCAAGAAAATACCCAGTGTAACCTATTTATGCAAGCATATGTGTGGGTTTGAGACACTTGCAGAAGAGAATTCTGATATTTATAAAAAGAGCTATGATCACTACGTATCTACCAAATACACAAGAGATGTTCTTGCTGAGAGCAAACAGAAAAACAAAAGTAAGAAAAATAATGAAGTGAAGCCAATATTGCCAGAGGGCACAGAGAACCCATTTGTTCAGTCCACTTCCTATACGGCTCTTTTTGCAGACAGTCTGCTTGATGATACTTACAATGCAGATTCAAAGAACTCTGCAGGTAGCAGTTCATCATCTAAAGGCATTAAAAAAGCTAAAGCACTGGTTTTAGGTGTAACTGCTGCATGCATGCTTGCTGCAGGTACTGTTTCAGTAGCGAGCGTTATATCTTCATAAGGAAGAGTTCATATAAGTTAATGAACTATTCTTCATTATAAATTCACATGCATTCTAGCTTAGGAAATGCATCTGTTTTTGGATAGCAGCTGCTTAATAATAAAGTGACTCTAATAGAAAATACTCCAACTAAGAAAACTAAAGACAAAAATTTATTTAAAAGTACTACTATATAGAGTCATTAGCAACAAAAAGATTTATTTTTATAGGTATTTTCATACTATACACCATTATATTGTACGGCTGTGGTATTTCGGCTATTCTAAGATGGCGCAGGCCTATCACAAAGCAGTAAGTGTTTTGCTCTCTTGCATATATTCTTATTGCTGCAGATTATATTCTAGGCATCTGAAAAAGTATCTATGCTTCAAGCAAGAACTAAATTCAGTATAGGGTATTAATACATTTTAATAAATATTTATAAACCAGTCAATATGCTACTCGTTATTTCAAAGTCTTTGATAATTCATTTTAAGATCTTTTGTTTAAAATATTGAGCATACAACAGGATTCTTTGTATAATAGAACAGTTATAGTTTGTCACTTGGTTAGTCTTAGATAATATAGCCGCCACCATTTACATCTTTCTCCTGGGTGTTTCTAATATTTTATGTGTTAGGATGTATTTTAGCATATAACAGAATTCCTTTAGTTTATGGCAAGTATTTCAGCTATACAATTATTATATAAATATATATAAGAGTCTTCCAAGGTAAAAGAAATAAATAAAAATAAATTTGAACACTTTATTTCTAGAAGCAGTACCATAGAAATATTCCAATGTGCATATCTATTTTAGTGCACTCGATATTTTTTTGACAAGCTTTTGGAGCTTTGGATTTGCACTCCACTCCTTGCAAATACTCTTCATCTTCTTTCTCAGCTGCGACTTCTCCACTATGTCTTTCAGAAGCTGCAAAAGACCTTGTAAAACCTCTTCTTTTTCTTCATTTGCTATTATCTCTGCTGTTTTGAGGAAAAGAGTGATCCAAGCGCCCTCTGCGTATCTTTCAAATACATCTCGAAGAAGGTTTATGATAAACAGCTTGTCTGACACTGTTCCCTCCTTCACCTGTGCAAGCAGAGTGGTAAAAACAGTAGGCCCGTTATTTTCCTCTGGAACGTACTCAGCTAGTATTGTCCGTATGGTAGAGCGCACGGATTTTCCTGTAGGGGAGTTGACATTGCCAATTATCTCCAAGAACTCGGTAATTGGGACATCACTCAAGAAAAACACTAGAATGTCTTTGTAGTGGTATATATCGTACTTTATGCTGCTTATTATATCTTCCTTGGAGTTGTGGTCTAGCACATAATTGGCAGTGAACAAAGCATACTTAAGTATCTCCAGAGCCACCATGCCTACTGCGTCTATTTTAGTGCGTATTTTAAGCAGATCCACAGCATGCTGCACTATCACTATAGAACTATCCAAATGCGGGGAATGCATGTATTCTTCCTTTAGCAGCTGCATGCACCCAAATAGTACATCGTCATTTCTGCTGCTGACCTGGCTGAGTGCCTGATTTACAGCTATTTCATATGCTGGCTCACTGCGCCTGCTAGTAATAGCCTGTATGGCAGCCTGATGCAGCCAGCTGCCAGGCTTCTCATGTGCAAAGACCTCCTGAATGAGATCAGATGGTGAGTCTTTCAGTGCGTCTATATAGACTTTAATTATTTTTTTGTCTTTGAATGAGCCGTTCAAAATGGAAAATGCTTTCTTCCCTGAGTACTTCTTCATTACAAGCAGAACTATTTCTTTAAGTATACTGAGCGCATCTGGGTCTACTATGTATGTAGAGTCTAGGTATCCGCTAAGAATTGGCGCAAGTCTTTCAATGCAAGGCGCGCCTGTGAATAGCTTTATAATTTTAACTACTGCATCAAAGTGCGAGGAAATCTTTTCTCTCTCCTTTCTCCAGTACCTTTCAAGCTCTTTGCAGAAAAACTCTGCTGCTGCGTTGACCTCCTGTGGTGTGTACTTTTTCAGGGCGGCCATCACTTTTATCTGCAGTGCGTTCTGGGTGGGTAATGCGCTTGTGTCCTCTAAATTATCGTCCTCGTTCTCATTTATGCTATGTACGTTTGCAGACTTGGAGACAGATAGCTGTGCTGCTAAAATACCAGTACGCCGGATATCTTCTTTCTTGGATGCCTCTTCTTGCTCTGGTGTGAGGGTGACTATGGTCTTCCTCTCCTTCCTTGATGGAACATCGCTGGCAGGCCTCTTCTGGGTAACAGATTTTATAGGTATTACAACTGTCTGTTTTGTGCAGTGCTTTATAATCATTTCTATATTCCTTGGGTCCGTCTCTATTTTCTCTAGCTGTGCTACTAAATTTTCATTCAGATCTATAAACACGCCTAGCAGAGCATGTACCACGTAGTCACGGAAGGCTTCTCTTCTTAGCAAAGTGTACATGTGCTCTTGAATTATCATGTATATTGTGCTGCTCCGGATGAATCCATTCTCTTTGCTGAGCAGCATCTCCATCTCCTTAGTGAGATCATACTTTACCTCCGCTGATGTCCCTTCGTACACAAACGACTTGCTGCTCTGGGAATACATCCATTTAGTGGTAGTGTCTGCAACAGGAGCATTGCACAGAAGCTTCATCTTATCCACTATCTGCACATAGTGCAGTGGGTAGTTTGTGTTGAGTATGTGGAGGGCAAGGAATATAGTGGCCTCGCCTTCTACCACAGAAATATCCTGCTGCAGGTATTCTGAATTACTGCAAGATATTCCCTGCCACATTGTAGTGCTGTTTGTTAGTCCTGCCAAAACGCATGCTTCGTACGTTCTATATGCCCCCATGATGGTTTTCCAGACCTCTTTCGTTACTCTTCTGTCGGTTATTATTCTTCTCTGGAGAGACAGTGGGAGTGTGCTCAGAATATTGCACAAATATTTTGATCTAATTACCCTATCTCTATCATTCCCGTCAGTATCAATGATTCTTTCAATTTGTATTGCGTGCTCCTTTGCATTTACGGATGCACTTCGCAGAACAGCATGCTCCCAGCACCGCATAAGAACAGGAGAGTCAGTTTGCTTTCGCAGAAGAAGCAGTGCAAGCCCAACAATCTCTCTTCCATGGACTGTATCAAGAATTTCTGTTAGAACATGGTCTGGATAAACCTCATTAACAATGCATATTCCATTGCATATTGCCTGATTAATTACTCTACTACTGGGCATACTTTTTGTGCGATATTTTTGTGCGTATTTAAGAAGAATACTACTTTGGTTTTCTGCCACGTAGTTTTTATCCATTTCTGAATAACTATCCAGCAGCTGGCTAAGGAAGAGTGCTACAGTTTCTTCTATACTTTTTTCGAAAGAGACTTTTTCTAGGGCCTCTGGCCCCATAGACATAAGAACAAGCAGGCCGGTGTGGCTATCTGCCCTATACATGCTGTCTGGGTCTTCTTCAATTCTAGCTAAAACACTTTGAAGAATTCTTTCCTCTGAAGCCATTTTGTACTCCTTATTTATATACACAACTGCCATCTCCAGAATATTCTTTGGGCTGAGTGCTTCTACAATTCTATTTATCGAATTCTCCTGGAACTGGTAATGCGATGCTATTTTAATGATGATTTCAACTGGAAATTCATTTACTCTTGCAACTAGGTCATCTATTCCTAGCTGTGACCATAAGGACCCTACCATGGTAACAAGAGGCAGCAGGTACAGCACAATCTTCTGCATAACAGATGGATCAGCTCGTTCCTTGATCTTTTCCAGCAGTAATTGCACATCCTGCTCACCTAGCTTATAGAGCGAAGTGTATCTTTCTATATCAAAGTACAGGTTTCTGTTTCTGTCCAGCAGCAAATTTGCTAGGAAGCAGACTCTAAACTCTTGGCTGCTTGCTTCTAAGAGACTGCAGACCCAAGGAGAAAGTGTCTGCGAGGCCTTCAGTGCTTCTGAGATAGAAACAGCTAAATACTGCTCTTTTTCCCCTACAAAGTTATGGTTGGATATTCTACTAGATATATCTGCACTACCCCAGGAGATTGTTACAATCTTCTTAATTAGATAGAAGATGTTTGCAAGTGAGTCTGCATCTTTTTCCTGCTCTGCTGCCGCCAAAGCCGTCTCTGCTATCTTGGCACTGCGCGTCTTGATGAAAAGAGCCTCTGCTGATCTGCAAGTGGCTGTCCAGTCGTCTTCATTATGCGAGTTTAGTATTAAATAGTTTACTTTTTCCTCTATGCCCTGTGGGGCCCCGTCCATAAGCTTTCTGAAAAGAGGATGCGTCTTTGCCCACCCACTAAGAATTCTATCTGGTTCATCTTCTCCTGCAGGCTGCCGTATTTTTGCAATTCTCTGCGCTATGTCTATTTGCCGCTGTGAACTCATAAAAAATTTACTTCGTTTCACAGCGCACTTATATTTTAGAGTAGGCTGTTAAGAGTTTAGAGAAATAGAAGCAACAAGCTAGCACATGCAAAGTACTCTTATTGGCCCTCTCATAAGCGTACAACAACTATTTGCTTGTTTCTGGCTGCTTTTTCAATATTTCTAGGGGGCTAATATGCAGCTACTTTCCATCACTACAAAGAATGGGCTTTTTACAGTACTATTTAAGAGATATCTGATAAGCTAGACTGCAAATGCACACTTATAACAAAAGCAGCAGAGTACGCTAAATTCTTACTTAGAAAGTATTTATTGAACCACTGGGTTTTCCATGCAAATTCAAGTTATCAATGCATGTGAAGCAGAGAGGGCACTTTTGAGTTACTCCAGTTATAGATGTATCTTTGTAGTTCCATATAACTTTCTTGTTTATTGGAATAGAAAGTGCATATATTGGATGCGGCCTATTATGAAATACTTGCTGCATACGGATATTTTGTAAAGAATAGAAGAAATAGGAGGCGCAGTTATGCAAGAGTAAAATACAGCAAAGCTCTTCCTTCTATGGGAAAGTAAAATATATCTCTAAAAGAGAACTACTACCAGAAGTTGCACATGACTATTATCTAGTAGCTAATGCATTGTATTGGTTTAGTACAGGGCATTCCCAAATATTAAAGGGAAATAGACTGTAATTTCAAAAAACGATTTAAATATCTTGTTACGCTCTATGAAGGAAATTTTACTCTGTAGCCAGGTCACTTACAGAACAGATTTCGAAATTCACTTCTGCCCCATTGTAAAAAAGAAACTGCCCTCCACTCTTTTCAAAGTCTCCGCAAATAGCAAAGACCTGGTCCTGCTGCTTATGCGTAAAGCAGTCATAGCTGTCTCCTATAACCAGACCTCTGAACTCCTCTGTGTATGACAGGTCTGTGTACGGGATGAAGGGATTGAAAGACGCCTGTGTTAGAAGCGCGCTGCCTAGTTCTTTTCTGAAGCTGCCCTTTACAACACTTTCTTCTCGTATGCCATCGATCAGATCAAAGGACCCAACCAGAAATGCCTCGTTTTCTATTCTTATCTCAGCAGGGTTTGTGGAAACAGTAAGGTTTTTGTATGTTGTGCACTCTCCGCGGGGATAGAAATACCTGCTCCCTACGCCTGGGATGAGTATAAACTCAATGTTTTTGTGCACCTTTGCTAGAGATGCTTCTATTCTGGGCTGCATGTTGGCAAGAATCTCTGTTTCATGCAGCATAATAACCACTGCAGCCAGCTCTATTTCGTATTCTGCATATACTTTTATCACATCGCAGATTTTCTTAATATTATCAGCTGTGGAGACAAACTGAGAGATCATTATAAAGTTAGATTTGCCAGGCACTGAACTGCTATTAATTGACCTTCTTTCCGGAAGATGTATCTTTTCAACAGAAAACCCTTTTTCAGTAAGCTTCCCCTCAAATCCTGCACATATTCCTCTTCCCACAAAATAGTCGCTCTCTTTTATCTCACAGACCAGAACTGAGTCATCTTCGTCTTCTATCTCCACATCGCCTGTCTCTGAAATATGCACCATTCCAAATATCATGGAGGGTGTATCTGGCTTCAGTGTTACAATTGATGTTTTTGGGAAAACAACCCCTTCCTTCAGCACTTTATATCGGGCAATCCCGTCTGGCTTGTACCTAACTGGATTTACTTCTATTTTCTGTCTTTCCTTTTGCTTATTCTTAATTGCATCCTCAACTGCTTGCTCTGTAAGTATTTCAGAGACATAGTTTGCCTTGATTATGTCTGCATATATTTCTGCATTGTCTATAGTCATCTTTTCTCTTATGCGCTTTATTACCTTTTGGGAGAGAGGAATTGCGCGTTCTTGTGTGAATATTCTGTACACATCCATCTCTGTGAGTTTGTCTGCAGTCACTTCTACTTTCTCTTGCTCTTTCAGTGGCTCTCCACTGTCTTTATCAGATGCGCTGTTTTCCATTTCTGCCAAAAAGAAAGAGCAGCTTTTATAGTTTCCAGAAACATGCAGATGCAGGCTCTACTTCAAGGATTTCAAGGAGCACGTGCAAATGCATAGTTCAGCATATTTAAAGAAGCCCCTTGCTTACTTTATTCGCATTCACATTCTGCGTGGTATACTGTATTGAGGCACCTGCTTGTATGCGCTAGACAAGAGCACAGTCATAACAGCATGATCTATATAAATATACATTTTTGGCTTGAGGCATATACTTGCTTATATAAGAATAGAAAAGGCATATAGTTCAAGTGTTCTTTGTTCATTCTGCACGGGTAGCATGGAGTCTGTCTATTTAAGTGGAAGTATCTGGCAGAAGCAAGTTTACTGCATTTTTATGTGTAGCATGTGCGTGTGCAAGGATGAATGCTTTTATGCATGTGGGTGTTCTGGATATTTAATGATAAATGGTCTTGCTAGAGTCAGGTGTTTCTGCCACCCAAATACTCACAGCATACTTCAGTGCAAAAATACTTTCATGCAGGAGGGCAAGCCACGGGAAGACACAGCGCAGGGCCGGGTGTGTTGGTAAGAAAAGAGAAAAGACTCAGAAGGGTCTGAATTATTAAAATATAAAGAAGCCCTCTTTAAGACAGTAGAGAAAGAGGGTGGCACACAGCGCGGCTACACTAATTTTCAAATAACTTTTATTTAAAAGCATTTTCTGTGGACAACTGAAGGTCCGCACTCGTCGTACTCAGCCTTGCTGATCCACATCTGCTGGAAAGTACCAAGTGAAGCCAAAATTGAACCACCAATCCACACACTGTATTTTCTCTCTGGGTTTGCCACAACCTTCACCTTCATGGAGGCAGGAGCCAGCTTAGAGATCTCATCCTGCATTCTGTCAGGCATTCCCTGGTACAGAGTAGTACCTCCTGAAAGAACGATGTTTGAGTAGAGATCCTTTCTAATATCAACATCACACTTCATAATTGAGTTGAAGCATGTTTCGTGGATACCGACAGTTTCCAGTCCCATGAAAGATGGCTGGAAGAGGGCCTCTGGGGCTCTGAATCTCTCATTTCCAATGGTTATGTTCTGGCCATCTGGCAGTTCATAGCTCTTCTCAAGCTCGCTGGATGGCTTGGCCATCTCTGCATCGAAGTTTGGTGCAACGTAGCACAGAGATTCCTTAATGCTTCTGACTATTTCTCTCTCAGCAGTTGTAGTGAAGGTGTATCCCTTCTCTGTGAGGATTCTCATAAGGTAGTCGGTCAAGTCTCTTCCGGCCAAGTCTAGTCTAGAGATAGCATGGGGGAGAGAGTATCCTTCATAGATAGGAACAGTGTGGGTAACACCATCTCCAGAGTCCAGAACAATACCAGTGGTTCTACCGCTAGAGTAAAGAGACAGAACAGCCTGGATGGCCACGTAAAAGGATGGACAGTTGAATGTCTCAAACATAATCTGGGTCATCTTCTCTCTGTTCAGCTTTGGGTTCAAAGGTGCCTCTGTCATAAGCACTGGGTGCTCTTCAGGTGCAACTCTTAGCTCGTTGTAGAAGGTGTGGTGCCATATCTTCTCCATTGCGTCCCAGTCATTGACAATTCCGTGCTCAATTGGATACTTAAGCGTAAGAATACCTCTTCTGGTCTGGGCCTCTTCTCCAACATAGGACTCCTTTTGACCCATACCTACCATAACTCCATGGTGCCTGGGCTTACCTATTATGCTTGCAAAAACAGCTCTTGGACCATCATCGCCTGAGAATCCTGCCTTGCACATACCAGATCCATTGTCTATTACCAATGCTTTGCTTGCTTCGTCTGCCATTTTACAGGGGTCAATAAAAAGAAAAAATAAATACTTAGGAATTTGTTTGTATTTTGGGTTATTATTGTTTTTTTAATAAAAAGATATAGTAAATATGTCTCAATAAACACGTCAAAATGATATATAGTCCGTATTTATACCGTGCATACTGTCACTGTAATGGCATGGTTTCCTGTGGGCCTATCGCCTTGTTAGAACAGCCCGTATCAGTGGCTAATTGAAATTTTAATTAATTTGCAATTTATAAATTTGATTTTCTTACATTATATTAACTAGTCTAGAATCAAGTAATATTGTTCTGGAGAATAGTAAAGCCTGCGATCGAAGGGTCTATAAAGGTAAATGCTGTCTTTGGAAGCGCCGAGTGAGGCGGAAGATCTTCATGGATAAATTGTTTTCTTGTTGTTTTCGAAACAAAAACACACAAGAGAAAAGAAATTAAAGAAAACAAAACAAAGCACATAAATTAGATTTAAGCAATATTGTATAGGAGAATGCACCATGACCGCCTAATTAGAATAGCATGCTGAGTGGGGTAGCGTAGGGTAGTGAGGCAGTAATGGCTTTGTGGGCAATTATTTTCTTTGTTATTAACTTGCAGAAATTTGCAAACACAAAATTGCAGAAATTGAACTAATTCCTTTTAGAACTCAAAAATCCTTGGCAGTCGATTAATAAGATATTAGTGCGGATATTATTAGACAGCACTATTAGACACAAAATATGAAATATTAAGTATAAAGCCTGCATTAGCACAAACAGATTCAATATTTACAGAGTGAAAATAATATAATTCTTTCATGGCTGTATCTCTGCCAGCTGGGCATACTAGGCCTACATGCAGTGCATAGAATTTTTTTGTTGCTTTTTAGTCTATTTTTAATTTAAGACAGTGTGTTTGTTTGCCTTTTGTTTATACAGATAAATAGATACACAAAATAATATATCAAAGAGCATGCTTCTTTGTATTGCTAACACTTAAAACACTTAAAACTACTGTTAATAATATATTGTAATTCTGTCTGTCTAGCTTGCCTTAAATAGCTAGTCTAGTAGGGTTCTTTAATTCTTTCAGACTTTAAAAGTACTCAGCCCGACTATATATATCACTTATATCTATATAGTGTACATTTAGTCCACTGCATGCAAGTGCTAAAATTCTTTTAATTTTATATTTCTTGTCTTCTCTATTACGAGTATATTTCTATGTGTTCTTTAATATTGAGCTAAAATAAATTTGCTGCTGTATGTTGTCTTAATATATCCATACGCTGCTGTAATGCTGTCTGGTTCTGAGTTTTATATCTATGTGCACCTGCACAGGATAGTACTTTGATTTATGGAGTGCCTTTTCCTGGCCAGCCTTGTTGTTAGCACCTTGTCTTTGAGGAAGTGTTAAAAAACATTTAGAGTCTCTTCAAAGTATGTGCATATTTTGGAGCAGCAGGTGGCTGCAGAGAGAGCGTATGCAGAGAGGGATAGAATGTGGTGCATTCCTGTGTTTGGGTCTTCTCCACTTGAGATTGCATTAATGTAGAATACATACTCTGGGATTTCCTTCTGCTCAGATATTTCACTGCGCACTTCTATGCTATGCGCATGCTCTTTGTTTTGTTTCTCTGCATGAGCTTTTATGTCACAATTTAACGTGTCAAAAAAGTTCTCGCCTTCCTTTGACAGACCCACTTTTATGCTTTCGTTGGAGATGAAGCTTTCCAGTCTCTCCTTCTCAACTTTCATTAGCTCAATTCTCTCTCCTTCTGAGTATATTCTGTGCCTCTCCAGTAGCTGCACAAGCAGCCCACTGAACCTGCTGTACACTCTTGGAATTCGTATGGTTTTGTTCAGAGTCACCACCTTCCCTATGCTTAGCTCAATTAGCACGCGCAGATGGCCTGCCTTGTTTAACGGCGAGTCAAGCAACATCAGCAGACACTGGTGGAGTATATCTGGCCTGTACTCCGTGCTGTTTGCCCTTTTCCTTGCTTCAACCATTTCACTGCTGAGCAGCTCCTTTCCTCTTTTTGTTTTGACTATTTCTATGTTTGCATTCTGCAGAACTACTGTCAGCATCTTTCTGCAATAAAAAAACAACAAATAAATTGCTTGTTTATTTTCCAAAGAGTAATCTAGATCTGTGCCCCTCTTTCATTAAGGTCCGTTCATTATTTGTGTTTATTTATGGACAGAGGTGCACGAAATGAAATCGTTTCGGATGTTTTTGGTATTCTGAAGAGCAGCAAATCTAGTCAGAGTGAGGGAGATGAAAGGAAGAAGGACATATTTTGCGAACCCGACATATCCTATGAAAAGCCCTCATACTCGTATGCCACTTTAATAACCCAGGCAATAATAGATAGCGCAGAGAAGAAACTAACACTCCGGGCCATATATGCATGGATTATGGGGAAGTACCCGTATTTTCGGAGGCAGCGAGGGGGGTGGCAGAACTCCATCCGGCACAACCTTTCCCTCAACAAGTGCTTCTACAAAATACCAAGAACAAACAACGATCCGGGGAAGGGCTCCTACTGGACAGTTGACTCTGAGTATCTGAACGTCTTCAATCCACACGCCAAGCCTAAAAAGGAGTGTAGAGAAAGAGGAGAGAAAGACTGTAGAAAGTATCTGGATGCGGACAAGTCTTCCTTCTCTGAGATACTTACAAATGAAAGAAACTTCTTTGACTCAATTGGTGTCTCTGACAAGCACATTTTTACAAAGTCATACGACTCATTGATTTTTGATGGAAACTTGCGAGATTTGGATGGGGATAGCTTTGAAAAGCTGCTCTCCAGATCTGAAGGTTCGTTCTCAGGCAGCACCTCTGACTACTTTAAATTTTCAAGGTAATCATGTATACTTTGTAATTAAACTTCAATAGAATAATTGGCTTATTTATTATCATTTTAGTATTTCCTATGTCCCAAAAGGCACAAATAGTGGCACTAGAACCAGCACAGACAGGCGGGCTGTTTTCCTTGGCGGCTGTCTAAATAAAATGCTGCATGCTCTGCTGCCAGAAGATTCCAAGAAGAAAAGGCTTAAGATGCGTATATATTATATTTTTACTAATATTCAAGTGTGTAGACTGTGTAGGCAGCTGTAAAGGCTTTTTCTGGAATATGTGTTTGTAAAGGATGCGAATTTATTTTCATAGAAGAGAATCTGCATAATCTGAAGCAACCAGAATTGTATACAGATATCTTCTTCAAGCACTTCTGCTATGCATGCGCGCACTAATTGTATACAGCTAATTCTTCTGTCAATTTGTCAAGAAGAATACTGCATTGCTTTACAAAGTGCACAGTCACATAAGATGCATCTGATTTACAAGACCAAAAGGACTAATTTACACGGGATATAAGAAGTGTTTTTGCATATAATGTATATACAGAGTGTTTCTGCGTTTCTCAAAATTACTTATGTTTAAGTTATACTGAAAATAGCATCTCTTCATAATTCTGAAATACCATGAAGAAGATTAAAGTGTAATAGTCTGAACATTTTAAATATAATGATTTATATGAAGGCTACTGAAAGTCACCCGAGTGCATTTAATGATTACAGGCCAAGATGAAATATCTCATCCTTACTAATGGACAAAGCAGCAGGATAGTGCAGGAACAGAAAGCCATGCACTCATCTGCAATAGAAGTACTAGGAGGGCTTAATACAAATAATACAAATATAATGCAGTCTAGATGGTTTTCCAGGCAGATAAGTCTACAGAGTAAATATAGCAGCAGGCCATGCTTGTCATATCTATTAATTGTGGCGTGCAGTACGAGACTCGTTTACACTTATATATATCATATGGCTTATCTCGTTGTTAAGTACTTTTAGAATAGTACCAGTTTGCACGCCCAGAGATATAAGAGGAGTACACAGTAGATCAGTATATTCAGTGTCGTATATAAGTGAGGTGTCCTTTAGCACAACAGTATCTTCACATACTTCAATCTGAAGGTGTCTCAGGATATCCTGCAAGCTTGTTGTTTTTTCTATTTCTATAGTGTGCGCAGTAGGCCCACATACTCTGCATTTGGCGTACGGAGCAATGCCTTTAACTCGCCGTATACTATTGCGGTCTAGGTAGTATATATTGTGAAGTACTCCTTTCTCTAGCATATCCATTTGCAGAATGATCAGGTTCGCTACCAAGGCATTTGTTGTAATAACTGAGGGAATTGTTTTGTCAAGTATCTCTTTTGTCACAGAAATATCTTGCACTTCTATATTATACTGCACAGCGCGCGCTGCTGATATTCTGTGGATCGACTCTAGAGTGTCCTCTGCCCCGCGGTTGCCCACTTCGTCATACTTTGCCCAGTGGACGCAGTGGTGCCACTCAGTGGGCGTTCTTCTAAGGGTGCAGATCGGATATACCTTTGCATCTGACACTTCCCTGCACTCATAGCACTCGGTTTTTTTTGGGAATATTATGTATACCTCGCCATCGTATCCTGCAGTGCCACTTTCTATCACAGGCACGCCAGAAAGAACACTCATTCTGCTGATGTGCTTTCGTGCAGGAATATTATCCACACAGCTCAGAATGCACGAGAACTTCTTAAAGAACTCCACAGTGAAAAAAGCACTTGTTATATCCTGGGTGAAGAATCTTGACTCTATTGCATTCGAAGATAGAGCTGCAATTGACCTAGAGAGAATCTCTGCCTTATACTGGCTGATATCCTGCAAGGTGAAGAAAGACTGCCTGTTAAGATTAGACAGTTCAATTTTATCCATATCCACAATAGTAATACTCCCGGTGTATCCCTTAATAAGAAGATGCGCCACTTCACTTCCAATTCCTCCTGCACCTACAAGCAAAATATTCTGGCCTTTTTGCATTTCCAAGGGAGACTAGAACGTAAATTTTTTCAAATTTATTCAGATAGACAACAGCACATACTTGCAGTGCAGTAGTTGAAATTATTATATGCAGCAGGGAAAATAGTGGGAATTCTGTATAATAGCATATCTATTGAAAGAATCAGATTTACAAAACAAAGTGTGTATTTAGGCTATAAAGATGCTTTTAGTATGCATGAAATCGTTTAATGTACATGCATTTGGCACTCTAGACAATACACATAGTTTCTTCCACTTTAACACCTCTGACTATACACTACTACTGAGGGTGCCTCTTAAGTAGCATACTATAAAAGTACAGAAAGAAAAGTAAAGAGAATAATATATTCATATTTGCATTATAAATAGTAAGGAAGATGCAGGGCATAGACTGTCTCTCTGCATGTACTATATAAGGTTGTGCAAGTGCCCGTATAAATATGAAAAAAATATGCTATTTTTATTCTGGATGGAGAATACGTGCTTCAGAGATTCTCTCTGGCTTCAGGAGAATATTCTGACGAAGGATACAGTCACAGAGTACTTCTCATACTCCCAGTTCTACGATAAGAACTGCAATAATGAAGTGCTTAAGATGCAGAATATTCATCAGAGCGCGCAAGACCTAGAGACTTTCTTGAGTAAAATGTGCGGGGTGCAGTACACAATCACATACGCGTTAGAGCCAGCTCTCTTTATTATTAAGAAATGTGAAAGGCTTTCTCCTGAAAAAGTCAGAGTTATTGACTACTTCTACGTAATGAACGGAACAGTCTACCAGGCACCAACCGAGAAAGAAGTCTTTTCCACGCGATACACAAACATTCTATTCTCAATGTTCAGCTCATTAGAGAATATGCCGTTTCTTGTGCGAGCTCCGTCTGCGCAGACTGAAAAAAGAAAGGGTGTAAGCATAGGGCGCATGTCTGGCCTGTTTAATGCGTACGCAGCAGATTATATGGAGAATAAACAGCCATAACCCTGCAGAACAACAGCACAAAGAAGATGCTCAAATTGCGCCTTCACTGCATAAAGAATAGAAAGACTAAAGAGCACAGTGGCACAGAAGAAAAGCGCTTAGAGAAAGGCTTAGTAGAAGAAGCGTAGATAAAAGACAGAAAATGAGCATACTTCTAGATCAGGTGAATTAAATGCGCGAGTACCAGAGTTGCAAGAATCTTTAATAAAACCAGACACTCAAAGCCAGTATGGCCTAAAACACAGAATATTATTCACTTTTGCACGTTCGTGATACTTTTTGCAATCTCATAAAAGCATTTGGAAAACAAAAGAGTAGCTAGTACGGCTGCACTAGGCCATCGATTAGACTGGCTAGGCCTATTCATATATAACCCGAACCCGAATAATATTAAGAGGTATAGAATATATATGCTAAGCCATCTACTGTTTGCTCCATAATAAACGTAGATTTAAATAAATGCACACGTGTGTATGAAAGAAATAAGAGTAAAATTAGTTTAAACCACTGGGATTTAGTGTGCATTTGTACAGCATATGTTATAATGATTTATTTATAGCCTTCTATGTATATAGGCGTGCCATCCTGGTATTCTTGTGGGTTGTGCATGGCTGGGTTTACGGCAATACATTCTGCATATAGCTAATCCATTGTAATTTATATCTAGCAATTATAACCCCTAATTGGAGAGCGTCTGGCGTAGTGCCTACAACCATATTAAGCAGCGCCTATTTAATACCTCTGCAAATTGTTTTATGCAGAAAGCTGTGCGTCTACTCGTCTGGTGTTAGATTCTCTTTGAGTAAGGGGCTGTTCAGGCTCTTTTCAATCTGCACCTCCCACCGCCGAATTCTATTTATGGCAGCAATGGACTTTACTATAACTTTTTCCTTTGCCTTAAACTTAACAACAATGCTTGACTCAACCAAGGGATCTGTCTCTGCTGCGTGCTGTTTTACTAAATCACGCATATCTGACACGTACCCCTCTGCCATTCGGAGGAGCTCCTTCTCATCAAGATACATTTGGTCAACATATCTTTCTACTTTTCCTATGAGAGACCTTCTTTCCTGCTTGAGCATGTTTGCAGCATTTGCTATTGACTGAAATCTTTGCACTATCTCATCAGGCTCTGGCACGCTATTCATACCTGTTTTAAAGTACGTCGATGGATTGCTCGACATCTCAGAGCCATTCGGGTCTATGTACTTATGGAGCCGCATATAGACCTTTGACTTAAACGAAGGGAATGTCTGCATTAGCTTCTCAAATACTTGCAAAAAAGAGTCCATATTTTTCATTGGAGGCTTGCTGTGCCGCGATGGCATGATATCGTCTGGATTAATTTCTACTCTAGCTGTGCCCAGAGAACTATGCAAAATGAGCGCTATTATTTGAATACCTCGTCGGACAGTTATTTTCATTACTTTTGAGCGTGTTAATTTCCTTATATGGAAGGTAAAACTTTGTTATGTAATCTACAAATAGTTTTGTTTCTGCAGGGGGGTTTAAGCCACAGGCGATCTATATTGGCAGGAAGCATACATATCCTAGTAAATATACCTCAGCCAGAAGAGCCCAAACCAGAAAGATGCAGCAAGGCGTAAATATGTGCACACTGCAATAAATATCAGTACTCGTATTTCCAGCTTGTAGTTGCCTAACTAAGAATAGTAGAAGAATAATCTATGCAAGTACTGGCTTTTAAGTGCCGTTTTCTTTTTCTTTTTATTTATCCAATGGTAGACAAATACCTCTCCAGGATAGAGAATTATCACAGTATTCAGGGCCTTAAGAAACAATCAGAGTGGGAGATAGGCAGACAGGCAACTTCTATCTGTTTGGCAGGGAGTACACTGTATTCAGGCACTCGGGATGGAGATGTATTTGTGTATGAAGGGTCTAACTACATCGAGAGATTCTTTGTTGCGCCATCCCGGATAGTCAGCATGGCAAGCACACCCCACGGAACAGACAAAAAAGGCATAGTTATTCTGCATGAAGATGGAACTATTTCGCACGTGCATGAAAGACAAGGGCATGCAGGCAAGATAGATGGGTTCATCAATGGAGTTATACACACAGATAGGTCATGGGTGGTCTCTAGCACAGACACGGGAGTATGTGTTTTTGACTATAATAAACAGTCTCCTCAGTACGGGTGTGCAAAAAAGCAGAAAATGCAAATATCAAGGACACAAGCCGTAGAGACAGAAAAAAAAGTATTTGCAGTGCACCCAGATGGAAACTGTGTGCTTATGTGCGATGGAACGGCTAGGCTATTCGATTTAAGAAGCATGCGCGAAGAGATGGAGATAAGCAATATTAAGAATATAAAGGCAGCACTATTTCACACCTCCCGGATAGAAATGATTGTGTCTGAGGAGCGCACGATTAAAACAATTGACATAAGAAATGTTCGCATGATAAGAAAGATAAAAACCAAGAAAACTGCTGCCTGCCTGCATGAGTATAAGGATGGTCTTTTCTTCTCTGGCATAGATATGTTTACGCGGGGCGTCTGTCCTGTTACAGGAAAGTCTCTCTTTGTTTTGGAGGCCTCTGCTCGGCTTATTGCATCAGATGAAAATCTGGCTCTTCTAAGTCCAGAAAAAGTGGTTACTATTTATGGTGAAGGCATAAAAGACAGAACAAAGAATGACCATCAAGCTGAATCATAATTTCACTGCAACAAAAGACTATATTCTGCAGTAATCACAGCCAATGACCATACAAAAGTAGATGTTTTGCACATATGTATTTTCCACACATAATTTAGAAATTGCCAAAATAAGCCCTTTACTATGAAAAGATCAAAAGCAGAATATATGCATACATAGAGCCTATTAGTTGACAGGCATCTTCATTCAAATAGATAGTAGGCTTAGGCGCATAAGACAATAAATATCATAGAAATATAACCCTAAAATCATCACTTAAATAGGCTAGTAATCTTATACAAAACTATATGAATATTCATAGGAAAATTACTACTTTCATAGACCCGAAATTATTTCAGAGCTGTCAAAAAAAGACACTTCCCATTAATATTCTGCACAGAAATTAAAAATGCAAAGTAAGACAATTTCTACTAATCATGCAGTGGAATATAGGTGTAAGTGTAAGACGAGAACGCATTGGAAACAAAGTTTAAAAAATAAATACACTGCTTCTTTCAAGTCTATTTTCCCTTCTATTTCAAGTTCTATTTTTAGTAAAGCAAGAGTGTGCTCTGGCCATATGACATGTAAAGAGGCGTATATCCATTAGATATTTATTGTCTAGTCTAGCAGTTAGTTCTACATTCTGCCAGGAGCAAGGCCTGCAAGCAGTGCCTCAAAGGGCGTATTCTCAAATATCTTTGCCACATCCATTATGTATGCTGGGACTTCCTTATTAACTAAATACTTTGCCAGGTTGTTCGAGAAGTGATTGCAGTTATTTCTAATGATGTGATATGTTTGTTCCGTGTATAGCTCGTCTATTTTCTTTAGGTACGAAGTTAGTTCTTCTTCTGTCACGCATGTTTCCCCCAGCTCAATCTTTCTGGCAGGAGCCCCAAAGGGAGATGTTCCAGGGCGGTCAGCTCGGATGCCAGACATAAAGTAATACTCCTTCCCAAAAAGATGCAAGGATGTGTGCCAAATGCCCTGTATGTCCACTCCAAGCACGCCTCTGATCATTGCCACTGCAGAGTCATTTCCAATATTGTATACCCACAACTCGACGCGCTGCATAAACACAAATTGTAATATTTTCTTTTATTTCGGATGAACAGGTGGAAGTTTGAAGACTTTGAAATCGGTGCATCGTTGGGGCGAGGGAAGTTTGGAAAAGTGTACCTGGCCCGGGAGAAGAAGTCTGGTTTCATTGTCGCACTAAAAATATTGCTAAAAACGGAAATCACTGAATGCAATGCAACAAAGCAGGTCAGAAGAGAGATCGAAATACAGAGCCACATGAAGCACGATAATATACTAAGGCTGTACGGATACTTCTACGATGACCTGAGTGTGTACATCATATTAGAGTATGCAGCAAAGGGAGAGATGTTCAAGTTGCTCCAAAAGAAGAAAAGGTTCACAGAGCAGGAGGCAGCCAAGTACATAGCAGAAATGGCGCACGCCCTAAAGTACATTCACACGAAAAACGTGATACACAGGGACATTAAGCCCGAGAATATTCTAATTGGAGCAGACAACAAGCTGAAAATTGCAGACTTTGGGTGGGCAGTGCACAACATAGACAGCAAAAGGTACACATTCTGCGGCACAATGGACTATCTTCCACCAGAGATGGTCTGCCACCAGAAGCACGATAAGTATGTGGATATATGGGGCATTGGTGTGCTTGCGTACGAGTTTGTGGTAGGAAACCCGCCATTTGAGGCAAAGGGAAGTACAGACGAGACATTCAAGAGGATAAAATCGATTGAGTTTACGTTTCCAACCTACCTATCAAATGCGTGTAAAGACTTCATTTCAAAATTACTTGTACGAGAGCCTGCAGGAAGACTCTCGATAGACCAGATACTATCTCATAGATGGATAAAAACAAATACCAGAGTAAGGAAGGAGTAGCTTTTATCTGTGGAATCCCAGAGTGTGAAATAATATGTACTCGATCCATTTGAGAATAAATTAATTCTGATCATGTTTTCATTTGAATGCATGCATTTTTTTATTTACGATGGGAAGCACAGCAAGTAAGTGCGTGTCTAGTTCACTGCATGTAATAAAGGTGAAGAAAGGTTCAGCTGCAGACAGGCACAGAATACTTCCGATCCTGCACTACATCACGCAGGTGAACGGAGAGTGTGTTCAAAATGAAAAAGACATCCGTAGGATAACAGAAGCATGGGAGGCAGGACAGGTGCAGCTCCTTATATATGATGCCAGGTCAAAAAAGGAGTCTGTTGTAGAGATGACCAGAAAGGACAGAGAAAATATTGGGTTTAGCATTAAGCTGCACAAAGGCGAAATGGTCCCACAGACATTCCGGATTCTGGACGTGGAGTACAACTCGCCTGCCTTGGAGTCAAGGCTAAGAAAGGACGAAGACTATATCATTGGGCACGAAAAGGGTGCATTTGTCTCTGAAGATGAATTTGAGCACGTTCTGCTCAGCCATAAAGGCGCACCGCTCATTCTGCAGGTGTACAATATAGGGATGCTTAGCATAAGAAAGGTAAAAATATCCCCGACCCAGCAGGGCGAGATTGGGTGCAGTCTGGGGGGTGGCATACTAAATGAAGTTCCGTATACTGAGGCAAGAATCGATCTGGTGGAGAAGACAGAGTGCTCTTATAAAGGCGAGAAGGCGGCTAAGGAAAAGGACAGTGCAAGCAGCATAAATGAATCTCAGAAGAGTGGCCCTGTCCCTAGTCTTCCAGACTCACATGCAGAAGAAAGCACCCAGATGGAGGAAGTGCCTATTGATTCCCCGAGTGCAGTCCTTCAGAGTGAGCAGGAGACAGCTGCAGAGCAAAACACAGTGAGAGAAAAGAGCAAAGAAGAAAAAGAGGCAGAAGAAAAAATGACAGCAAGTATACAGGAAATGCGGATCCACAATGCATGTGATATATCCAGCGCATCTGCCCTATCATATTCCAACGAGGGGGAAGAAGAGGAAAGACAGCTAGAGAAAGACCTACACCAGTCCTTATGTGAAACAAATGGATTTAACGAACAAGTAGTTTCTCCCAATGCAAGTGCGTTAGAAGATGCACCAATGAATGCGCCTGTCATAGATCACATCACAAGGATCTCCAATTCAGAATATAACGATATTTTAGGTGAGTGCGATATCCAAGGAATGCAAGATAATTCTGTTAACACACTCTATGGTTATGATAATTCTGCAAATATCGCGTCGTATATGCTAAACGGACAAGATAAAGATATGTACAACTACTCTAATCTGCCAGGCATGGATGCGTACAGTGGTTATGATGCACCATACAACCAGTATTTGTATAATGAAGGCGAAGAGATTGCCGCACAGCGAAGAGAGCTGCAGAGTCTTCGTGAAAAAGAACTTCGTGAGCGGGAGAGTGCTGTTCTTATGGAGATGCCCCGGGAGTACTACATGCAGGAGTGGCCTGCCCCAGAGAAGAACTATGCACAAGAAGCCATCTATCAGCCAAGCACACCGAAAGAACCAGAGCCAGTGCAGAAATCAGAACCCGAGCAGAAACCAGAGAAGCCCAAGGTTCAATTAGAGCCGACTCACAGTGTAAAAGAAACATTCCGTGAAACAGTTAAAGAGTATAAAGAGATTCCAAAGAAAGAAGAGCATAAAAATAGCCCAAAAGAGACAGATAATCAGCCTAAGCCTAAGCCAGTGGCTTCTTCACCAGCACCAAAGAAACAAGAGTGTGCTAAAAGTCCGTTTAAACATTCAGAGTTTCGGGAAACACAGCCTGGACCACTTGCAAAATACATGCCTCTACATTATCAGGAAGACCAAGGACTAGGCGGCTGCGAGTCTTCTTTCCCACCTGCACAGCCACAATTTCAGCCCGAGTATCAGCCGCAGCTCCAACCGCATTTCCAACCGCATTTCCAACCGCAACTCCAGCCATATCCAGTGAAGAGAGAAAAAGAAGTGCAAAGCCAAAGAGAGGATGAAAGGGAAGAGGATGACCAATTGGCACGGCAGCCTCCAAAAGATCTTTTTTATCTGCAGCCAGGTGACGAGGGCTATGGAAATGATGGGTTTTCCGAGTACTTCTAAGAGAGCAAGCATTTTCTGCTGAACTCGTATAAATAAAGGAATATTTTTATTTCGTGCGTATATGGTTGCAGTAACCGAATATGTGTTTACTGCATCGCAGTATTTTCGAGTTATTATATACGGGATGCTTATTCTATCTGGCAAGGTGTGCAGTGCACTGAAGAACTTAGCAGTAATACAGCACATAGGAGGAAAGGAGGGGGCAAAAATAATTCTGTTTAGCGTGTCGCAGATGGTTCTAAGCCTTCGGGAGATGCTTATTTTGCCTCTAGAGAAATACTATATTAAGAAGCAGGTTACAACTGTACATAATCAAATTATAGATGTTTTGGATGCAGAGCCAGATGCAGAAGAAAGCATATCTAAGCTTCTTGTAGAGAAAGCAGCAAAAATTAAAATAGCCGAGTCTCGCATCAAGTACCGCAAGAAGTATCTCGTGTATGGGCTGAAGTCTATTCTTATTGTATATATGCTCTTCCAAATGGTCTATTATATTTTTGCTGCAACTCTTGTATTTCTAGTGGCTGACGTGTGCATTAAGCTCCGGGTGCAAAGAGAGGAGGAAGAAATTGCGCATATTATATGCGAATATGATGTAAAGCAGGACCACATGTATAGGTCCCTTCGTTATTTGGAAAAGCCTGCAGAGCAGTCCCCGACACACAGAGAAAAAGAAAGCATAGTAACGAAGGTTTTGGCAGAGCACAAAAAGAGCTATCAGGAATATCTGGTCCAGCATATTCAGGCAACATTTATACGATCTGGATGGATAGTTCTGGGCTGTATTCTATTTCAGCTTTATTTCGCAGGATCTGTGCATCTTTTGCAGATAAGTGGAAAGAACACAGATTTATTCATTGTTATTTACAAAAAGATAGAAAAGCTAAGCAATGGCTTTATAAAATTCCTATGACCACAAACACTATAGAGACATGATATGCAGTGATAGTGAATGCAGATATAAAGCAGAAGTTAGACATCAGCAAGTACTTGAGCCACCAAGGCACAGCTTATTTCACCCTTCATTCAAGTTTAAATATTTAGCGTATGCGATATAAGCTCTTATATCTCAAGCATAGGAAGCCTTAGCTCTATAAGTTCCTGAATACATGCAAAGACAAGTCTGCAGTGCACGCTAGGCTTAGTGTATTTTAGACTATGCACTAATCCTACGCAGTATGTACATGCCTGTTGTCGAGTTTCTCTGCCCTAAAGCATGTAACTCCTTCACTGGGCCAGAAGTGTAGGTGAATTCTATTTTAGATTATTTTGTTTTAGGTGCATGCCAGTGTGCCACAAATGCCACTGCTTTTCTACGCAAAGTCACTTTGTAACTTAGACTCTTGGCCAATTTCTTCTATCTTTATGATCAAAGGATGTTTTCTGGAAAATATGTCTATATCTATATGATAATGAATGGGGTCTATAAATAGAGGATGAATATAATAAAATATAAAGAATCATAATGTAAGCCTACGGTTTTAGAGAAAACTCAAATTGCCCAATGCAGGCTACATTTGGAAAGTACACATGGCATACACTTGCTAGGAAGAAAGAAATAAATATTAAGTAAAAACTGCATAAATACATATGAAGTATTTTATTTCATTAGAATAGCATTCCAGCCGTACTTCTATGATATAGATGAATTAGCATAGACACTGCTAGTAATAATGTTTCATAGAGCCAAATATAACCAAAATACTTTATAAAATTATTCGGGCTATATCAGCATACTCAATGTATACTCTTCTTTTGCTAATATTATTATCCTGGATGGCTTCCTTCCTGTTCTTCATCTTGTTGATATGTGTATTTCCGCTGGCTATTTTAAAATAGCAAGTCTGCTCTGAATATGTGCTTTGAATTCTGCCCCAGCCACTTTAGTTTAATACTCTTTGCTTCTGCAAGATTAGCGAAAAAAGAACATCTTCTTAGAACAACTACTGCTGTAGCAAACAAAAAATTGCGAATTAAAATGCACTAGCATGGAGTGAAAACACTTTGAATAGCAATAATACCAGCACAGATGGTAATTATGAGAACTGCAAATACTCATTTCATACAAGAAAGAACTTTAAAAGATGAATGATTTATCTTTATTCCCTATTACTTATTCCTGTTAACTAATACGCCAATAACAACACAGGCTACAACAATAACACCGCAACCTACAAGAATAGGCTTCCAGTATTGAGAAAGGAAACCACCTTTTTCCTGTTTTGTTGATGTATTTATCTCACCAACTAAATCAGATGTCCTAAACATACTACTGTATAATCCCTGTGCTACTGCTTTCATTTCCACTTTGCCCTTATCCTGGCAAGAATGTGGTGTAGAGATGTTAGAAATGTGTAAAAAGTATTCTTCTGCTAGCTTTCCATCGTTATACTTTGATACAAGATCATTTACACTATCTGGGTTTTCTGGCTCCAATGAAACTGGAATACAAGACACACTAGAGGGATCTGGACCAAAGAATTCTTTGAGTTTTTGTTGGTTTACAGACATCTTCATGTCATGCGCAATACTACCTGACCCATCTTTTTTAAACTGCTCATCGGTGCATCCCTTCTTTAAAAACCTAATTGAATACTGGGCGTTACACAGATTTTCAAATGCGCTTTGGTGTTTCATAAAAGTACCCATGATAGTACTTTGGTCTATGGACATTTTTCCCGCATTTTCAGTATTCACAACAAGATTTATGATGTAGTTCATAGTAACAGAGTCCTCCACGCTTTCTTTCTGTGCATCTTCTGCTGGAGCACCGTCTGCTCCATCTGCTCCCTTTCCGCTTGCTGCTCCATCTGCTCCTTTTCCACCGGCTGCTTTGGTCTTGTTTGCTGGATTGCTTTCAGACTTACCACCTTTGCCTCCATTCACTCCATCGCCATCTTCTCCATCCTGGGCACTTTTATTATGCTTTTTTGCTGGAGGAGTCTCTTTAGTAAATGTGACACTATCTTTAGTGACAGCCACCAGATTTAAACCTGCATGACTATCTTGTACCTCAGTAGAAGCTAGCACCTTGAGCCCAAAAATATTCAACATTGCGAATCCTAAGCTTATCTTTGAGAACTTCATTGTAAATTAAAAAAAGAAAAATTATTTATATTTTTCAATATTGGCTCTTATCATTTTTTTTTATTTTCATTTTGGAGTCTATATTAAAATAAACAAATAGAATCCGGAATTTGTGTTTGTATTTTACTAAAATTCTGATAGAAAAACAATACGCTATTATTTGTGCTGCCAGATTTAAACACATCATAGGGAAATGTCAAAATATGCAAGAAAACAAAACATGCCATGCTGTATTTCATGTTTTCTTATTATCTTTAAAATATGGTGTTTTTTCGAAGGATCTTCTCTTTAGGGGGATGGTCTTAGAATAAACTAAGAAGAAAATTATTAAGCCTATAAATGCTGCCTACTGCACCCCTAAATTAAAAGTGCACTATTTTCAGTTCTTAACTTACCTAAGCGAGGGGAAGGGGTATCTAGCAAATCTGTCTTAAGAAGCAATTTTATTAACATTCAGATTGCATCCATAGCATTCTAGGCTTAGTACTTTTATCTCTTCGCTTATAGGTCAAATAGGTTTCCAATACATTTATATTCATTTTTGGAATTATATGTCTATACTAGTATGTATAATGCTCTTCTTATAGTGCTAGTTTAAAGCTTTGTGTTTCTTAAAATAAAATTCATATATTTTATGACAGTTCTGTTTCTTGGTCACTTAAAAATAGAATTGGCTATGAGTGCATGCCAATAACCTTTGTACACTTATAATGGATTTAGAAAAGCTTTATTCCTGCATGGAAAAATTGGAAATATTTGTTTAAGAATATTCATATATAGTGGAAGGCACTGCTAAGCATATGGATATATTGTGTTTTTGTGAAGTTCATGAAGCATAGTAATAGACTATCCATCGGCACTGCTAGATGCACATATTTATATGTTTAGAGCAGACACTAGATATTTTTCCCTTTTGGAGCACTATACTTGATTACACCAGAGTTAGTACTATTTATATATGTTCTTTCTTATCTTGCTAAGCTAGAATAGAATGTAGAAACTATTTTGTAATTGCATGCATGAATATTTATTTGTTCTTAGAAGAATAAAAGGCTAAAAGTATAAGTCGCCTAATGGCTTCGGTTAGACAGATAGAGTCTTTTGCAGCGTATTAATCTACAGATGAAACATGGCATTTCAAGCTAGAATTCATTCCAGCTGATTTTTCTCTTGAATTATTAGAAATAGCCATACTAGGCTGGGCATAATTTATTTCTTGTAGACCATTCATAGACCACCAGAAGATGCAAATCAATGCGATACTCCATAAGAGTAAAATCTTATTGATGAACTAAGGCAATATATCCACTATGAAAACACTATGATTGTGATCTTAATAAAACAATTAGAGCCCCTTGTAGTGTACTGGCCCATGATCAAAAACCCAGAAGGCAATGACAAACATTCATCTGCATTACTGAACTGGGAAGAGAGTTTCCCATTCTTGAGGCAGAAAACCCAGCAATCTATATTGCAGGCACAAGAAAGGGCTGCTGCGCGCCTTCAAGCCAGAGGAGACTAACACTATACTTGGCTAGATGCACAGAATGCTAGAAGAAGAAAATGCCAGAATATTTACAACAAAATCTGAACTATTTCATTAGCCAAGAATAGTTGTAGTACGTGGACAAGACCTCTTTGCTTAAAAGGATGTTATTCCTACTGATCTACTACCTTCAAATTATAACACCTTCATCTCTATGGCACTATAATAAAATGTAATTAAAATAGGTACATGTTCAAAATAAGCTAATCAAGTATCTATGACTCTTGTTATATATCGGGTTATATCTGCCTTTCACATAGATTCTGATAGGGAATATTCCCATAGATTTTAGCCTGAGTGGCAATGGTAGGAAAGGCTATTATATACATTCAAGCTATTCGGGTTATATAAAGTGCGTGGAAGAATATCTATACATAGAGTCATAAAGTGAATGTGTATCGTTTATTTGTTTATAGCATAGAAACAGCTGCAAGTATGGCTACAAATGCAAATCCTAGGGAGATGCTTGAACTGCTGCTGTTTGCTGAGTTGGTGGCCTTGGACTTCTTAACAACCTTAGATGCTGCGCCCTTGTCAGAGCTCTCATCTGCGCTACAGCTCTCGCTGTCGTCATCACTCTTGTCCTTTCCAGAGGATGCCTTAGAGGCTGATCCCTTGGTTGGGTTGGAGCTGGTTACAGAGCCCTTTTCGCTGCTTGCTGCGCTTATGTTTCCGAAGAACACTATGCTGAGGGTAGTGATAGTTAGTAATCCTGATAGTTTCATTTTATTTTTCACTGCTTTTCTCCTATTTATACCTTTATTTATCCATAGAGCTTTTAAACCATGTTCCAGACTACATCTATTTGAGGCATATTAAAAATTATAGTACCTAATAATGCGAATACGAATGATCTATTGATCTATTACCTTAATATACTCTAAGTAATTAAAAAGAACGCGCTTTAGACCAAGGCTACTTTAAATTAAAATGGAAATTAATGTGAAAATTAAAGGCTTTGATTTTTCCGGCTAGAGACTGGTCTGTTTTGTTCTATGCCCAGGCACATATGAGTACACTATAGCGCACCACAAGGCCATTGAAAAATATATATTAACTTATTCTAAATGATACGCCCTAAACTTAGTAGAGAAATTAACATTTGAGGCATGCATTAATGAATTCAGTGCTACAGGAAATTAATCATATTCTACCATGGCCTAGTGCATGGTGGGTTTTCCTTAAAAACAATATCAATAAATAGCTAGAGAGGCGTGACTAGCACTAATATATACAAAAGCACTGCCTTACACTCGCACCTATTCAGAAGATCTACCTACTCAGTACATGCTAGAGAAGAAGAAAGAATGAGTTATTCTTACTATCACAATTTCTTGCTGTATTCTGCTCTCCCTTAATAAATCTTTTGCTCTCTATAATGAATCTGCTACTCTCATAGAATTAAACCACACTTATGCTGAACTTTTCTTTTTCATGCGATGACGTGACATGACACTTTAAAATTTGCATTTTGACATGTCAACCGATATATCCCGAATTATATTTGACGGGCGCAAAAGGGAGCAACGCTCCATCTAGTAGATAGTAGTATATAAACTGATATAACCCGAATTGTTAAAAGAGTTTTATTTTTATCACTTTTTGCAAGTGCCTTTGGTGACTGTGACTTTTTTATTCGTATTTAATTTATTTCTTACTGTTGACACGTGCTACTTACTTTAATATTTTCATATGATTACATAGTGTCCTTCTGACATATAAAGAATCTTTCAGAAATTTAAATTGACATTGATAGACTCTTGTGGCCTCAAAATAATGATGTGTGATTTCACAACAATATATATAGATGTACGAGTCTAGATTAGATGCATTTTATTATTCTTTTCCTCTTGCCTTTCATTCTATGCGATAGTAGTGATGACAGTTGTAAGACTGCTTCTGAGATATCGATTTTTGCTGAGAAGCTGCACAGCCCTTCTCAATTTCTTTTCGTGTTTGCTGTATTTGGGATTCTCATTATGATAATTACACTTGGGCTCTTGGTGTGCGTGTACTTTGACTTCTTTAACTACGAATGGCCAAATAAACTTTTGTACGGCGAATTTGCAGCCAATGACAATTCGTGCAGTGCAGTGTTTTCCATAAAGAAGCCGTTTTGCACCGTTGCAGACACAGACGTAACATACCAAAACATAATGCATCACAACAAGCTAAAGCTGCCTCTGTGCAGAAGCCTCACAGAAAAGCCCATAGAAGAGGTTCCTAGTTTTATTTACAACTCAATTATGGCGCAGCTTATAAAAAATGGGCATGATACAGAGTTTCTTGGTTCTTCTAGTCGATCCGATGCTTTTCTTTCAAAACTTGTAGTTGTAGGAACAGAAAACATGTGCAACAAAACGTTGGCAGCAAAAAGTAGTTTGGGCCAGGAGGTGGACCCACAGGATCTTATTAAACAGCAGTGTGCAATAATAGCATGGATACTTGACGTGATAAACAACAAAGTAGAAGGATATGAGATTCTTCGCGATGCCGTTCTACTCTCTGTTAATGAAGTAGTAAGTAAGTATGCACCAGATTCGCTTGAGACATCAGTAGATATGAAGCTAGCAGAAAAGTCAGCTGAAGCTCTTCGTGCTCTAGTCAATCGCCACTAATAAAGCATACAGAAGTATTTCCATTGTTCTTAGATCTTTATTGCTGCAAAGTCTCTAGAATCGGATGTCTATTGAAATACCGTCTCTTAGGGAAAGCACAGTGTTTTCTAATAGACATTTTTCAATCATAGAGTACCGTGAAGAGAATAATAGGAAAACAATTTTAAGTGCTCTTAGCAGAAAGAAATTTCCTACTCTTCGCATTATATGGAATAATTAACAAATAAAGACAGTCTTCTTGCATTTGCTCTCTTTTCTATTTTTACTTATAATCCTGTGCTATATTACATCCCTTTGAATTCTTGCATTATTCTGTGTGGTTTTTCTGCTTGTGCTGTATTTCCAGTGCATTCAGAGTATATTTAAGTTTAGTCTATATATGAGTAAAATATTCTAATTTATTTTATGCATGAGTCTTAGTAATACTTTGTGCATTTTATATAGATTGGTTCTATAGCCTAATAGCAAGTTCTAATATGCAGGAATGTATTGCTGCCATACTAGCATCTATGACATGTCTTAGAACACTTCTACCAGCACTCGCTCTGTGGCTTGGTTACTGTGCCGGATATTTCCTCAAGTATCTTTGGAATGGTTTTTATAAGACGCACCCCTCCACATAGAATTATATTCTTGTTTAGTTCTTCCTTGCTAAGAATTTTCAGGACATTTTCAATATAGTTCTTTGGGCGTACTAAATCCTGCGATATCCCGTGTGCCTCCAGAACCTTAGAGGCCTCTTTTATTCTGGATGGCGCCAGAAGCACTTGAATCTTTTTCTGTGTTACTTTACTGGAGATATAGACATGTCCATTTTTTTGGATAATTTCTATGGTTTTATTCTGCAATAGCTCGTCATAGTGAAAGCAGTCAAGCAGCATTGATCTAAACCCAAAGAGAATAGAAATGCTATTCACATCACTAAGGCGCCCTGCTAGATATTCATTCAATATGGTTCTTCCCAGAGAAATTCCTGTGCCTGTGCATATAATAAATAAATCTCCCTGCACAGACAGCTGGCTTTTTTTAATGTCTATAGACACTGGGGCGCCTTTCTCCAGGTGTGCCAAATACTCTGAACACACTCCGTATATCTCTTTTGTATAGTGCTTTATTCGTATTCTGCCTGCAGTTATGCTGTATGTTGTGCCATCCCTCTTGCTTATTGTATAGTACCTAGGAAGAATCCTTCTTATCAGGCAAGCCTTGACTGACACTTTTATGTAGAAGTCTGTCAGAACATCCTTAAATGACTTTTTTGGCTTTAGTACATATGAGTAGTATAAGTCATACGAGGCACCTATATCTTTAAGCTTGTCCAAATACATGCTCTTAAGGTTGCCTGGACAGAAAATGTGTGCGTGTGTTCCTTTTAGAACTATATCGTACAACTGCTGCATGTGATGGTACATTGGAATTGAGTGATAGTCGATGTGCCGGCTGTCAAACTCTGCATCGTCAAGGAATATTTTTGCAGATGAATCCTTATAGCATGCATTCTCTGGCTTTATTGCCAAAACATCTCCAACAGAATATTCATGCCCATTGTCTATGGAAAATTGATACTCATAAACAGAGGAGTACATTGATCCAAGCGCACCTAAATCTGATATCTCTTCTTCTAAACCTGCTCCATCCACCCCAAGTATCCTTGCAATATCTGGGCATGCTGCAGGCGCAAGCTTCTTATGGCCAAGATAAATCCCAGTATACGGCGCCTGCACCTCTCTTGAGAATGCATGCCTTCTGCTTCCCTTTACCTCAGAATATATAGAGCCAAGGGCTTGCTTTAGACTTACCACCCACGGAACATACGCAGAATATACACCCATTGGATCTGCATCATCGCAGTCACATCTTTCGCACAAAGGAATTCCTCCTACTTGCTGCAGTCTATTAAACAGTCTTTTTCCTGCATAGTTGTACTTAGGATACGATGAATCACCGAGACACACTACTGCAAAGTAAAAGGAAAATGAGCCATTCCAGCTCTTTCTCCTCAGCTCTTTCCAAAATCTCTGCATATTATAGGGCGCATCCCCATCTCCAGTTGTTGAGCATACGAATACAATCACTGGCACATGCTTTAAGTCCTGCACATCAAGCCTGTCAAGATCAAATAGTTCAACTTTGTATTCTAGCCTGTCATTCCTGACTCCATCCATAGCAGTCTCTTCAGTATACACCTGAGATGAAATTGGCTGAGCAGAAGTTATATCTTTCTCTGGTGATTCATTTGAAGAAAGTACGCTGTTAGTGTATCCTTGAAAGGCACTCTCTGTAGCCTGCTTTTCATTTTCATTTGGGCGGGCATTGTTTACATGCACTTCCTGCAAGTCTTTCTTTAAAAGCTCTGCTATTTCAAAAGAGTTTCCAGAATTAGACCCAACGCCAACAGGAATAAAAAGCATTGAAAAAATGAAAAATGAAAATTAAATGAGCCAGACCGCAAAGCAGCTGCCAATAAAGGAGTTTGACACATCACTGAACCGGCTTGAAAAAGAGAATTTTGATTTGAAGCTGCAAATATCTCACCTAAGATCAAAATTAAATGAGCTAACTAACTCATCCCTCACATTCATTCCTACCTGCGACTGCAAAAGAACAAAAACAGAAACAAAGGATGTTTTGTCTGAGGTAAAAGTGGAGATGAAAAATCTTTTGGACCAGAACGAAATCATGAAGGCGCAGAACACAGACCTGCTGGAAAAGCTTGAGGATATTCAGAGAGAAAACGAGTCTTTGCGGAAAGACTGTGTAAAGCTGTCGCAGCACATAAGCGAGCAGACGAAAAGAGAGGCTGAAAGTAAGAATGTTCTGCACGAAATGAAGGCAGAAATTGAGACTGTAAAGGAAGAAATGGAAGAGGTTGAAAAGATAAAGCAGCAGAATAAAATGCTTAAGGAGGAGTACATGAGCTTAGATCGAATCGCAAAAAAGCTGGAGACAGAGTATAAAGAGGAGTACTCGCAGTTTACCTCTGAGAATGCATCACTTCAGAAAGTTAATAGCGAAATGAGGGAGAGAATAAAGAAAATGGAAAGCCAGCTAGAAGAGCAGGCGCAGAGAAATGCGCAGCTTGCAAGTGAGAACCATGCACTCTGCATAGAAAGAAGCGAACTCCAGCAGAACACAAGGACTTTAGAGTCTCTTAGGCAGAACATCCAAAACCAGCTGCATGTAAAGACCGACGAAGCACTCAAAACAAAAGAGATCGGTGAGAAGCTTGTAAATGAACTAAAATCAAAGAGCAAGCATGCACTGCTGCAGAAAGAAGAGGTGGAAAGAAGAGCCGAAGGAATAATAAAGAACAGAGATATGACAATACACCAGCTAAAGGATTTAATAGAAAGGTCAACCACTGAGATGCAAAATGTAAATATAAAAGTGTCTGCCATCCAGAGCGAAATGGGGCATTACATTAAATATCTTGTGTCACTCATTCACAGAATAGCCAAGTTCTCTGGAGAGATGGATCGGGCGAAAATGCTCTCTGCCTCTACTTTTGGGCAGTATAAGTCCAGAGTCATTCATATACAGAATGAGCAGTCACATAGGCAAGATCTGAAGTCCCAGAGAGAAAAGGAGACCATGCAAGACGTGGTGCTTGATGCAAAGAGAGAGATTGAAAGGATCCAGGCAGAGAAGGATAAGCTACTTGCAGAGCGGGAAGACCTGATTGGCCGGCTGCACATCACGCCAAACACGCTCAAAATCGCCAAAGACCTGGGAATAAACGAGTTCACAACGATAGACAATCTATTCATTACATGGAAGACCTCGCAGGACCAGATAGTGGAAGGCATAACCAGAAAGCACAAAGCAGAAGGAATGGAAAGAAGCAGAAAACTCGAGGAGTTCCAGACTAAGCTGCAGGCTGCTCTCTCTGAGCTTAATTTATGCAGGGCATATCTTGAAGAGAAGAAAAACATTATCAAATCGATTAGAAAGGCCCAAGGCCCCTCTTCTTTGCTGAATAGAATAGATGTGTCAAATAAGTAGTTCCTGCAATAAACTATGTATAAACTACTATATGCCTATTTTTATCCAGAGTTCCCTTGCTTGTTCCCTGCACTAGTGTTCTACTCAAGAAAACAGGGTGTTTTGTACATATTTGGCGATGCAATGGCTATTACCTTTTTTGTGCTGGAGTGCAGGTCTAAAGCCTTCAGATCTTATAACTAAATAGAAAAATATACACTTTAATTTTATATTACTGCAAAATCTTAATAGAAGTCCTAGGATATAGCACTTCTTAGGCCATAATATTCTGGTATGCTTCTGTACACCCATATATTTAAAAGCCCAAATATATACTCGTGGTATGTGTACTACTATACTATGCACAAACGTCTTTCTTCATGGGATAGTATCAAGAATGTTTGTAGGTATACCTATTTACACACCAGTAATTTGGTATATGCATTTATTTAGGGATGTAAGAACTCAATTTATGTAATTTTCAGCCATAGGTATAGAAATCCAAACACTAGTGGTTTAAAATCTCTAGTAGAGCGATCAAAGAATCTGTATTTTAGAACACTTAAAGAAAGAGAAATGAACTTATGGCAGCATGTATATGAACGCATGTACATTCTTGTAGCTTCTTACAAAGTGCATGTTTGTATGCCTTTACTATTATATGTGAAGTTTCATGCAACTGTCTTCCTGTCTAAAAGTAAATTATATTGCAGATAAGTGTCTTAACGGAGATAAAATTTATTTAACATTCTGAATATAAGCTGTAATAAGGCTTTGGCAAAAATACACCTTTAGTTTCTGAGAATATCTGCTTCTGGTTCCCTCAAGACAGTTTATATAGCTCGCCTGGTCCAAGCAGTGTTCTTTTCTGCCTCTAGTCTATACAGTGTATCTCTACTCTTTTATTATATCCTCATGCCTGTTTTTGAGTGGATTTCTTCCGGTATCATAAGGATCCTTATTTCCACTGGGGTAGATATTTGCGATTTAAAACCCTGCGACCAATCGTATCCTACAGCAACAGCTAAGTATCTTCCTGTGTTGTTGAACGCAGTTGCTGTGATGCACTTATCAATTACCGAGGACACGCTGGATGCTCCAGGCCCTCCAATTGCCACACGGCACTTCGCCTGTCTGTTCCATAGCATCACCACACCATCGGTTCCTGCGGTTAGAAGTGTCATGGGGAATGCTGGGTGGTAGTGAACAGAGTTAATGGGATATGCGTTTCTGTCTGTTGTAGTTTGTTTGCACCGGAAGGAGTAGTACATGGTGCTTAGACTGTTTCCAGGCCGGACAGCCACAATCTCCGCTTTAGACCCGGTTGTGCCTACAATTGCATCCTGCCCATCATTTGAGCAAGATATGCTTCTTAGCTGCCACTGGCTTTTAAGCTGGTACTTTGTGGCCGTCTGAATTGTTCCATACCCCATGGGCGTACTGGGCCTCAGCTTATTCTGGTATGCACTGTTTGTTGGCACCTGGACCTTCTCCAGTGTGTATGCATCGTATGATACAATGGTGTTGCTCAGCAGAATTGCTATTGTGTTCATCTTGCTGTCCATTGCGTACACCTTGTCCTCCATTAGCAGCTCTTTTGGCTGTGCCTGCGGGTTATTTATGTCCCAGACCTTAACTGTCTTATCCCAGCTGCCGGTGACCAAAGTTCTTGCACAAGTAAAAACCATTGCACTGACCCCTAGTGAGTGTCTCCCAAGAGTGGTCAGATTCCCTGTTCCCATGTCGATTACCCTAACAGCTCCATCTGCGCTTCCTGTGAACAGATACATTCCGTCACTGGAAAAACAGCTGCACAGAATGGGAGACCCGTTTGGATTTGGGATTGATGTTTTAAGAGCCATTGACTCATGCACATTCTGGTTGCTTGGCATGTAAATGTACACAGATCCATCCCAGGAACACGCCGTAAGAATATCGCTCACTGGACTGTATTTTATTGATGAAATGCTATCTGTGGGCGGCTGCTGCACTAAGAAGTCGGAGAGTAATACTTCTTTGTTTCCCTGCATACTTGTGGTTGTAGTTGGATTGTACATGCTCTATTATAAAGTCTTAAAATTTTTTCTATTTTTCATCCTTTTGCGTCTTAAAGCATTTTTGATTCTCTCTGCGTGGATATTGCTGTGCAAAAGCGGCTGCAAAGACACCTGGGCATGTGCGTGGTTTTCTTTAATATCCTCTCCAATAATGAACATTTCTTAGTGTGGCATTTTTAGCAAGAGAAAAATGAGCATTTCATTTGTAAATACGCAGGTGGCTCAAAATAAAGAGATCTTGCCATGCACTGATTCTTTCTAATGCATAGAATGCCATCTGGCAGAATGATTTTATGTATTTAGCTTAAATAAATTCGGGTTTAAATTAAGAAAATAATTAAATGGTTAATTATAGTTTAAACAGATGCATGTGCATACGCTGTTTATGATATTCTGGTTCTCTGCGAATCCCAATACACCCTTCTGCAGCTTCCTTAGTGAAATCACCCTAAGTGTTTTTTCCCTTAAATTAAAGGAAGTTCTGCAGCTTGTTGCAAGTGCTTTATAGTGGAATTATGTGCGGCTGTATGAAAAATACTTTTTGTTCAACATGTATTAGTCCAATTGGTCTAACATTTGTAATATAGCCTAAGCAGCTGTACTTCCAATTGCAAAGTTTTCTGGCTCCGCATTTTGGTCCATCCCAATGCTATCAGCACTTTTTAGCACTACTGATTCATCCTAGCATATTTTATTTTAATGCCCCTGAAAGTTCTCTTGATTTAAGAAAAATAATACTTTTCTGTGATAATATACACAGACGTATTTCTGGTTAAATAGAAAAATCTGGTCATTTTTTCTATATAAATAATTTTTTTAAATCTTTTTCATTATGATCCAATCACAGAAGACACCCATTAAGAAAATCATACTGGTTCTAGGAAGTGTGCTAGCGGCTTTCATTTTGATATTGCTGCCAGTGCTCTACACAAGAAGGAATTCCTGCAATAAAGAAACCTGCAGCCATGCAGAACACATAAGCATGCACGAGGATGGATGCAGCCATGAGGAGTCTGCACATGACGAATGTGTGCTGTTGGTTCAATCACGCCCACATGTGTTTGAAGGCATATTCATCCACAGAGCAGGGGTTTCTGCAGTGTATGAGAAGGAAAACATCATTCCAATCAGATCACTTAAGACAGAGGAGAAGGTAAAGGCTCCAGTAGGCTTCCTTGGAAGAATAAAGGGCTACTTTTTCAGAAAGTCCGAGGAGAAGGCTGAAGTTCCCACTGTTACTGCAGAGGAAATGGAAATCCAGCTAAACAACACCGAGAACATTATGTGGAACTACGACAAGCAGTTTGTCAAGGAGATCAACAAGATGAAGTCAAGAGAAAAGCAGATGCTCATTCTGGAGATCAGAAGCATGATTCTGAACTTATCAACAATCCTTCCATCCAAGCTTTCTCTGCTCGATGACTCAAACAACCTCTTTTGGCTTACTGTATACTGCTCTGGAGATCTTTTGGTAGACTGGATGGCATTTACCTTCACTGTTGAGGAGCTGTCTGAGGTTAAGATGAGAATCGAAGATCTCTTCAACTCCACCGAAGAGGCAGAAGTTCTTAGAAACAACCTACTTAGCATAGTGCAAAGCTTTATTACAAAGATAGCTAGCAAGACTGGTCTTGGTGGAAAGATAACCAAACAAAGAGAAAACGTTGCAACAATTCTGCGAGACTACAAGGCCACCCAGAAGATGGTGTGCGACATTGAGGAGTCCTGCGAGACAGAGAAGCTTCTTTTAGTCCTGGACGCCCTGTCATACCTCATTCCAATGACAGAGGAGTCAAACAAGGCCATTTTACAGACTGTAAACAGAGTGCAAGAAAGAATCTCCGGCCTGGCCCAGTCCATTGCCCTGAGACAGATGAACGACTACCTAAGCCTTACCAAGAAGTACAACTCAGAAATCATTGGCGCAATCAATGGATACATGAGATTTATTTCTGACTTTGAACAATACATTGGAGTCAACACCTTCAACACAGAAAACATCAAGAACGTTGAAAAAATGAACGATTCCACATTTGTATACGACTTTAAGCCAACAGCCAGTGCATCTGAGGTCATCAAAGGATCAAACAAGATGATCTCCGTTGCCAACATTCTCTTCAAGCAGTACATGCATCTTCTTAGCGAGAGAGACACAGAGACAGACTACACACTATTTATTCTGGACGAGAATGCAGAAGAGCCAGTAGTAATCGCAGAGCTCATATCAGAAGAAGAACAAGAAGCAGTTTTAGTTGAAGAAGACAATGAATAAATTGATATTTTGGTATTCCCAGCACCTCCTTCTACAGATCGCAAGCACCTCCTTCTACCCACCGCATTTTAATGAACACATAAGTCTCACTAACTCTGGGTCTATAAACATATACGTCTTTAAGCACTGCGCAGCACATACTAGCCAAAACTGAGAACCAAATACTCAAAGCACAGAAAATGTAAGGATATCATATTTATCTGTCACATTTATTTAGGATATATCTTCATATAGGCTTGCTTATTATGATGCACGCTCTTTCTATTATACTGCAAAGTGTGTCTACCTTCAACACACAAATATTTTGTACTATGCTGCTTTAGGCATGGCTATATTTCTTGCCGCATATTACAATTCCCGAATATTATTGTATACATTGTATATTTCATATGGGATGCCTTTATATAATAGCATGGTATACATAGAAGTATGGGCAGAACAAAACTCGCACTTCTATTTGATTTTTCTTGCAAAGTATTTGCATTTTTGCATAATAATTAGCACTATTCTGAAACAATGTTACTATTAAATACAACCATTGAGTAAACATTAAATGAAATTGGTTCTCCTACTGGTACTGCTGAAAGTATGCCATGGAAAGTTGCTGCAGTCCGTGAATAACCCCACACTGTATCTAGCAACAGACGGCGCAACCATTTACCTTAGCCCTGCAGAGCACACAATAAAAATAAAGCACAGGAAGGTGTATATAAGAAAGGGCAGCGAATACTACACAATAGGAGTAGAGCCAGACGAAACAAAGATCTTTGTGAAAAGGGAAAGGGAACCTGTATACTCAACTAGATCAATAATCACGACACAGGAGGTCTATAAGCCAGCCCCTGGCAGAAATAGCAGTCCTCCTGCATACAAAGAGATCCACTACATTCCATACGATAGGCAGGAGACCCCTGAAGCCCGCACAGAGCACCATTATCACATTGGTCTTTCGCAAAGCATCTCTACGCCCAAAGATGAGCCGCCAAAGCCGCCATACTCTCCGCGACCTGAATACTACAGCGAAAGGCCTGAGCGTATGCCATATCCAGAAGATCCACCGCGTGACTCAAGAAGACCGCCCCCATATAAAACAGATCCACCTCCACACAGAGAAGAAAGACCTCCCTATAGAGAAGAAAGTCCACCGTATAGAAAGAGTGATTACCCGCCATATAACTATCCACCATACCCAAGACCATATAGAGAGCTACCCCCGCGCCAAGAAGAACCTGCATATAATGACAAACCTCCCTTTAGATACGATCCTCTGTATAATCCATACACAGAGCCAGTTAACCCCATTTTTTCTCTGCCCACAGACCAGCAGACCATTCCATACTACAGGCCGTCTAGCAGGAAGAAGCGTGAAGACTTCTCTCATGAGAAGGAAGTTGAGAGCGACTCTGGTATAAATATCAGTCCATTTGATGTAATAATAGAAGAGGAAGGCAGCAAAATTGTGCATCTAAAGAGAGAAGGGAACGACCACTGCTTAAACTATTTCAATAATGCATTTTCATTCAGGCCATGCGCAGATACTACGAACATAATTAGGTTTAGAGTACTTGAAAGAGACAGTACACCCGTCATTCAACAAGACCCTATACCAATTGTTAAGGTCTTGCCTAGTGTTCAGAAAACACCATACTATGAGTGGCCTGGTTCTTTTCCCAATGATAATCCCCTGCCCAAAGGCATTGAAAGCACACCTATTCGTAGTAGAGTACTGGATAACACATCTTTATCCAGAAGTGTTAGTAGAAGTATTCTGCCCCCCAAAAGAAGGATATATAAAAGATCGATATCCCTCGCGCCGATACCAGATGAGGATGTCTTCTCCACGGACATAAAGGGCACTTCCGACGATGTGGAAATAAGAGAAAGAGTAACCTATGCGGATAAAACCATAGTTAGCCCAAGAGAAAAACATAAGCTTGATCTGGGGAAAATGTCTATGCCAAACTACGCCAGGCACGCTGATGCTATGTATAATAATATAAAGAACAGCTTATACAGCATGGGGTCAATGATTCATGCAGCAGACCTTCTAAAGGTGCCAAAGTCCAGGAAAAAGTACAAGTCTCGCGTGGTTAGACACCAGATTGATGACAGAAGTATTCTTGAGAAAGACGATGAAGAAGAAGGCACAGAAGAAGAACAGATCGAGAAGGAAATCCTTAAGTGGAGCAGAGGCCGGGATCGAAGAAATAGCAGCCTAAAGGACACATACAATAATCTTAAAATGAAAGGCAAGAATCTTAAAAAGCAAAGGTATAAAATAAACCAAAAGAAAGAAAGAAACAGGAACAGAGAAAAGGATTCAAACTCTACAGATGCCGAAAGTGAGAGCAGCATATCATTTATCCCCAGCCATGATGAGCGAGATGACAAAGAGATACGAGAAAAAAGACACAAAATTATACTGGATAATCATCACTCTATGCATAATAACCACGAAAAACACCATGCGGCTGAAAGCGACTGGTCAGACTTTAAATCTCATGAACACCATGAGGCTCCTAAGCATGTTGAGATACACCACTTAGCGCCTTCTGTTGTCCATATCACCCCGCATCCACCTCACATACCTGTCGCTAATCTGCACCACATAACAAAGAGTACAATTCATCCTATAAGCGATCCTTTTGCCATACATTCTCCATCTACTCCTAAACTATCCCCTTTCTTGAATATGCCAGAGCCAAATAACGAAGTTCACTTGCACACTGAGATTGTTCCAACAGTCCATGAAATCCACCCTGCGCCAATTCCCGTGGTGCATGATATTCCTGTTGCTCAGCCCACCATTACCATGGATCCTGTTCTGCTATCTCCTACTCCTGCGCCCTCTCTTCCACTCCAGATTCTACCACCTACCCCAATGGCGACTATTCCTGTCGTGACCCCAAGCATTTCTTCTTCTAATTCAGTAAGCGACATACTTTCTTCCTACTTAAATCCTATACAAAGCAATCTTATAGACAGTAAAATGTCTTCTCTAGGCACAGATAAATCTTTAATGCCGTCTTCCATGTTTAAAGCCCCAGAAATACACGCTCCTGCAGCACCTGCCAAGCCTTTAAATCCTGCCAAGCTCAACAGCCCTGTGCGCCCTACTCCTACACCTGCCATTGAAAGCTCAAAAAAGTCTAATAATAGCCTTAACTCTAGCTTTGCAAGCAATTTACTGAAAAATAGCCCATTCAATATAGACAGCAACCTAATTGGAAATGATCTTCTTGGAGGCAATTCATTCGGCATGAGTAAGAAGAACAGTCCATCTCCTTCTTCTACACCGGCTGGGCTTACCCCGCCTCCAAAGACCTCTACTCCATTTGGCGCATTCAATACTCCCTTATCGCCTGCTCCAAGTCTAAATAGCATGTCAAATCTGAATAATCTACCTGGAATGAATAGTCTGCCTAGTATGGATAATCTGAACAGCATGAATAGTCTAACTGGTATGGATAATCTGAACGGCATGGGTGGTATGAACAGTATGAACAATATAAGTGGTACGAGCAGTATGAATAATATGAGCGGTATGAACAGTATGAATATCCTTCCTAATGCAAATAATACTTCTAGCAATTCTTTTGGCATGAATAGCAGCAATCTACCTGGAACACCCAGCCCATTGACTGCTACTGGCGGAGACAATGCACCAATATCTCCTTCTAATCCGTTTGCTGCCAATTCTACTCTTAATCCTTTTGGAAACAGCTTTAATGACTCTATAAGCAAGTCGATAACTAAGTCCTTAAGCAACAATAGTACAATTGAAAGCGCTGCTTTAGGCAATCCAGAGGATAACTCCATGTTATACGCTAAAAACATACTAGATATTGCTCCCGGAAGTGGAACAGACACAAGCTCTATAGATTTGCTAAAAGACAAACTGAAGAACATATTTGGAGATGATACTGACAAAGACGACAATGTCACCCTAAATGGTATTCCTGTAGGAGATTCTTTAAGTAACAAGAATATGTTTTCAAATAAGTCAGCACAGCCTGCTTCTTTAAATGGCAGCGCAAATAGCGCCTTGAATACACAAAATAGCAAGCCAAGTGCATACGAAAATATTCTTAATCTGTTATCATAAATAAACTATAGAAATTATTAACTATGTTTCATGCTATATCCCTCAAGCTAACTGCACATTTAGTATACTCTTCATACAGACCTAGCTGGTGTATTGTGAGAGTCTTTATACAGGACAGCTGAAAAAGCTACATTTTAGTTGAACAATCCAATATAATCCAAAAATAAAAACCCTTAGTAAGCCTAATAAGTCTTTCAACCATGCCTTTTCTTCATAAAACAGCTGGACTGCTCAATATATTTCTAAAATATATGAAATGTAGTTGTGAAATATTTCTGCTTTCTACGCATATCCCATATGAAGTGCCCATCAATATAGTTGAAGAGCTCGAGGTGTCAAAGACTATTGCAAATAATGCATAAATTAAAGGAAACGTAAGGAAAGACAACATTATAAATTTTAAATAATTTTATAGCCAAGTAAAATGGAAGTAGCAATTAAAACATGCCCAAAGCAGCTGGAAGCAACATACGTAATGATAAAACCCGATGGTGTTAAGAGAAGATTAGTTGGCGAGATATTGGCCAGAATTGAGAGAAAGGGATATAACATCTCTTACATTCAGACCGACTTTGCCACTGAAGAAATTCTTAAGGAGCACTACAATGAGCTTGTCTCTAAGCCATTCTTCCCTGGCATTATAAAATACATGACCAGCGGGCCAGTGATTAAGCTGATAGTCACAGGGCACGAGGTCGTCAAGGGCATGAGAAAGATTCTCGGTGCAACCAACCCAAGAGAAGCAGACGTAGGCACCATTAGAGGTGATCTTGCTAACTGCGTAGGAAAGAATCTTTGCCATGCATCTGACTCAGTTGAGAATGCAAAGAGAGAAATCGGCATATGGATAAACAAGGAGTTACTCCAAAATGAATTCCCAATGGATGACTATAACATGATATACGAGAAATAATAAAGTACTCCGTATTAAAAGAGCCTTCTCTGTTTTGTATAATATTTAGCTATTTTGTTGGCTGTTTGTCTGCTAAGAAGGCATAGCAGGACAAAGTAACATTGCTTTAAGCTATGCTTTCTGCATTTTATGAGCTTCCTACTGCACACCAACAAACATGTCTTTCGTTTACCTCTATTATACATACTGTATCTACTTGGTATAGTGTGCTTTTAAGCTAAACAAATTCTATTTTCTTTTCTGTTCGTCTTCTGTGTTGAGTGGTTCTTTGAGTTTTTACTTTCTTTCGATTTACCTGTGCTTTAGCTTTTTTTTTGAAGTATAAAGCTGTTCATTTTTTTTGGATGATAGTCTTCTGCTGATGCATTTTATTTGCAAAAACCAAAGAAAATCAAAAAAGCGAGAAAACTAAAAGGAGTGAGCAAAGAAAGCTTTACCCCAAAAGAATGTTAAATTTACAAGGAAAGACCCAGTTGGATCTTAGCAGGATCGATTCTTTTCTATCATACCAACATCAAACTCTTTCAAAAAACCATCATCTTGTACTTCTTATTGGCATGATTAATAGAAGAGAAGACATATAAATTCAAGAACAGACCTATTAGACGAGTATATTCAGCCTATGCAAGAGATTATTATGCTTTTTTGAAAGAAAGTACTCTAATGGTAATGGAAGTCTTTATACATTACTAGAAAAATATTTTATTTACACAGTTCCAAAGAGCCTTCTAGAGGAATCAAGTCCATTTTTATTTCTAGTGCTACTAAGAGCTATATACCTGCTATTTTCTGCAGATAAATCTTCTTTATATACATTCTATTCTCTTGCATTGGCTTAAACTGTTTTGAGGTTTATTGTATGCCCTTTCTTTTCCACTTTCTGTTTTTACGTTAATAGCCTTGCATATGCATAGACATACTGTGTATGTGCTTTTCCATGAGTGTATATTTTATGTGTGTGTTTTCTACCTCAACTTTTAATTTTTATATCATGTATATTGTTTCTTTAGAACTAGATAATATGTGCATGCAGAAGAAATATAATACGACTGCCATTTGAAAAGAACTTTTCTGCAGAAGAAAAGTGCATTGATTTGCACAACATGCACCCCTAAATTATCAAATCTACAGCAATAGTACAGTAAAGCCAGTGATTCATAATAAAATAATATTCGATTTTTTATGGGCAATAATAATACAGAGGAGAAAGACTCTCTCCTGAATAAAATGAAGAAGGCAAAGCCTTTCTTTGAAACGGTATCCACTGAGAAAAAGACGCTGCAACCACAGCAGATTGAGCTGCAGGAGCACAAAGAGACTGCGCCGCCTGCTCCAAAGCCGCCTGCACCCAGCCAAGCTCTTCTTTTCTCTGCGCCCGGAACTCTCTACAAAAAACAGGAGAGTGGATGGGCAGAAATATCTCCAGGAAAGATACAGGCTAAGGCGCTTGCTAACAGCCGGGCACAGCTGTGTTTTGTATTGGATAATACTAGAATAGTGCTAAATGTTTTGATCTTAGACCTGGCCCATATAAAAGTGGCCAACTCTGCAGTGATATTCACGGGACTGGAGGAAAACAGCCAGACATACACAGGATGCGTCAAGATGAAACCACAGGACGCAGAGGGAGTAGAAAGGATACTTAAGCAGGAGAAAGAAAAATAGTGCCTCAAGAAGCAGCATGCCAAAAAGAAATGTCGCCACCCGGGATCGAACCGGGGACCTCATCCGTGTAAAGGATGCGTGATAACCACTACACTATGGCGACTCACTTTAAAATAAAGAAGCAGGCCAATTAGAACCATCTTTTGTGTATCCATAGTAAACAGTAGATCTGTTTCCATGGCTGCCCTTACTTAGCATTCGTGGAAATAAATAACAAAATGGACGATTCAAAGACATTCTCTACGAGCGGTGAGATGGATAACTCTGTGCCGCTGCGTATTACTATCTCTATTCTAAGCGCTACTTTTTCCACTGCGTATCCCACGCTTCTCTCTTGCATTATGTCTGATCCTGAGGAGGTCTTTATTTCTTTGCTTGCTGGATGCTTTGCGTTTATTGCGATTCCTGGAGTAAATTCAAAGAAAAAGCTAATAATATCCTGCGCGCTGTCCTTCCCTCTTTTTTTTATTCCAGAGGGATATGTGCGGGCCTTTTTAATTGGAATTGTTCTATCGTATGGTCAGACCGCGGCAGAGATGCACACTGCACACCTGTCATTGTGTGCGTTTCGAGAGAGCGCTCTTTCGCAGCTGGGAATTCTTCTTACAATGCAGACATGCCTTTTCTTCTTTTTCCTTTCGTTTATACCAAACTTTGAATGGCTGTGCTCCACATTTGTTTTTGTGCTTTCTCTTACTATAGTTGAAATTGCTGCTGTTGTATTTTTCGTGCCAGACCCACCAACTGAAATGATCACAAGCAACAACCTTAATGTGCTGTACAATGAGGTGTACTACACTCTGACAAATCTTTTTGGCAACACACCCTTCCACAACTTTCACAGGGAGTACACCGAGATTGTGGATCGATACAACAAAAAGGTTGTTCCTCTTTATCTGAGGATCAATGCTGTTGTGGAGAAGGTAAATGTATCGTTCATTTCTGCTGGTGTAGGTGGGCTGCTGTCCACAACAAACAACAATATATATCTGGTTATTTTCAGCTGTCTGAGCATGTTCAAATGGGTGTTCAGCAACCAGCACAACAAGGAGTATATTATTCTGAGCATAGCAAGCATTGCGCTGGTGCTTCTGGCCATGCTAGCATACAATGTAAAACCAATATTTATTATTCTTATAGGAATGAGCCTTTATCTTGTTCCGTCAAGCGACGGATATCTGAAGCTTGACAAGTACCTCATTGGAATATCCAATAGCATCCGGAACCTACTTGGGGTTGTTATTTTTGTCATCCTATGGAGGGAGCAGATAATAGACTAAATCCAGTGTATCGCATTATTTGGAGCTCTGGTTATATACTGTTGAGGTACTCCTTTGGTAAGAATACTAAAGTGAACTCTGGCCCTGCGGGCATACTGGCTCTGTATATAATGATTATTTAGAACCAAGTGCATGTGGCGCCGTTTGTTCTACCAGAGGATACCACCCGGTACATAGCAGAGATTCATCCACTCAGCAGTCTAAAGAGAGTCTTTTGTGCTGATTGGCTGTGAAAACTATATTAAACACACTCAGAGTATACTGACACTTATAATAAATTTATTTACTTCTATAGTTTATATACACTTAAAGGGGTGTCTTTATTTCTATGCATCTGTTGTTTTGCCTGGATTGTTTTCTGGCTTAGCGCCATTTTCATCTTTTTTGTCCATCTGGTTTGGGTCTGGGTTTTGTGCACCCTCAACGTTAGAGGCTTTATTCTCAGATTTATTTTCTTCAGGATTGCTATTAGCATTTTCAGCTGGCTTACCTTCTGCACCTGCTTCTGCTGGTTTGCCCTCTGCACTTGCTGTCCCTGCTTCTGCTGCTGGAGAGTTTGCATTTTCAGCTGGATTAACATTTGCATTTTCAGCTGGCTTTCCACCTGCACCTGCTTCTGCTGGTTTAGCATTCGCATTTTCTGCTTGCTTACCCTCTGCCCCTGCTGCTGGTGGATTTCCATTCGCATCCGCTGCTGCAGGCTTACCCTCTGTACCTGCTGCTGGTGGATTAGCATTTGCACCTGCAGGATTAGCATTTGCATTTTCAGCTGGCTTGCCCTCTGCACCTGCTGCGCCTTCTGCTGGTTTAGCATTCGCATCCGCTGCAGGTTTTCCATCTGCACCTGCTGCTGAAGGATTAGCATTTGCATTTTCAGCTGGAGGATTTCCATTTGCATCGGCTGCTGGTTTGCCATCTGCTCCTGCTTCTGCTGGTTTAGCATTCGCATCCGCTGCAGGCTTACCCTCTGCACTTGCTTCTGCAGGTTTAGCATTTGCCCCTGCTTCTGCTGGTTTGCCACCTGCTTCTGCTGGTTTTCCATCTTCTTTTGGGGTTTTCCCTGTTAGATCACTTGCTACATCAAGAGCTGTGCCAGCAGGAGATTTTTTAACTGCAGTTCCTGCAGCTTTTGCTATTTTTTTACTAACAGATCCTCCTATTTCGCCTATTTTGTCTTTTAACGAATCAAATGAAAATCCACTTACACTATTTATGTATATTATAGCATATGATACTACTATTGCAAATAATATATTCATACTCTCAGCACTCTTTTTTGTATTTATAAGATGTCATATCAAATAAGTGCATGCTTTCCAATGAAAGTACAAAAACAAACCAATACAATTCTTACTTTCCAAAAGTGATTTTGTCCCCTCTTTTATACTTGCCAATAGGCTTTGCTAATTTTGACCACTTAAAAGGCTATCTAATGCAGTGCATCCAAAATGCACTTGCAGTCATAGAATAAAAGTCTTCAAAAAAATGTTTAAAATAAAACAAAGACTCTTACTATTCTGTAGGAGTACACAAATGTATTTTACAAAATAAATAAATACAGACAATATATTATTTAGAGACTAAGTTTCTGCATTCGAGATATTATTTATATTAATTTAGATGGTATGAGTTGGGCTAGACTTGCAGCTCACACAAAGAGAATAAAAACAACTATTTTCCCTCTGGCTGTGCAGAGGCAGATTATAGTTATCTCTGATGAAATGTAGCAGATATAACAAGAGAATTATTTATTGTGAGTTTGGTTTGATACTATGCCTGCATACAAAGATCGCAGTGAATTGCATAGCAATAAGTATCTATTAATATAGGTGCTGTGTCTGAGGCTGCTGAAAAGCCTTGCACAGATTTGTTCTAGAGTATTTTCATGACATAGCAGGAACAGAAACTGCATTATCCCTTGATGCCACCCAGGGGAATTAGTCTGCAAACTTTATTAGAGAGTCCGGTCTTTTTACAGTACTCAACCACTTTGTCTATACACTTATATGTTCTGCTAGACTCTTCTCCTATCTTGTTAATGTTCCTGACACGCATTGAGACATTCGCGTTAGCAAGCTCTTCTTTGATGCTTTCTTCTGTAACTGCCTGCTTGGCATCCTTTCGGCGAACAAGTCTGCCAGAGCCGTGGCAGGTCACATAATCCACGTTTTCGCCCTTTTCCCCAGCTGACAAGACATAGCTGCCTGTGCTCATGGATCCGCCAACAGACACAACATATGGACAGTGCACGCTTCCTTGCTGTGCGCACTCAGATGTAGATGCATCTTCTTTACCAGATGCAGCACCCATCTCTTTTCGCTCTTTGTCACCATATGGCACGATCTGCGTGCTTCCCTTTCGTATCCTTACGACTTTCTTGCCGTTTCTCTCTTCCAGCCGTACAATGTTGTGCGCAGAGTCGCTTATTACTTGCATGGTGAAGTCCTGGGGCAGGCCTATGCCAGGAACACAGGTTGGCTGCGCAGTGTTTGGGCCATCAGTAGATGGCTGATTAGCCTTGATTATCTCTCTGAATACATCTTCTACTTCTTTTCCTATCACTACTCTATTGCAGAAAGCAAAGTTACTGCACGCATTGACAGTTTCAAAGTATTTTTCTGCCAAGGGATCATTTATAGGGATCTCCACAGTTCCAGTTTGCATATAGACATCTTGTTGCTCTGCGCACTTATTTAGAAGTCTTGTCACAGCGGTGCTGCCTACTGATCTGCTGCCTGTATGCACAGACACACAAACAGTATCGAGATCAAGGCCAAGCCGTGCACACACTTCTTTATCAAACACGTCCCCAACAACCTGCACTTCAATGTAATGGTTGCCATCTCCCAGGGTGCCCAGCTGCTTTCTTGCTGCTGCACGCGTCTTCTGGTCCAGCAGCTTCTTTACGTTTTGCACAGGCAGACAGCCATTTGACTCTGTGCATAGAGCATCCATTTCAGTTGCTATTCCCAGCTCGATTAAATACGGCACGCCATTCTGTAGTATTTTATCCGTGTCAATCTCTTTGGATAGCGGGATAATTCTGTCTTTTATCCCAATGCACTCAAAAGCGCGCGTCATAAAAGCCTCACGAATCGAAAGAAATTCACTTCTTTTTATATTTGTGGCCCACAGTCTTACACCGCAGTTTATGTCAAACCCAATCATTTCTGGAATGATCTTGCAGTCTGGGTGGCTTGGGTCAAAGGAGCATGAAATGCCAACTGGAAACTGTTTTCCTGCATGGGCATCTGGGAGTGCAACAATCTTTGTCATATATGGGCGCGCAAGTAAAGAGGCTAGCTGGTCAAGAAGTGTGCTTCCGGCATCGCCGTCTGTTAAAACATGATAGTATTCCTCAGGAGAAAATATCTGGCACGTGGTTGTGCTTGTAGATGGGTTGGATATAGTTAGGCAGTCTTCAACTATTCTAATTTGCAGGTCCTTTAATAGACAATTTTCACGGTCCAGTGCAGCATACTCTTTTAGCTCTTTAAGTACATCTGACATTTTTGCAAAGCTGTAAAATAAATTGTTTTATAAACGGCTTAGCAGAAACATGGCAGAATGCAAAATAGAACTTAACGCATCTGCAAGTCAATTACATTCAAACAAAAATGCTTATTTATTCAAGTGCGGACTGCCAATTTGCAATTTGTGGAAACATTCATGCTGTTCATTTATGCATAGATAATGAAACTAAAAAGAGTAAAGAAGACAGATTGTGTGCTCTTGACCGCACACAAATATCTTTACAGATAGACATACTTATGTGTACTAGGTAGATTTTTTAGTTTTAATTAAGAAGTGCAGTGCTAGTTCTGGGCAGTTAATATATACATCAATTAGACTTCTGTTATGCCGATATATAAGTTATAGCTCTAACTAATGCATATTTTTAATTATACTGTGCTTAGAATACAGCTTTAAATACCTAGTTGTTAGCGATACTCAGGCTAGAGTACATGCAAGCTACATTAAGTAGCAGCTAGATATTTATAAAGGTATACGCAAAAGGAGTCCTTTCTCTAAAGTATTTTCTATATACGCATGCAGCCAAGGGCACAGTGTGCAATCTTGCTGTACGACTTAGTTACATGAAGCACCAGCCTAATAAACACATGTTCTACATTCAAAATCACTAGCAGCAGCATTGACTAAAATTAAGAAATATTTATATAACCGACAAGAAGCACTGCAGTGTGAATGGGTAAAGACAGTGCTAGTTCTTGTAAGCCTAAAATATACTATAAGACAAAGAACCAATAAAGCCAAAGCATATATGCATCTTAAGCAGGCTATACTGTAAATATTATGGCCCTGGAGCCATGCAGAGCAAGGTATTATGAAAGTGTGCTTTTTGCGGAAATAAATAGAATATGTTCAGAGCAAATGAAAGCCAAATAATTTTATGGAAGTAAAAAAATAATTGCAGGTCAAAGAAGTCCACAGAAAGGTCATAATGCACAAATACACCTCTTTACATAATTTAATCTAGCTGTTCTTCTCGTATATCTCAAAGTACTTTTCATATTCGCTTTCGCTCATTCTTTCTTTGTCCTCCTCTGTTATATCCTTGTATGGCTTTGGCACGCCCTCAACCTCAACCATTTCTAGCTCTGGCTCAGTGCCTGCGCTGACAGAGTCAATAGCCACCTCCTGCTCTTTCTTTCCAGGGGATTTCTCCTTTTCGCTTTCTATCTCGATCTCAGGGACACTGACCCCCTCTTCAATCTCATCCTCAGCAAACAGTTGCTTTCTTCCTGAGTACTCCACATCTCTCTCTTCCAGGTCAGCTGTGTCTTTTGGCGAAGTAGGGCTTTTGGCCTTGCCCTGATCAACGCCCAGGCTCTCAATCTCTTTCAGAAGAATGATAATGCAGTTCACCTCCTCCATTAGCTTTTTGAAAATATCAGAGGCTACGGTTTTTTCGTTTTCGCTGCTTTCTTTTTTCTCTTTCAATTCGCTTTGGCACTCGCTGCAGTTAAAGGTAAATGTGGTGCTGTTTAGGAGGGACTGCACGTCCAAGAGGGAGTGCATCACATCGCACTGTTCGCAGTGGTACATGATCTTGGTTTCTCTGTCCCGCATTTTTGTCTCCAGCTGCTTCGTCATGACAAACATCTTGTACTTCACAATGTTTATGATCTGCGCAAAGTTCAGAGAAAAGGTTGTCTTTGTTGTCTGCATGCCATCCGGCTTGATGTCGTTCGTGGTGGAAGAAGAGAGAATTCTGTCGTCCTTTAGCTTCACTGCAAGCCGGTTGAACTCTCTTGGGAGAAGCTTCATTTTATCAGCCAAATCATCCTCGGAAAGAACCATGTGGTGCAGCATTATGTCCATGATCACAACGTGGTGCGGCTCATAGAACATTCGCACAACCCGTTTAATCAGCTCTTCCATTGGAGTACTTGCTGCGGCCATGCAAAAGCAAAAAAGTTTGTATATAACCCAAGCACAGCAGAGAGGAAGCTGCCTCGCTGGAACAGGCCACGGAGCGCGTAGATGCATACATTGTGTCGGGGGACTAGCTCAGTGGTAGAGTGTCCGCTTTGCATGCGGAAGGTCGGGGGTTCGATCCCCTCGTTCTCCATTTTTAGTATTTTTTTGCACCTTATCCCTGCAAATATGGAAGCAAAGGAGCACAAGGAAGAAATTCACGCACAAGACCCCATCCCAGAAACAGAGGAGGAGCAGATAAGAAGAAGGAGAGAGGAGTATACAAAACTCTCTGAGAAGGACGACATTATTTTCTCGGCCTCTGCGATTCTATACAGATTCCAAATAGAAACAAAGTCCTGGGTTGGCCGAGGAAAGGGGAAGCTGCGTGTTTCTCTTGAGCCAACCAGCAAGAAGTACAGAATCACCCAGATCCGGGAAAAGGTTTTCAAGCTCGGGTGCAACCACTATATAGAGAAGGAAACAGTCCTGACAAAGTACTCCCTGGCAGAGCACTCTTGGATGTGGACCACATTCGGAGATGACTGCGGGGATGGCCTGGACAAGACACAGAAGCTTCTGACTCGGTTCACCACTGCAGAGGATGCAGAGAAGTTCTTTGCTGCAGTAGAAAAGGGCCGGGCACAGGCAGAAAAGCCAAAGGAAGAGCGTGAAGGACCAGCAGAGAAGAAGGCTGAGCACACGGAGGAAGCTAAGGAGGACAAGGAGGAGAGCCAGGACGGCGACAAGCCCTCTAAGCCAGAAACCAAGGCGCAGGATGATGCCCCGAAGGCGGAAGAGAAAGAAGATGCAAAAAAAGACTAGATTCTTAGAAGAAACTAGTTTATTTTAGACTATTATCGTGTTAGCTGGATGCTAATGGACAAATAAAGTTTTGTTCTTATTTGTTTTTACTTGGTCTGACCATGCACATTTTACTGCCTTAACTTTTTCTATACAGCTAGACTGCAATATCTGTTAGGACTAATTTCAGATCATGTACATTTTTGGTTGCATATTTGCTTGATGCATCACAAATATTAAATGTACGCGCCTGTTTCAAAAACTGATCTAGCCAGGTGAGGCTTCTGGAAATTCAAGCTATACCAAATTGTATGCCTGTTTGATTTGTGTTAGAGTTGCAGAGTAATGGGGTATATGCTTTTAACTAGGCACATACTATTACGCTGACAGGTGTCTCTGTGTATTCTAGCACACATCTTGAAACTCTGTTTTAAAGTTGTAAAACACCTCTTAAATGAAGACCTCTTTGTGTTTTTAATGCGCACACTGAAAGAGAAGCTAACTCAGTCCTTTCTTCTTCTGAAAAGAACGTTAGAGACTAAAGTAGAGCCAGCAAAGCCTGATAATGCGCCATTTGTTCAAGACGTGCTTAAAAGGCTTAATGAAATAGCAAAAAGCAAAGAAGATCAGTCTATGGCAGTACGGAATAAAGAAAAGGACACAAGGGAAATTCAAAGTATAAAAGAAGGAATTGAGTCTCTTTTGAAAATTGCAGGAAGGCAGGAGCAGGTGCAAAAGCAGCTGGAGACACAAAGACAGCAGGAAGTGAAAAAACAAGAGGAAATCAAAAGACAGCAGGAACTGCAGAAAAAGCAGGAGGAAACAAGGCAGCAGAAAATACAGTATGCTCGGGAGAATAAAGAGTATCTGGAGCAACTAGAAAGAATGACATCATCCAGTTCGTCCTCAGGTTCATCATCCAGCTCATCGTCCAGTTCCTCAAGCTCATCATCAAGCACAGACAAGGAAAGTGACAAAGAACATCAGGATAATGAATCTGAATGCTCAATTTCCAGCTATATTAATTCCTTCTTCACGCAAAAGCCACAGGCTGAGGCCAAATATATTCCATTAGGGCAGAAACCGTCAAAGATATCAAAGATGCCAAAGGAACAGAAAAGCCAGGACACACATAAAAAGGAGAAGTCTACAAGTAGAGTGTGTGGAGTACCTGCTGCATCTTCCAAAGAGTCTTCCAATGCAAAGGAAATGATGCAAATAAAGAATACTAATGAACTGCCCAGTAAGCGAGAAAAACAAAAAAATATCCAGACGGCCAAAACAATTCCCTTGGAAACAAAAAAGCCTATGCTTTCTTCGCTAGTGCCAAAAAAAGAGAGCACTTCCGAAAAAGACATAAAAAAGACAAGAAGCACAGCAGCACAAAGCACACAGATACCGGTTGCCAAAAAGATAGTGCCAATTGTGATTGGAGGAAGGATTCGGGCGGATGTCTTATCTGAGGAGTCTGGGGATACACCAAACCCATCTGCATCCTCTGACAACTCCATATCTGAGTCTGTATCAACTGCAGACATTTCCACAAGCAGTCCCGTATTTAGTAACCCTGAGATGGTGCGTGTTGAGGACAAGCTGAAGTTTATTAGCAAACAGGGAACAGTAGAGGACGATGCCAGGCTCTATGGAATGATCACCAAGACAATTGAAAAAATGAAAGAGCGAAAGGACTTTGAGGCAATAAAAATGTCAATGCAGATGGACATTGCAAGAAAGTATATAAAGGACTTTATCGATCTTCGAATGGCCATGCAGAAGAGCCAGCCTGATGCAACAAAGCAGGATAAAATAAACAAAAGAAAAAGACTGCAAAGAAGACTTGACTCAACAGCACCCTATAATTAGTTCGTACTGTTTTACAATAAATGCCATGTTTTATTTTTCTTTTTTTATAAATTTGTGCTAGTCTTCCTAAAAAATTAAACTTGTCCACACTAAACTTACTCATTTATTTTAATGCCTTGCCTATTTACATGCAAAATATTCATTAACTAAAAGTATAAGTATTTTGGAATAGATTCGTATATATTAGAAACACCAGGGCAGCTACACTCAGTATATACAGTGATTGCGTATATAGTGATAAGTAAGTTCTTTTATAGAGTATTGCAGTTCTAGTTATGGCAATACACAGACAACCATAAAAATTCAGTGCACTAATCGATCTAAATTAGATGATGAACACATAAAGAATAGATTAAATAAGGCTTGTTCTGCATAGATAAGTATGTTTTTATAAAATTGCTTACAAGTGTATTTTCTATCTTTTAGTTTTTTATACAAGAGAATAGTGTCAAAATGATCACCGGTGTATTTATGTATGCAGATTGGATAAATAAATTAGGCCACTTAAAGCACAGAACTGCTTCTGCACATTGGTTAAATATAAATATAAGTGAAATATAGAAAAACAGCCAAAATGATACATTTCTAGAAATAGAAATAACGGATTCTGAGGGGGATGAAAGGCGAGAAATTACAACAGTTAAGAAAAAATCTTTTTTCGATTTGCAAGAAATGATCATTAGGCTAATACTAAATCTAGTGATGTTGCAGAGCATTCTTACAAGAGTTAATATGGCAGACATAAAGACAGTTAGCGAGACTTTAGTTGGCGAGAAGCAGGACGTGTTTATTAACACAAAAGGTCCATTAAATTTACTCCGTGGATATATTGAACACCAAAGCGGATATATGTACAACAAGCGATTTTATTCATCTGAAATAGACACAGACTATGCATTGACCAAGAGAGAAAAACCTAGCCCAGACTCTATTCAGCGCTATACATTTACAAGGACACCTGTCAATGATAGGGTATATAAAGACTTTAATACAAAAACACCAGAAGGCAAGTATCTTAGTACCTATCACATGCAGTTAATAAAGATGTTTCCGTCAGCAGATGGAAGTCTTTCCATTGAGGCAGGCAGGTCAAATGCACTTACAAACTTTCTAAGAGCAGAACATGTTAAGAAAGACACAAAGTATATTCTTGCAGCACTTCTTCTTCTCTCAGAAGGCGTTGAAATTAAAATAGATGTAGACCATACGGGAGAAAAAAAGAAGCTTGTCATAAAAAGTAAGACAAACAAGGAGAAAGTGTTTGTGAATGTGGACATGTATATAGCAGGTACAGACCCAGTCACTAAGGAGCATAAAGAGAATATCTATCAAAGCGAAGCAGCAGAAATTGTCAAATTCTATATACGGTGCAGAGACAATCCACTTCTAAAGAAAGATGGCGAGTTTGCAATACCTTCCACTAGAGAAGAGTTTGAAAGTGGCTTATTTCTGAACAGCGCAGCTTTCCTCATACAAACGTATATATATGAGTTCATTGACACAGTAGAAAGCTACAAGGACCTTGTGAATGCAGTGCATGAACTACTGGTTGATCAAGTAGTTAAAAAGGAGAATCCCGAACAGACGAAGAAGAAGAGCAAGAGCAGCAAAATATTTGATGAGCTCTTCCTGGCAAAAGAAGCATTTGATGAAAATATAAAGTACATTGCATCTTTCACGGACCTTATAAAAACCACAAATGAAGAAGCTAAATTTCCCTTCTGCAATGATAGTCAGCTGCCGCAGTACACTAAAGTGCCGCTTTGTAAATTAGACAAGTCTGGCTTTGAGTTAGACGAATCCTTAAAATACAGTAACTGTGTAGAGTCAGCCCTTCTTGGACTGTTCTGCTGTCTGGCATACAATCCAGAGACAAAAGAGTATGAAACCGATCACATGGGAGAAAAAATAAGTGATGAGTTGAGAGACTTCTTTAAAAAGTATCCTAAGCCAACTGACATTATTAACATTGAAATGCACAAGGATTGGTGTATGGTTGTTGCCTGTTTGGATAGTGATGATATTGACTATAAAAGCAATAAAAACGAGATTCTATCTGGGCTTGAAAATGTATTTCTGGTAATTGCAGAAATAACAGGCCAGAAGGAAGAAGCAATGGAGCTAGTTGAGCATATAAAAGCTGCATGCGAAAATTCAGAATTAGATGAAAAAACAACAGAATGTATTGCAAATAAGATAGAATCTATCATTACATCACTATCTAAGAATAAGAATGTAAAAGTAAACTGCGAAAAAATGGAACTTACCACAAGATCAAGTAATAAGCCAGATGTTTCTCTTAAAATTGAAATTTCTTATGTATTTGATGGAGCAGAGAATGGAATTGCTTTGTCTGTAGAAGCTGGGCATAGCAAGGTTCAGGTTCTTTCACTTCCAATAGCTAATTCTGAACAAATTAAAGAAAAGTATAAAGAAGTAAAAAACATTTATAACAAAGTAGACAACTATACAGGATACATTGTTACTAAGTATGTTGAAGCAAGATTGAAAGTTTTGGGAAATACAGACTATAGTATCTTAGATAACTGCAAGAATAGCATAAAAGAAATCTTACAAGGTGATTCTGAGAGCTTATCTAAAATATTCTTATTAGATAAGATTATTGACAGTGACATTAAGGCTTATATTATGGAGCAGTTTATAGCCTGTACTATAGATAAAGAGATAGCCACAACCAATGCTGTAGCATGCTTTACAGCAAATATTCTAGGAAGTTCTTCGCTTGGTAATACTCTAGCTAGGCGTAAAATGGTACAATTCTTCCCAATGCATACAAGATGGCAGGAATACTATCCAAAGCTTGGGTTTAAGCTAGGTGAAAATCTGCCAAATTTAGACATTACAAACCGCCATTCTAGAATACAGGATTTTTTAGATGCAATAGTAGCATGGCCAGCACCTATCACAGTCAAGGCCTTATGCAACTACCTTAAAGTAAGTATTAAAAATGCAGAAATGATGGGATATTTACTAAAAAACTTCATATCTGCCAAAAGCCTATTTAATCATATTGTGGGTGAGGGGGCAGTAGACAACTTAGTGAAATTTCACTCCCTTATTAAAGATTCAGAAAAGCTCACTTATTTAAACTCTACGTATGTTTCTTGGTTTATCTATACATGTGTGGGCGAACAGGTGTTTTCACCAGAGTTTATTAAGACAGTCTACAGCTATATACTCCTTGATGATTTGCCGAGTACGAATGAACTTAAAAGATTAGGGTTTTCTACTAATGATTTTGAAAAATGCTTAAATGTTTTAGAAGAAAAGAAAACTCTTCTATGCTCAGAAGATGACGCACAAAGCGAAGAAAACCATGATAAACTAGTATTATACTTTGAAATAGCTATGTACTAGATGATCTAGATTAGAATATAACACCAATCGCATATGGATGAAATATAACCTAAATATTCTCTAGTGGTGGAAGTGTTTTGGCATGAATGCAATAATCTAGAATACCTAGTGCAGAGATTAGAATCATACTGAATCTGTTCTGCTGCAGTCTAATAATGACAATTCTGATCTTTAGTTTGTTTTAGTGTGACACATATTGCTTTGAAAATAAAAATTAGCTATTTACACTTTTATGCTTCCATAGCTTTCCATTTTATTATAGACCTTTGGGCAATTTCTCAAATATATGCGAGGACATCACTACATAAGAAATCTGTAGAATAAGCGTGCACAGGCACTCCACCGAACAAATAAAGAGTATGCAAAATAAAAATGCATAGATTGAATTTGACACAAGTGAATGCCTCAGCCATGTAGCTGGTTTTAATATTTAAAACAATGAAGATAGTAAGTTGTTATAGCCACAAAACATTACATTATATTCTGTTTATATATCCGCATGCAGGCTGTTAATCGATGAAAAGCCGTTTGCAAATATTTATCTATCTGCTGCTAATTCAATGCGCGCATATACTTGCCTTTGAGAACCCTACAAGTACCTATGTTCCAACGAACGTTGACTTTGGTTTAATTGTTCTCAGAAAGACTATAATTTCAATAAGAGTGTATATACCTAGTAGCGTTGCGGAAATGTATAGAGACCACGAAATAGAAATTGCCCCCAAGGTAATTGCTATCTTCAAAATAGTTGAGAATGGTATAAATAGAACTCTCAAAAATCTAAGGAGCGAAAAATACTACAGTCTTCATCCAATTATTACAATAGTTGACTCTAATGACCCAAGAATAAGAACATGCCCCAACTCGATTGCGGAGCTGTCTCTTTTCCTATCAAACATATACAATCTTGATCTTGGCGCAACTTCTTTTATTTTTATTACTCTATGTCCCCTTGCTGCTATTAGGGCGCATCCTATATATCTTCCGCAAAAGCACTTTTATATCAGCCAGGGCATTACTGGCACACATAATACAATGAACATTATTTTATCTGAAGTAGACCACTATTTGCTTGTAAACGCTCTTGCAAGAGCTATTCTTAAAGCCTGTGATTTGTATACAATAGAGCCACTGGCAGTGCATTCCCTTCATGGCGACGGAGATGTGGCTTTAATAAATATAAGAGTTTTAAAAGAGACTGCACATGAAATGCTTCTTAAGGAATATCTGGGTGAATGAGCTTTACAATACCTGTGACTTGATCTAGAGCAGCCAGATTTACACGCATTCTAATGAGTGCCATGAAAATACCATTTTAAATAAAAATCTAAAGGTTTGTAAGTCTAGCATATTTAGAGTAAATAGAACTGCTGCCAGGAACGGCTTTTGCAGGTTTTTTGAAGAAAATGCATATGTGTGAAGCAGCTCTTATAGACATTAAGTCAGCAAACAAATGACCAGTAGTGCTTTCTGGTGCATCTCACTCTATAAACTTGCATTAATCAAAATAGTAAAGAGATAATTTGAAAAAAACTGACAAGTTGTCAAATCAGTCTTTATTATTTATGTGCAGTTTCTTCTTGCAGTGAGAAGGAACCTAGCATTGTCACACCTACGCACTGGCATCTGTGACGGGCCTTTTAGATGCTGCATAGGCTGTTAATTACGCCTGCATTGCATTTAGTCTCTATGTAGCACCCTTTAATAGGAGTGCTTTTTGCATGCATTGGCAGAAATAGAAATTGAGTGCCTGCCCCTTCCAAGCACGTCATTCCTGTTGTGCAGATTTTTAGGCCTATCATCTTTCATTTCTTATTTATGTCTTTTACACATCTGCTGCTCACTCTAGGATCTTCCTTCTGCAATTGCGGATCATTCTTCTTTTTCATAAGCTGCTCGCACAGCCCAATGTTTTGGCTATTAACCCGGGTGTTTAAAAAATGGTGAGGATTCAAAGACTTCTCTAGGGTTTTGACAAGATCGCTCACTTTTGGCGCATATACAGACTGCTCGTCGCTTTCAAATGCCTGTATGTGCTTTTCCTTTTTCTTCTGCTCTTTCATTTCAAAAAACAAACCCAGAAATTATCTTTCAATGTTTCACTCCTCAGGCGAACGAACAGACCACCAGCTTTCACCGATGTACTTTTGCGCAACATCTGGCATCAGCTGCCCCACAGGAGGGAACACGCCCTCAACTATCTCATACAGACTGCAGTGCGTTAGCTTCACAATTCCCTTTCTTCCTGTAGATATCTCGCTTAGTGTGTTCACAATGAAGATCCGCCCTGGATCTATCTCGCACACCTCGTATGCAATGCGGTCACTTTCCTTGTTCCCAAATCCTGCATATATGCGGCCCCTCCGCAGAAGTCCCTTTATCTCAGAAATCACAGATATTTTGAACTCCTCTGGGCCCTGCACCATCTCCTTATAAATAGCAGATAAAAGGCGCCCTGGAAATAGGATCACTGGGCCAAGCGGCAGGCTCTGCTCCTCCTGCTCAACTCTTTCAAGATATGCCTTTGTGAAGCCAATGTGCCCTATTGGCCGGGAGGACAGATAAATGATCTTGTAGCCATTCTCAACAATTTTGTTGTACAGAGCAGCAATCCCAGAGTGTGTCCAGTCCTTCCCCATGGCACCGTATATATACCCAACAATATCGCTTTTTGTGATGGTTCCGTCAATGTCAGAGACAACAACTTTATCTGTCTCGCTCCACAGATAGATATTGCATGTGAGAAAGATTGGGGTTCCGGATAGGCGATATACGGTCTTATTCGGGCCGGGCAGCAAATGCATTTTTTCTATGTAGTGGTCAGGCAGATAAACCTCGCGCTGTCTTCTGTCCGGAGACTGCTCTGGCCGCACTCTCTTTCGCAGCAGCTGCTTGACCAAAAACTTTTCTGTGTACTTTTCATTCACCTGGTCTGCTCCATCGCCCTCCGTCTCTTCATCGCATGCATGCCCTCTGCGCCTTTCCACGCAAAAGTAAAGCTCGCTAAACAGGCAGAACGCCATATAGAAGACAATCTTTGGGCTTGTCTCCTCGTAAAGCCCGATAACAACCATGTCATTGCCCAAAAACGTTTTTATCTTATGCTCATTAAAGACCTCCTCTATCTTATTCGGAATAACTTGTTTGAAAATGCACTCGCTAAATACATACTGTCTGTGCAGAATGCACTCATAGACCCGCTCGTAGTTTGCAAGAAGAAAGGCATAGTTGTCGTCAGACTCCACAAACATCTTGAAAGACTTGAATGGAACATTCACCAAGGGATGCCCTGGGTGGCTTTGGTTATGGAGGGAGAAAAACACATTCCCCTCTCGGTCTAGGCGCGCTTCAACATTGACTACCCTGTCGTTTACTATTAAAATAACCTCCCGTGAGGTTTTAAACGACTGCACGTTTCCAAAGCGAGCATGAAACCCAGTGGAGTGGAACCCCTTGGCTGTTTTGCAGACTATTACATCATTTGCCCCGCTCATTTGCCCTGGATGCATATCCTTATACAAGTCTGACACCGAGTTAAGCACTCTCCCCATAAAGTTCATAGAATGTAAAAAACATCTTCATTTATTGTGTTTGTTTCTTAATTTGGGCCAGAGTGCTCTCGCTTACTTCTAGCCACCTATTCATCTCCATTGTAGATTTTCTTAAAGACTCATCGACTTTCTCCTCAGCTGCCTTGAGAGCCTTTAGCTCACTATCCACGCCTGCTGTCTCTTGCTTAAGAAAATCAGAAAGAGCTGCAGAGGGAGCAGCAATATGCGAGGCCAAAATGCTGGAAATTGTCTGTGGGCATGTGATATCGTACAGTGGGGTGGGGGGCTTCATCAGCAGAACATCAAGTTCGTTGAGCTTTGAGGGTATGGAGTACTTCAGAAGGAGCTGTGTGAAAAGTGCATTGATGTCATCTTTGACGCCTTCCTGGATCTGTGCTTCTGCAAACAGCTGTGTAAGCATCTTTTCAAAGGAGGACTTTAGCTTTACAAGGCGAGGCCCATCCATTTATAAAAATAATTTGCGCCCAGGATATATTCTGCCTATTCAATATCCAGTGGGCAGCAGGCCCCAGGCAAGATATACAAAAAGTGGTACAGCCTGTACAGTGCGAATATCTGCACATATACCAAGCATTTATGCCTCTATTAAAATCCATTGTATTTTAGCTTTGCAAAGCATAGTGGCTCAGTCTCCTATCCAAACCATTAATGCGCAGTCAATATGAATAAAGACAGAAGTATATAAATGACTATTTATTAGTGTCTATCAAGTATATAGTGCACTTGCACATACAGCTAGGCGGCAGTGTATGCAGTGTGGCTAGAGTACCAGAGCACTCTATACCCACAAAGCACATGCTCTTTAAGACTTCTGCACTTCTTTCAGAAGACGACTTCCTTCAAGAAGAGCTAAATAAAGACAATACCGAGTGAGTTATTTATTGAAAATAGACCTTTGTCTTTGCACAGCACAAAGCATGCCTGCTTCTTATTAAAGCTGCAGTTCAAGCCATTACGAGGCGTGCATGCCCTCTGCATGTAAATATAGACACCTAGAGAGGCGTTTTTGCGTTACTGGCCTAGATTTGCAGTATACTTTTGGAGAGCAAGCTTAATTGGAAGCATGTCTTCCCCAGAGGCTAGTTGGCAAGTGATGTATGCCTTCTTATATGGAAGAATCTCCTTTATTTTTGAGCTAAGCTTTTCAGAGTAATCCTTAGTGTCGCCGCTCTGCACGGCGTATATATGTATTTTGGACTTTTCTCGGTCCATGAAAACTTTGAAGAAAATTTCGCCAGTCGCTCCAGGGACAACTTCTTCGTAGAATAGAGGAGGCGCGTTGTTCATGCAGAAGGAGGCCAGTTTGGATATATATGAAAACACGGGGTAACACGGGGCAAACTCAGAGTAAAAATGGAAAATGCTCCCTCCGAGAATCGAACTCAGGTCTGCACGGCCACAACGTGCCATAATAACCACTATACTAAAGGAGCCACTAAAAAATGAAATTCCAAGTACCAGAGGATTCAGCGGGCAGTTGCGTGATAAAGTATTTTTTTATTCTAGGCAGATGAAAAAAAGCCTACGAGAGTGTTTTAAAACAAAGGCATCTGCTGTTTTTGGGGAGTTTTCGCGAAATGCGTATCTTCGGGAGGTTGTGAAGTACATAACTGACCGATATGCAAAAAAAAAGTACTTTGAGCGGCAGGCGCCTCAGCCGCCCCAGAAAAAAACGAGGCTGTCATCTTTTGAGAACTTCACAGAAACCACCTCAATCAACAAATGCACACTTTGCGTTGTGGTTCCAAACAAAGGACTTATTGCTGAGATTGTGGCGCGGCTCATGGCAGAGAAGAGTATTCTTGGAGAGGACATAAAAACAGAGAAGTATGCAATTGTAGGGGATGAGGACGATGACTTCATGATGCCTCTAATGTATGCGGACGGCGAGTTTAAAGAAGCATACAACAGCCAGGCGGATGTGATTTTGGCCACCACAAAGGCCATGGTAACGCTGGGGGACCAAAAGCTGGACAGATCAAAGTATTTCATCCAGACTGCGGAGGAGCTAGTGGACTTTGCACGGAAAGCCAAGAATGATCTGAACATATACTCCTTCCTGTCCGGCGTGGACACTGTAATTGTGCTTGATGCAGACATTCTTCTTATACAGAACTCCGTCTCGTTCTACGAAACACTAAAAATCCTGGAGGAGGCGCGCCCCGCCATAAGGCCACAGATGAATCTGCGCTACCTAAGCAGCGGAGAGGAGAAGAAAGCCTTTGTCTTCCTTGCTGGTGTGATTTCTCCCGCACTAGTCTCTCTTATTGAGAAAAAGCCAGGGCACATGATAGTTAGTAAAAAGGAGAGTGCAGAGCCCGCCTCCTCTGAAACGCTGGAAAGCACGCCTGCATGCTATCCGTACAGTGTGTGTCTTAAGCTGAATAAGACCGTGGCTACTGAGAAGTATGCAGACCACCACATTACAACTCTCTTGAATTCATACGAGAGGACTCTGGTGATTGTAAAGGACTCTGTTGAGATGGAAAAAATCAAAACAGAAATTCATAATAGCTCTGGGTTCGCAGAAAAGAACATCTTCTTTATAGACGAGTTTACTGCAGAAAGCAAGATCAAGGAGGAGATAAAATCAAAGATTCTAAGAAAAGTATGGATAATCACAGAGAGATTTATATTCTACAGGAAGAAAAGGCTTTCCCGTATACTCACTCCATACAGCCCAATAAAGATATTTGCTCCCTATGTTGTAAACCCAAGAATTCTGCAGCTTGCAATAAGCAAAACAGAAGATCTAGAGGAAACTGAGAATGGCTTATACAATGCACCAATAACACTTGTTATATCAAGCGAAGAAGAAAGATATTTTGTAAACGACCTTTTTGGACGGCAGGTTTCTATCAGCAAACTCTTTGAGTACTCCGATGAGACCACTATTAATGTGCAGGAGAAATAAAACATGCGGATATATCTGTCTTCTGGCAGCTTTAAACACAGATGCATCTTCTGACTGCCTGCATTCTTTGTATTAAGGACAGGAAAAAAAATGTGCAGGCAAATATTTGACACTATGCATAACTAAAATAAAATTAGATTTTTAATCTATTCGAATAGAAATTAACGCCCACTGCGAATGAATGTGCTGATTTCAGGAGATATATTTAACTACTTTCAACCTGCAGGGTATTTTTATTCGCGATTTTCTTAATGGTTTTTGGTTTCCAGAAGTTTTATATCTAGATTTAATATAGCTAACTTTGAGAAAGTATATAAATATAAGATAAGAAATTAAAAAAGCAAAGTTTAGTATGACTAAGTCTAATGTTTTGAGGAAAAATCATCTAGCACAGTGCATGATTATGATCTACCATTAAAACTTCATATATCCTCTTCACTTTTCATCTCTATAGTAAAGCAAATAAAGCTCAAAATGTATTTTACTCTATATCAATGGCATAGCAGGCAGAGAAGTGCAATCTGCTGGCTGCGTTTCCAATCTTTATATGTATTCGGGAGAGTTATGTTGCAGATCGATCTTTTATGCATTACTAGCTCTTGTGGAAGAATTCTATCAACTACTAATGTGCAAGAAGTCTTTAGAATGGCACTTTGAAATAGTTTCATTTTATGTGGCCTCTGCATAGATGGTTTGCTTTTTAGTCTTTAAATCGCACAAAATGGTTTTGCAAAGTGTTAGAGCCTGAGCTGCCTGCGTTACTAGGCATGCCCCAAATGAGCCTTCTTATGCAAGCAAATTTAAGCCATAAATATTTTTAGTTTTTATATGAACAACTCGCAGCTGAATACGGATGCAGTTCCTTTCATCATTGGAGTGTCTAGCATCGTTCTTATGCTGGCCTTCAGTGCTGTTGGCTCAATTGTTGGATCTGTCAAAGCAGCTTCATCAGCTGCTGTGGTTGCAAATCGAGGAATAGACCTGGTGACTAAATCGTACTTGCCAGTGCTGTTTGCATCTGCAGGATTTATGTACTCTCTTATTGTGACATTTTTCTCAATACGCGAGCTGACCACCGACATTACTTTGAAGACAGCCATGCGAATTTTTGCCTCCTGCACTATTTATGGGGTTGGCGCACTCTTTTCGGGCATAGCGATTGGAGAGGCAAACAAGCACGGCATTGTGCGGCTGAGTGAAAACAGAAAGGTGTTTCTTTCCATGCTTATTGTCAACTCAACAATTGAGATGGTTGCAGTGTTTGCTCTAATCTGCTCAGTTATGCTTCTCCTAGGCGGTGCTACAAAATAAAAGAATTCTTGGGCAAACAGAATCCTAAGATATATCCAGGGTATGCTGTTAATAAAAAGAAGCCCTAATGTGTGGAACGGCAGGCATAAATGAACAACCTCAGCAAGGTTTTCTTTAATGAATAATATAAAATATACTGACTAGATTTGTATTTTGAATAGATACACAAATGATGAGATCTTCGTAATAAAGTATATCTACTCAACGCATCTTATATTTTTCACAAGCCCCTTAGCCTATCTACCTTTTATGTAATAGCACCAATTTAACTCCGTAATGTATATTGTCTTTGTATGGTCTATCGGTATTCAGCTATTTTCCTCATGTTGAATGCATGGCCATTTATATAATTTGTGTGTTTAACTAGGTATTCCATCCAATACGAGGCTTTTAAAGATTCTGGTGGGCTAAACTATATAAGAAAAATATCTTTATTTGTGGTATATTCATGTCTTGTACTCTAGACTAATTGTCTATAATCTTTCTTTTGAGCTTGTCCAGAGTAAACTAGAAACTGATATTATATTTTTAAGACTCTGAGTATGTATGCATGTAAGCACTCGCACTGAAATTACATTTCTTAGACACTTAGCGATGCTTTTAAATTTTTCTGTTTACTTCTACCCAGCAGCTTGAATGAACACCTTTTCTATTATTTTTCAATATAGTCTATGCATTGGCATAAAAAGACTCTGGGCATAAATTAAGTATTTTTTTGCCTGCTACTAGACAGCTCACTTGATAAAATTCTGGGTTCCTAATAGAAACTGTTTGGCACGTGTTTTAGTCTGGTTTCAGGCTGCGCTCAATATAATCGGGAGAAGAAAGAACACAGCATGATGGGTGAGTTTGCAGCAGAAGAGTGGCTTGAAAGATCTGTTCGAAGGAGCAGAGATGCTTACAGCCGGATCAAAATGAACTTGACAGTACGTGGAAAGGATGTGATCGTTTCCTCAAAGTACAAGGAGCCTGTAGAAAGAATCAAGGAAGTAATTAAAGCACTTGATGGAATAGAAAGAGCAAAGTCTGTTCTAATGCTAGACGGGGCCTCGAGCATACCAGAGAAAAAAGTGCAGGAGTACAAAGAATACAAAGAGATAGCACAAGATCTAAAAGCCTATAGGAAAACAGAAATAATTTCAAGCCTTCTTGAGCGAGTAAACGAGCGTCTGCAGGAAATAGAAAACTCTCTAAATGAGCTGAGCAAGAAGAGGCTAGTTTCTTCCCTTCAAGGGAAAAGCCAGGAAAACTGGGCAGAGTTTTTAGTTGACAAAGATCGAAAGACACAGCTGTTTCTGGTGTTGGTCGAGAAGTATGCAGAAACAGTGGTGAAGCACAATATAAAGGAGGACTCTGCTGCGATAAGCACCATGGTGGTGGATATTGAAATACTTGCAAAAAGAGGATTTGCAGAAGAGCAGGTGTCTTCTGTCATTCAAGGCATAAACAAGTTTATTGGGATGCAGATTGTTCACCATATTGGAAAGCAGTGCTACATCTTTATTAAGAGTCTCAACGCGCCAATACGAAAGCTAGAGGAATTTTTGGAGTTTATTTGTGGGTTTCTATCTTCTGAAATTGAGGGTGTTATGAAGAAGCAGAGAATCCATGCAAAGGTCCGCAAACTGGTTGTAGACGCGTACAAAACTCTGTACACGGAGGCAGAAGAGCAGTTTATAACGGGTGCAGTAAACCAGAAAAGGCTGCTCGACAGAGACCTTTTCTATCTAATAGAGTCTCTCTATCAGGCCGAGAAGATCAAGGGGTTTCTGGATATAAAGCAGCACCTTCAGCGAAAGCTAGGGGAGTTCTATAAAATATCAGAAAAGAAAGCAAAAAGAACGACATCAAAGCTAGAGAGTCTTATATTTTCTCTCAACTCAGCTGCAATAATTAACACTATAAAGCACAAGAAGATAGAAACAGATGAAATAGCGCAAGAGGTGGCGCAGGAGATGCGAAGAAAAGTGGAAAAGGCAGTAGACGCTCCAGAGGTTAAAAATAAGATAGGAGAGCTGCTGAAGCACATTGAAAGAGCATATGTCAAAGCAAAGCACTACAATCTTCCTGGGGAGCACAAGGCATACATTGTGCTAGAGTATAAAAAAACTGTTCGAGAGATAGGAAACAGATTTGGAGGGCTTGACGATGTGAGTGACTCGCATCTTTCTTCAATAATTGAGGGGTTCTTTAATGGTCCAGAGCGAAAAATACTAAAGTAGAAAGGCAAGCCTTGCGAATATGTAATAGTAGATGCATGTGCATAAAAATAAAGCTCTAAATATAAAATCTTGTTTGAAGTATACAGCAGAAAGGCCTATCCAACACAGGGTCTGCAACGAAACATAGCACTGTGTGCAGCATTATGGATTTGTCTGGTGCACTTTCGCTTTGATTCTGTATATACAATAATAAATTCTGCTTTATTATATATTTATTGAACATGCATAATTAGAGAGTATCTTAGTGCTATTTTCTACTTTTCATAGAAACTTTTGGTTTTATTGGCAATAAAGCTTCCATTGGGCATATATGTAAGATGTAATTCGACCTGGCTATAGATTAATTTTTATATAGAAGTGTGTGTTTTAATAAAACTTTGCGTCGTAAAATGGTAAAGTTTCTATAAATAAAATAAATCTATATTCTTCTGAAGATTTTTATAAATTTATTCTATTTTAAAATACAAATAGGCTCTAATTACTGCGGTTTATTTTCTCTTCTGAAATATTAGACCTGGTCACAAAAATATTGAGTTACAGAGAGTGTTCTCCAATAGAGTTGGTAGACAATTAGTTACTCACTCTTAGAAGAATAAAGGCTGAGATTCTAAGTTCCTTAGTAACTTCATGTAAAAACAGAGCTCTTGATAGCATACTTCTCTACACCCTGTCTAGATTGCCCCAAAGCCAATACAAATACATATTGCTGCTCTGGAAAAATAAATTTACAAATTCAGCTGTATACTTTCAACCCAGAGAAGTGCAATAAATGATATTTAGCTTTAGTACAATAATAAATTAGGAAAAAAAATTATCTTTTGAATTTAGTATGAAAAGCAGTTTTACGATAGATGGACACCGCTTTGAGATTAAGTTGAACAAAAGAGATATAAACGAAAGATATAAAAAGTATCACCAAAAGAGATTTGGACTGTGCATTCGCAGCACAAGCAAAAAACAGACTATAAATGAGATAAATAATATTTTCGATAATAATATATCGATCGAATCTACAGAGCTCTTAAATAATGAAAGAGAATTTATTTTAGCATCAGTAAACAATATTCTCTGTTGGGGAATATACTTAAAAGGAGAGACTGAGCAGGGAATGCTTCTCCCTGGGAGTTCAAAAGAAAATACGCTGTGCAACTTAGATGTAAAAGACATGGAAGACCCTTCTTTAATGTATAAACTTGCAAAATCTCGAAATCTAGTTCTGTCTGAAGATGTGAAAGATTCATTATTATACACACTAAATATTTATCTTACAAGCTGGCTGGAGAAAATTGACCACCTAGGTACTCTGGATAGGCTTAAAAGGGATGAATACATAAATATAGTGGCTGAGCACTCATCTAGAAAAAAAATAATAGAAGCGCTTTATTCGAGCGAGACATTAAGCAACAGCTCCAGTATGATTATATCAAGTTTTCATGATTTTCATATTAATATCATAGAGAAATACCAACTAAAAGACCTTTTTACTACAAAGATAGACAATACGCCTATTTTGTTTGTTGGGTTTGGGTATATGCATGCAAATTTGAAAGATATGGCTGCAAAACTAAAGACAGCTCTTAATACTGTGTCTGAACTTAAAAGAGACAGCCCCAATTTAGAATTAGAAATATGCAAAGATACAGTTTCTAAACATATTCCATTGAACATTCTATCCATAGTTTTATCAATGCATGAGCACAGGGTGGCATTGAGAGGTATTTATAATGAGTACACTGCAATATTCAACCAGTTGCAAATCAATAGCATCCATTCCTTGTCCATAGAAGATACTATGAATGATATTCCAGCGCTAGAATCAATGCTCTTTCTAGATAATGCTGTTATAAAGGAAATTGCTGATAGAGATGAATTAAAGATTTTAAAACATCTATACTACCCAATAGATCTGCCGAAAGTACTAGAAAAAATTCAAAAAGAAAATATAAAGGCTGAGAATATATTAGAAGAAAAAGAACAAGATGCGTCAAAAACCCATCACATTGATAAAGACCATCTACTCGGATCTGCAGAAGTTTTAGATGTGTTTAAAGAAAGTATTGAATGTATGGAGAAAGATAGTTGCAGCTTAAAGATAGAAAAACATAACCCGAATGCATTTATTAAAACAATAAGTCCAAAGGTAGCAGAAAGGAATAGCACAATTAACACCGGCATGTCTGAAAAAGGGGGCACGCCAGGTGCAAGTACTGCTGAGCATCATAGGATAGAAGAAATGAATGAGGAGATGGTGAGTTTGTTTTCTAGCCTATTTCGGCAAGAAGAAGACGATGTGGAGAAAGACATTGCAGAGGTAAAAGAGATAGATAATGAGTTTGCAGTCTCATCATATGAAGAAACCCGTAAAAAAACAATTGGAATGTTTTTTCTATTGGTTTTCGCTATGTATAGTATACTGATTTATTCAATGAGTAATTATTCGGGTGCTTTACATTCACGCTCATAATTTTAATCCGCTCTAAAAATAGGGTTTACTGCTTTATATTTCACTATTGCAATTAATATAATGTGCTTTGTTCTTTTCTCCTATCTTGAATAGGGCTTTAATACAAAAGTATCTTGGAAAGAGGCGCTTTAAGATGCAGCTTGGAGGGAGTTAATTTCAAAAAAGTAGCTGCATATTCTTAACTATTTAGCTCAATATTTTATTAATATTTGAAATAAATTATATCCTTGCATTGTGCTCTTTTCTATAGTAAGCTAAGTGGTTATATTTTTGTGTATGTATTACTTAGCGTTCAGAAAGCATTTATTCCTGCACTGCAATTCTAGACATATGCATGTGTGCATAGATGTAGCGCTATCCTGGAAAGAAGATACATAGCCCTGCTTTCTGAATATTAAAAGGCTTTTACCATCATTCGGGTTAAAATAGCATTTCGGGTTATATACAGAACGCCTTTAGTTTCCAAAGTATAATAGTAAAAAATAATTTGGCACAGGTGGGTAGCAAGAAAAGCACACTAAATGTAGAAGAACTAGCTTCTTTGCACAGTTCAGTATGAGCACCATTAATAATAGAAGTAGATGGTTAAAACAAGAAGCATGGCATATCTAAACCAGAATTTATTAAATATCTAGAAACATAGAGCTTCTCATTTAGTGTAATCGCATAGTATACGTAATGCTATTTTAAGCATTACTTTAAGAAAAAAGAACATCTCATACCAAGAGATGACCAAAACAGAAAGTATTAAAAGGCCTGCAAAGAAGTAAACATACTGATTCAGAATGGATATAAGAAAGCCTTTATAGTTTTGTGTGTTTCCCTTTTCTTGTGCGCAATCGCCCAGTGCGCACTGCACTCTCTTTTCTAAAAAGAGGTTTTTTAGTTCTTGCATTCTATTGCCAATCATTCTAATTTGGGAAATGTATTTCCATTTGTAGAAAACAGCAAGCAACTTTTTGATCTTGTAATTGAATGAAGCTCTTTCTAAATGAACTTTTTCTTGGTTTCTAATAGCTTTGCTTTTTATTTTTAACGTACCTTTTCTAATAAACAAATGCAATTTCTATGGGGCTTTGGAAACAAGCGCACGGATAATAGCGCCTTTGCAGCAAAAGACTATATCAGCATCTGTGCGCTCTGCTTTGTGTAGTTTGTGATTGGCAGAAAAGCCATAGAAGGCTAGTTTCTATTCATATGGCTAGATTCTATGTATTCATATAGAATGCCATGATGAGCTATGAAAAAGCATTTGAGAGACTGGTATTTCTCCCTTCTGTGCGTAGGATTGGCAATTTTAGTAGACATGCAAAGAGAGAGCTCTTATATATACTTCTCCACTTTACAGTAATGCGTTCTTTTAGCAATGCTTTTCTCCATGGTGCAGTGTTTTTAAACCATGTGTGCGTGCCTTCTGAAGCAGCTATGCTCTTTTTTCATATATAGTAGCTTTGTGGGTATATAAAACCCTCAATACACATAATCTAGGCCTTTGTTTCTAGTATGCATATTTTTATAGCTTTTTGACTATGTATTTTCAAATTTGTGTTTTTGATAAAGATTTCTGTAGATATTTCTGGAGAAATCACTTCGATTTACGAAATATTGATATGTTTTTTAGATAAAGAAAGGGTAGAATGAAGTCTGTTTTCGTCTATTTTATTGTGTTATCTGCTGCTTTTTGGATGTTTGTGTTTTTCTTTATTGTTGATCGCCAATTGTTATGTTTCATGGCTTAAGTCTTTAAATTCTTATATTTTCATCCATTTTTTCCTCCATACACTATTTTATTGCATATCAGATCTCCATAAAGACCATATCAATATGATTTTTCGTGTCTATAAATAAGCAAGTGAGTTTAAAAAATGGGGATAGCACAGACTATCCTCAGCCACATTTTATTTTTATTATTGACGTGCCCAAAGGGAGTGCGACGAACTATTCTGGAGATAGTAGTCTAGAATGGAGAGTGTAGTTGTCCAGGAAGTTTTATTATTGTAATCCTGTGGATGTCTTCGGTGACTTTGACCGGGTGCAGGTTTGATAATTGTATTTTTGTGTTCGGACATGTGCCCCTTTCAGTATTGTTCTTCGATTTTATATTCAGTCTCTGATATATACGAGAAATCTTTCGGAAGTTTCATTTCTCATTGATGCACTTTGGTCACGGAATTAATGAAAGTGGTATTTTTACCACAATTATCTGCATAGTAAATTGGCATGCCACACTGGTGAAATTTCCCAGGCCTGGAAATAGCAGCCCAATACGGATAGCATCTGAGTTGAAGAATCTTTTTACTGCATGCAGGTAGGCTTGGTTACTGCACAAGCTCTGAGGCAGTCTTAAAGTTCTGGTTGTGGTTTGGTGTCTTTCTTCGTTCAGTCTTATTGTTCTTCTTCTGTAAAAGAGAATCTGTGTTTATTCTTGAGTCCCGTCATATGACTGAGATAATCTCTCTCGCAAAATACTTTTACTGTGGAGTTCCTTGCAATGGTAAGAAATTTCTGGAGAAATCGCAATTTACTACATAAATATATTATGTGAAGAGGCAGTTTCAATTGTTAATGTTTGTTATGCAGTAGAAAACATCTCAGCACTAAGAGTATGTATGGTATTGTCTTATAATGGGTAGGTATAAGATGAATGCTAGAGTATTCGAAATGTTTTTTGTTGTATATTCTATTCGTAAATAAAAGTCTCTGCTTAAACCATTATTTCTTTGTCCTATAGTTATTTTAATCCAACTACTAGAATTCTTCTCAGCCCAATGCACACTTATTAGCAACTAGTAAAGTGCATGCAAGTGCTATACACCTATGTAACCACATAGCTATTCGCAAACAGCGCTTGCTTGGCCATTGCTTACCAAAAGAAACATTTTATTCCCACTATTACTCCAAGGAAAATTAGCAGCACAGTAAAAGAGTTTAAGATAAAAAGCCATTCGAGGCTTGCGGGCAAGGAATATTAGTTGATCACACAAAGGGCGGACACAGTACAGCAAGACAGCAGGCAGATCGGGAGCGGCTGTTTATTAATAATAGCGTGTACCGGCCATGTACGGGCGCCATGTACTGCCTGCACACAGCACATCTTCGCTCGCTGCATACACATGTAGTGGTTAGCTGCTGCATATGCAGGGAGAGCGGCGTCTTGCGACTGGCCTGAGAACCCAGCGGCC